AGAAAGTCGATGAAATGTTATGCTCTCTACGCTGGTATTCAAAATGTGCTGTGCCATGAAAAAGTTGAAAGAAATTTGCCTTGCCGTCACAAAATTGTTCTTTCCTGTCATACAAATCCTGACATGTACAAGTGCAAAGAAAAAGTCGAAGTCAAACTAAAATGTGGCCATGTCATTGTTGCCACATGCTCGTTTGCCACCGTTGTTGAACAGGAGTTTAAGTGCACAGTTTTGACTAAACGAACATTGCCATGTGAACACGAGGTAAATATTCCCTGTTGTACATCTAGCCAGGAATACAGCTGCCAGGAGAGGGTCGACGTAACACTTTCTTGTAAACACAAACAGCACGTCGAGTGTTCAAAACTCACAGATGGGCTTGAGAATGTAAAATGTGAAGAAGTGGTAACAAAAGCACTACCTTGTGGCCATAAAAAAGAGATGCCCTGTTTCACGAGAGCAGAAGAGGTTTCCTGCAACTTGCCTTGTAGACGGGTTCTTTCTTGTGAGCATCCTTGCCGTGAAAGATGCAGTGACGACTGCAGTAAGTTTGCGTGTACAGAAAGAGTTCAAAAGAGCTTGGCATGTGGATACCATCAACTCAAATGTCTTTGCTCGGAGGATGTTTCTGAAGTTGATTGTACCCAGAAATGTGAAAGAAAGTTGCCTTGCGGTCATTACTGCAATGGAAAATGTTTTGAAATTTGCGGTAAATACAAATGCGAAGAGATGGTTTTGAAAGAGCTAGATTGTCCTCAAAAACATACCCGTCGAATGCCTTGTCACAGAGACCCGAGAAGTGTTGTATGCTTGAATAAATGCACGAAAAAACTAGATTGTGGTCACCCCTGTGAAGGTGCTTGTGGGAAACCATGCGAAAGTGTAAAGTGTATGAGGAAAATGAAGCACACATTTCCATGTAGGCACACAACAAGGGTGTCCTGTTTCGAGAGAAAAACCGCTATTTGTAGAGCACCTTGTCCGCGTCAGAAGAGTTCCTGTCAGCATCTTTGCAAGGGCTTGTGCGGGAAACCATGTGATTGGTATCCCTGCCAAGAAGTCGTGACCAAACGCCTGCGATGTGGCCACAAGATCAAAATGCACTGTTGCGACAACCCAGAAAAAGTGCTGTGCCCGGTGGTATGTGGAAAAATAATGCAATGTGGTCATCAGTGTTCTGGAGTATGTGGCAATTGCCAAAGAAAGCGTTCACACGAAATTTGCACAAACCAATGCAGTCGAGTTTTGGTTTGTTTACACCGTTGCAAAGCCCCTTGCTATTTACCCTGTCCTCCTTGTGTCGGCACATGCAGTCGGATGTGCCCTCACGACAAATGTACGCAGCCTTGTTCAACACCATGCGAACCTTGTAGGCAGCCTTGCACATTGAGTTGTCCCCATGGCCGTTGCAATAATCTGTGCGGAGAAGAATGCGAACGCTTTTCATGCAATGCTCCCTGCCCCAAGACGCTTCGGTGTGGCCATCAATGTATTGGTTTGTGTGGAGAAGACTGCCCTACGCTCTGTGCCATTTGCAATGCGAAAAGTCTTTCAATAAAATCAACTGATGGACGCGCTAACAATACAGAAGCTCCAAGATACCTGCAACTCTTCGACTGTGGTCACATCATAAAAGTCAAGGACATGGACGAGTGGATGGTACAACAACTGGGAAACAATGTTCAGCTGATGCGATGTCCTAAATGTTCCACAGTAATTACATTCAGCTACCGTTATGGCCATATTATCAAAAGGACTCTCAAAAACGTCGAGAATGTCAAAGCAAAAATACAAAAGCTTGCATATGATGTTGTCTACTCTATTCAGCACACAAAAAGGGATTTACGTCGCTTAAACTATGATGTGAGGAAGTTGAAGTTTCCGCAAACAGTTTTTCGCCTTTCTCATCCATATCCATGCAGCATGCACGATATGCTTTTGATTTTTACTCTTAAAAATCACTTGACGATTCTTTACCAGGCCCAAGCGACAGAAAGGGTAATAGCTGAAATGCAACAAGCTGATGCCTGCATCAAACAACAGCCTGGGTTGGATCAACAATTAACCATTATCACAGATGCGTTAGGAAAAATCAAAGCGTATCTTGAGCAACCACAACTGCATTTGAAAATCCTGAGTCGATTGCATGACCAAACAAGAAAGTTTTCTCTGTTCTCTCGTGTTTTAGAGGTCCAAAGTAAGGCCACTCTGCATCAAATTCCTTGGTCGAGCGGTGGTACTCATCGGCTAAAAAAAGCACGCGATCGTTTTGAATTGTTTCTCCAGGGTAAGGACGACGCCCTAGATCTTGAATGGTTGAAGAAAATCGTTAGCTTGTTGAGATCAGAGGTGAACCTTCCAGACCTACCAGCCGAGGAAGCCAAAGACTTCGTCAATTTCCCAGGATATCAAAGGGGAGTCTGGAAACTATGCAAAAAGGGCCATGTGTACTACACAGGACTTCTTGTGCGAGAGGGCAAAGATATCCTCATCGGAAGCGAAGGATGCACCCAGTGCATAGCTAGTGAAAGTGACCAAACCGTATAAAATATTGAATTAAGGGGCTAAGTTTCTAAAAAAACCCGTGGTACTGCGTCGGTGGAGGAGTTTAACAGGGCGTTTCGAACGTTAGCCCTTCTGACGAGGGGCTACAATTTCACAAACGGCAGAAGGATGAAGTTGCCAGCAACCTTTGTTGCTATGAGTGGTCATCAAAGGATAACTAATTTGATGGCGAATCTTTCTACATATGAGAGAGAACAGCCTGGGCCTGATGGTCTAGGTCACCGCTAAGCAAAAAACTTTCAAGGATATAAAACAACTTTTCTGCTGAACTGGTAAATACAAAGAGAACCGTAAAATAGTGTGTAATCTGTATCACCTTAAGCGAGGCCAAGATTTTAGAAGCAGTTAAATTAAACACTGGTAGTGTTCTAAGAGGAAGGAATTGAACATTAGGGCATACCGCTCAAACCTGCAGCTAACTGGCAAATCGTTGGAAGAGAGAATAGTAAGTTGTTAATAAAGTACATAGAAAAAATTCAAAATAATAATAGTAGCTAGGTCGCAGACAGCATAGTTGGAAGAAAAAAAGAAGTGCAAATCACCTTTTTAATGGGAATTTCCAAATATCACCAATAACAATAGAAATAATTTTAGTTAAGTTTAGTTGAACGAAAAGTAGAACCTGATTGAGAAAATTGGGAACGTAATTTAGCAAGCTCATATTTGAGGTTCCTTCAAGGGCCTCTAAATTTCACAATATTCTTGCCTCAGAATTAACAGCAGATGTGTGCATGTAAGTCAAAGAATACTCCCATGTCGATTTTACATCGGTTTTATTCTTGTTAGCCACTATGAACTAAATTTTCTAATGTACAGGTTTTGAGTTCATACGATATGAAACATTTTTGGAAAGATCAATCATTTTTCATTTTCTTCTGTAAATTTTTGTAGAGTTTATTACCCTATATAATGATTGAAATTTCCCAAAATTTGTCCTTTTGTAACCAGTAAACATGTTACATGATGATCCTGTACCTTAGTTATGGATCAATTTATTCAATTCCTTAAGGCTAAAAATTCAAGTCATTGCTTTTTCAAGACTTTCAACCAGCTTCGATGAACATTGAGTGTCATAGGCATCATCTACTTCATTTGAAATAGAAAATCTTGAATATTAAATGCGAAAAATGATAGAGGCTTTCAAATAAAAGCATATTTTACAGTGATACGCTTCTTTGCCCAAATTAATGTCAAAACTTAAGTCTTGTTTGGGGTAATAGGAGAAAGGGATAGCTTTAATAGAGGGTTGACGTCAATGTGTAGCCACCGCTGATATTTATACTTCAAGTATATTCTATTGACCTTTAACAGAATTTTGGCTCCTAGAAAACAACACGTGGGAGAAACGAAAAAAATTGAAGGAAATAGTTAGATCGTGATGATCAGGTAAAAATAACTGCTTTGTTTTCCCGCAAAACATTCGTTTGGAATTGAATTCTGTGGTGGCAAATGTGTTATTTAAAAAGTGGGTTGTCAACTTGACACTCGGTCTAAAAGCCGTTTGTGATTTATCCTCAATAGTCTTAAAAAAAAAGTAACTAAGAAAGTCAAAACGTGAGGTATTTGTTTGCAATTAAATCAATCAATGAAACGTTAATTTATCCTAAACAATTTGTTCTTTACGAAACGTCGAGCTTAGTTGTGAGTTCTACTACAAATACAATTTCGGTAGGTCTTTGCGTCCATTCAAGTTGGACATTTTTACCGTACTCCGCCAGTCTGGTATTCCGTCAAAGAAACCAGAGGAAATCAATGAATAGACACCGCATTAAATCCCTTGTGTCTTGATAAAAAGCCTCATTTTACTTCAGCTTTTTGGTGGAAGAAAGACAAGTTTTACAAACGTCATTGCAGCTAACAAACGACAGACTGTCGCAGCTTCATAACAAAAACTTTGAATTAACTTACACTGGCTTTCCTTGCCGTTCGAAATTGACAGGGCAGAGGTAAATCCTGGTAAATTAATCGTCCATGGAAGTGAATAATACTTTCCTTAAGATTACTGACTGTTTAAAAAAAAACCGTCGGTATAGTCATTTAACTCGAGTTTTACTGTTATTCATTCAAAAGAGTAAATGAGGCTTTTTTTCGCGCTCGTTAAGAGACGGGTCAAATTGTGACAGGCACTTATGAAACAAATGTTTCAAAGTTTGCTTGGAAGCTTTTTAAATCTTTCCAATCATTCAGACCATTTACTGTTCTAACTAGCCTATCAATAACAAACTCCAACGACTATATTGACGATGGTAGAAATGAAATAGTTATCCGTTTGATCCTGGCCAAATAATTCTTCCAGCTCATCCAAAATTGCCGAACTTGCCGCCATTTTCAGAAAAAGCCAATGTTTGCTTTGCAAAGTCGGTCCCAGTCGACTGCATCACACCTTTTTGCTCGGACTCGCTCGCTTCATCACCCAACCTCTCTCCGCCCTGATCCCTCACCGTGTAACGGTTTCTGAAGATATCGTGGACAAGCACTAGGTAAGCGCACAATTTACAGAAATATAGTTTATGAAATATTATTAGGTTGGAAACTCAGGGTACAAATCTTCATATGGGGTTGTGATAAAGGTTCAGAAGAGATTTTCCTGGTGGTTTAAAATTAAAAATTTCTAAGGTCGTTGCTTTAAATAAGGTTTTACGTTGCAACCGTTACATAATTATCTAGCCATGTCGTTATTTCAGTCTTCGACTGAGTTAGCGGACGTTCGCAAGCGGTGTAATACCACTGCGACAAATTTTTAAAATTTCTTCACATTCTTGTACTGTGGAATCGGAGCTATGGAGTTCTTTTTCAACGGATAAGCTTGGCAAGATTATTAACTTGTTTACAAACATAAGTGGGCTAGCCCTTTTATGTTTGTAATATTATTATTGTTTATGTTCTTCGACTTTTTCAAACTATTAGGAAACTCACATGTGAATAGAGTAATTCAGTATTATCAACTGAGTTGATAACGTAAATTGGACACCGCAAAGAATTTAAAAGCTGACGTTTCGAGCGTTAGCCCTCCGTCTGCCCGAAACGTCAGCTTTTAAACTCTTTACAGTGGTCAATATACGTTATCAACTCAGTTGATAATTTGAAATTACCCTGTTATACTCTTCCACCGTCGTAGCACCACAGTTTCTTTAGAAATTTACCTCCTTTACTCGCATGTAAATACACTGTTCTCTTAAACGTTTCTCTACTCGATCAGAGGATCGTGAAAACATTTCTAAGAAAAATCTGTGCCGTTCAAGTTTCTGTTCATTTTTCAGAAAGACATCGTAACATATATAGTTTATAATCAAGAATTTGAGTGAAGTGAAGGAAGCTGTGTCATTTCTATCTATATTGATTGATTTGAAACCATTTGTTTCTGATAACGGACTTTAACGGTCCAACGATGGAAGCAGCGCGGTGGAATTTCGCTTCCAGAATGACAACCTCCCATGACGGCGCGCTCGTTGTCGTTAGTATTGCGTGACATGATGAGATAGCACTGAAATGCCGAGATGAATGGTCATAATAGAGTCCTTGTGTCTTCAGTTTTGAGCAAAAACATGACCTGCACAGAGGGCAACTCGCTATACACATGGAAAATTGAATATTGTGATGTTGTTTTGCAGATGACCAACGAAACAGGTGGAGAAGGCGATTCATGGAAGATTCATTTCTCATTTACTGGACGCACTTCAAGTGCTCTCCAACAAAATAACAATAACCCTTCGAATAATTACTTCTGGGAGAGTACCACACTAGAGGAAAGCCAGCCAACATCCTACATATACATTTTGACACAAATTTTCCTCCTGAAAGACATTGAAACTTTACGACGCATTGTACTGGACCCGGAAGAGATTAACACGATAGTAAAACATAAGGAAACAGTTTTGGAAAGTCTTCACGATTATGAGCAGCTCGAAGAACTCCAATTATTAACAGATATTAGACAAGTCCCTGATGTGAAATGTAATATCATCGACGGCAAATGTTTTACTGTGGAGCTTCCAATAACAGATCTGATTGACCCGGATAAAAATTTAAGGCGCTTGTTGAGAGATTTGCAGACTTACTCCAAAACTGTCAGTAAAAGTATCACTCGGCAGATTGAAAGTAAAGAAAAGCTATCAACACCATCCTGGGAAATTATCCAGATAGATGGCGACTCTGACTTTTTACGCCACCAAACGGAAAACGAGCTTTGTGAAAATGACGTCGACAAGCAAGACAGATATTCGATAATCCACGATTTGTTCTCTAAAGATGCCGACTGCTACTATGAAGATAGAATCTGTGCTGTTGAGAAGAGAGGGACACCTAGGATGACAGCAGAAGTGGCGGATGCAGATAATACGGATGTTAGCATGACACCAGGCTGTCATCCGAAAATCACGCAATCATCTGTATTCAATACAGAAGTTTGCAACAAAAATTCAAGTGAATTGAGACATAAACGTGTCCTCATTCATGACAGTGATGAGGAATCTGGTTGTGATGAGAATAATAATTCATTTGATTGCATCAAAAAATCAACCAGAAAGAAGCGTGTCCTCCTCTCTGACAGCGAGGAATCAGATAGTGGCAAAAATCATGGTACACATAATAACAAGAAACAGTCAAGAAAGGTTAGATATAAACGTGTCAGAACTTATGATAGTGATGAGGTGTCTGATGGCGACATATAGATGAATTTTCCTATACTTAAAAATAATCAAGCAAATTTGGGTAAAAAGCATACCAGTCCACAATTATTTTATGAAAGTAATGAATCTGAAAGATTTATACTGTACATTCCTACATTTATGACAGTGAAAAGGAGTCTGATAGATATATTTTTAATTACAACAAAAATACTATAAGAATGAAGGTATAAATGTGCCCAACAAAACACTTTGCAAAGATAGATATTACAACAAGAAACATGACAGGGTAGTTACAAAAATATTGGAACTGGGGTAGAAAATGTTTGTGAATCAGAAAAGGAAATGTTAAATAATTAATTTGAAAAGTGTGAAAAAAAGTATTGCAAAAAGAAAAACACACTGTTAAAAACAGTAATGACAACATAAATAGTTTCTCTTTATATCATAATTCTTGGCTTTCCCAAAAAATCTTTCTAATTTGGACTAAATCTTTCCAGCAAAATATGTAGAAATACTTTTTAAGAAGTTTAAATATGCTTTTCTTTTTGACCAAAAAAGAATTCAGCTGTTTTTGTAATGAAAAAACAGTTAGCATTTCTGATGATCAGTTTCATCATGCGGTTTATATTTTCTGTTGAAGACCTGTAGGTGATATGGACAAATCTTGAACAGGCCATTATTGCTTTTTGTTTAAATGGACAGCATCTGTTGGTGATTTAACACTGTAACAAGATATGCAATTTCTTGCCCTTTGGTCAACATTGAAAATTCATGCAAAAAAGCAACCATCAAACTTTCAAATGGCCAGCTTTTCCTCATTGGCCCTAACAAGAGATATATTCCTGGATCATGAAGTATTCTGATAGTCAGTCATACTCTATACTAAGAGGTATGATTACCCTGTGCATAATGCACTTGCCTTCTGATGCCAATGCCAAGCCTTGTCTCATGGAATTGAGTATGTTGTTATTTCTTTTCCATTATCCAAAACTTTTTATCCAAAGTTCTCTAACTTGTTTTCTTGATTATACAACAACTAAAACTCTGACTTCCAGTTTGACTACAATGGACCAATAGTCGCCAAATAGAGGTCCATCTAATTCAAAATTCTAATTTTTTTTCCCAGAAACATTATCCGCATCTTGATAGACAATCCCCTTGACTTGACTAACCACTGTAAAGCTGTGTGGGATTGTCACTCCACTTGAACAAATTGCCTTTTCAGCCCCATTCACTCTCTCTTGTCATGACCTTGATCATTAGTTAAAGGTGCACTGTTATAGTGAATCAGAATCAAGCCTGTGAGAATGAGAGATGTACCTAACCACCATTGCATGGAAAGTGTCTCGCCAAACAACAGGCAACCAAGCAGCGCCTGTAAGAGACAACCCTACATCAGTGTTTACAGACTCACAGTTCAAATCATTGACTCCTAAATTCCTCTAGTAGGTTTGTTCTGAGTGAAGCTGTACCGAGTCCAAATCCTAAGCACCACTGTTAGACTAATAAGCCTTGTACAAGCTGTTGTTGTCAATCTTAATTAAAATATTGGTAAGCCTGAAGAGTAGCCTAGTGATAGATTCATTAACCCTTTTTATAACAGTTCTTCTATTGCAAATTTAAGGGAGCACAGCATGGCTAACTAGCCAGGCTTGCCTTACTAGCATTACTATAAAAGGTGTGTGCAAAAAGTCAGTATCAAACTTAAAACTAACTTATCAGTAAGAGTAGGTACTTTATCCTTGTTGTTCTTACTAAAAGAAAATGATGAAGTGCTAGAGAGGATATTAACAGATCAGTTAGAATGCACTTAGAGGAGACAGCCAATATTGTTGAAAATGTGGACTTAAAATTACCGCATACATTTACAAGACCACTCCAAACTTATTTCAAGTTATTTGCAAGAAGTTTCTTCTATAATTTTGTCTTGCTTTAAGTTTGATTTTAAACATTCATGTTAGGTTGCAGTTTCCACAATACATTGGCTGCCCATTTATAAAAATGTGGAGACTTATTGGGAATACAAAGTGTTGCTTGAGTGTTCTTCTGCAATTCTCTTTACAATTATAGTAGCCTTAAATTGTTTCTGGTAGGGGAAACTTATTATCTTTCTATTTCCTTTCCCAGTCAAGTTATACATCCAGTCACCTTGTAAAACTGGTCATTAAAGTTAATTAAAAAAATAAAACAATCAACAACTCTACAAGAATTCAATTGCAGTAAATATGGAAGAAGCCTTCTGCTCAAAACTAACATATTTGTCATCTTTGCTTGTAATGGTTCTTCACATAGCACAATTGATTTTAATCAGTGCTCAACCTTTAAAATGTGATTGGTTCATTTTGTTCAAGTGACCATGGCAACAGCAGTGGTACTAATAAAATTTAAAATGACAATTCAGCTCTTTCTCAACAAATACTTACAGTGCAAATGAAATTTGAGGCTGTATTGGTAACTGTTGCTGTAGCTGAAGAAGATGATGCTCTAAGAGACTTCACAAATAGGGTCCACATCAGGGCATTGAACAGGAAAACCAGAAGAAATGAAGAAGCTCGTGCAAGATTAACCACCTGAAAATCAGTTGAAGATTTTTTCAATTAATGCAGTCGCGAAACTGTTCATATTTCAACAAGTAGCTTTTGTAATACTCCTAGAACCTACAGGGGTTAGGAACCTTTTTCACCCTAACATCACTATGCATATTCTTTTCAGTTCTGTTGACTTTATATTTCCTAAGATGCTGACGAGTATAATTTGTTTAATAATCGAGTGCCTCTTTGGTCCATGATCATTTACTTTATTCTTATGAATGTATGATCCAGGGGTTATATTGTAGGGAGAAATTAGATACTGGTCACCCCTAAGAGTTAAATGGTTAAACAGTCATTCCCTTCACCAAGTGATTGACTAAATATATTAGTCCTGAAAAGGACTGTTGTTGATTTGAGTGACAAACACTGCAGTACCTTGAGCATAATCAACGGATGACTTCCATTGATAAAACAAATGATACTGTCACCACTAACAGTCCCTCTGTGGACTATAGTTCCCAGACAATCAGAGCATTACTGATAACAGGTTCTTACCAGTCTCTGTCCGCCCTTTTACTACAATATAACCTACTTATATATAACTCTAAAAAAACCTGAAGGGCAGTATAAATTAACAAACTCAAGCAGTGCTTTTTGGCTAGGTTGATTGTGTATATTTTTTATATGGCCAATTCTCTTAGTTTTGGCGGTTCATAATGAATTATACTACTGCTAGAGACTATTTCTTTCGATTTCAATGTCGAGCAGCACAAAATACGTATGTACAACGAACGAAATGTAACGTTTCAACTTTTATTACTTTGATCGAGGACACTCCGCAAAAGTTATTCCCGAAAAATCTTCAAGCTACAATGTTTCAAAAATTCCAGGCTGGAGTAAAGCTAAGACTCTTCTTTAAGCCGCAAGCGTGCTTTGTTAAACACGAGAACATAGACCAACCATTTGACAGGCAGATGTGATCGGGGAACCATTCGTGGCACCAACACCAAAGCCTTGAAGTAAAAAATTGCACCAAATTTTCCTCTGAAGTTCTGGAGACATTGCTAGTTTAGCGCAAGTGGACGCCACAGCTGCGCAAAATCCAGCACAAACAGCAGAAACAAACCCCAACATTGCAAACGAAGATATTCCTTTGAGAAGTCGAAATCTTCCAGGCATTGAGTCCTAAACCGAGTAGGACTGGGTAATACTCAATTTTATCTATATTTGCTTTTAGACTGGTTGCTATGAATGGATTATGAAATTTTTGTTCAGGCTTTCAACCATGAGGAACAAAAGCAGGGGTGGAGGGGGAGGTGTTTTCATGCAGATATATTGTTAAATTGACCTATTGTACATATGTAGTTTGAATTACCAATCATAAAACACAATATTTCTTTGTGATGTAGACAGCATCAGAGACAATGATATTCTTGGCTTTGTAATTCATCTGGGTGTTTTTAGTAACCAAGACAGATTTTCTCCTCAAAATGTCAATATAATATCAACCAGATAAGAGATGAGAATAAAGAAAAATATGAATTAGGGGATTATTAATTGATCCAATACCAAATTCTCTATACTAATGAGATCTTGGGACTAAAAGGGCTAAATTCACTGTTTGGCCATTCCCTCTATGTGTGATTGTACATATGTGTTCCTTGGACTCATAATAATGAATTGATATCACAGACAACACATCTGTGCATTAAAAAATATCCCATTTTCACCAAACAGTTAACTGTCAATCAAAAATGGATAGCTACAAAGCAAACTAGAAAACTTATCTTAATTAATGCAAGTGTCACATAAAAATTTGATAGTATATATCTAATTATGAAAATACTGCAACAGGAGATAACTGACAGATGTTCTAGTTGGTCAGGCTCCCATGCACTCCGCTTCAATTGGGTCAACAGGAATAATTGATTGAAGACAAATGTCAACTCAATAAAATATTCCAAAAAAACTTTAATTTTCTATTCCCAAAAGTGTTTCTTTCATTGTAGCATTCCACTATATAAAAGAACAATTTTTGAAACATTCATCCAGGAAAGGTTTTGAGATATACTTCGAACCTTCAAAAAGCCTTTCATACTATCTGAGACGAGAGCAATCTTAAAAATAAGACAACAAACTATGATGTACATTAGCAATCCGTGATAGCAGAAAAGACTTTTAATGCCTAATGTTTTACATCACTGTTACTAAAATTGAAAGGACCTAGTTATTACAACCACATTACATATAAAGGTCAGGTGTTATGATGTGGAGGCAAAATATATCACACAACACATAATGTATACATGTACATTTGATATTTTTTCTTTCCAATTATCACCCCTATTGCTCAAAGATAATAATATCTTTGCCTATGATTGTGACAATGATTCTCCTTTAACATAAATTTCTCCAATTTCTGTGTACCTTAATTCACAAGCTTGAATTGAATAGGAGTAACCAATGATAAGAATATTAACCAAAGATAAACATATGAAACAAGAGTAAGCTTTCCATTTAAATAGATCAAGTCTAATTAATTATCCTGTTCAAAACAGAACGATTAACACCAATGATGAATTTTTGACACATAACACCTTTACCTTGCATTAGAGTCCACAGAATAAAGGTGTTAAAATTTCCAGTTCAGTTTAATTTTTCACACTTTGACAGACATTCATTCCAATGACTTTTGTGAAATACAGTTCATGAGGTCCTCTTGTGAGGAGTTTAAAAAAAAAAGTTCAACTTTTTTCCACAGATAAAAGGGGTCCTGACTATGTTTTCATAAGTATTGTTAACATACATATTTACAGCTGTAAGGCTTCATAAAACAGACCAGGTTATATAAGCTTGATCTTGGAGTCTCACTGTGATGTCTTTTTCTGTTGTTGTTGGAATACTAATTCAGTGAAATTGGGTTTGTCTCTGAGCAATTTTCAGTTTCACATTGATTTCCACTCCTACAAAGTTCACACTTCCCCGCAGAGGACCTCAAGTCTTTCACAAACTTACATTTCTAGTTACAATATATGATTTCAAAAATAGTTAAGAGACATACTACTGTTTATATATGCAATTAAGAATACTCCAGGGGGGACAAGTTTCTAAAGAAACTGTGTTGTTGCACTGGTGGAGGAATAGCAAGATAAATTGGTTTTATCAACTGAGTTTTGATAATGTCACTTAGCCACTGTAAAGAAAAGAGTTTCTATGCTGATGTTTCCAGGCTTATGAGCCCTTTGTCAGAGTTAAAGATGCTGAAATTCTCTGACGAAGGCCTACTGCTTGAAACTTCCAGCTGAGAAACTTTTTTTATTATCAACTCAGTTGATAAAACCAAATTTTGCCTTCATCAATTGAGAATATTTAAGTTCAGTAGGGTTTGTATGTAAATTTAAAAAAATGCATTTTGAGAAACAACATACATAAGAACAAAGAACTGCTCAGGATTATATATTACTGTCACATTAAAGAGACTTAAGTAACTCTTGTCATTGATTCAGAAAATATCAACAAAACTAGGCAATAAATTCAAGCTGTGGGTGATATATCAACTACTTTATTGATATCTTTGTTAAGCCAATCTTGTGTGATGTCATCAAGGTGATTGTCAAAATCTATGAGACTCTGATACACTTTTCCTTCTAGAAGTTCAGTGGTGAGTTGCAGTGAATCTTCACCTTCAAGCAATCTGCAATGATACAATTTCCAAACAGTGTAATTGCACAGTCATAACTGTCAAACCACTGACATCATGTACAAAAGTTGAGTACTTTTAAATGTTAAGTTTAGGAAGTAATGACCTTTGTTACACTGTTGCTTAAATCTAACAGCCTTTCAGTCACTTTTTCAGAGTTAATACATTAGGAAAAATAGGAAAATAAACATCATGGTGTTAGTAATGAGATGTATGTTTGTGATCACTGCTGTTTACATTTGGATGTGAGTTTTAATTTAGAACGTCAGTATTTAGATGGGTGATGCAATAGTCAAATGAAAAGTACACTGGACTCCAAATCAAAATTTCATGTTCACTCCTGACCAGGGTCATTGTGTTGTGTTTGAGAAAGACTTTGCTGTCATAGTGTTTCTCTGCACTCAGGGGAATGGACAGAATTGGGTAGCCTGTGACTAGAAATAAAAAAAAAAAGGGTAACCTGCAATGACCTAGTATCCCAACCAGAAGAACCAGTGTTATTTTAGAAACCATTTAATAGTGGTCATAAAATTTTTTTAGATTTACTATTAATAATTAAGATTCATGGTGCTCTTATCCATCATATCGCCCCACCTTTCTCTCAAAATTTCTTACACTAGATTAGCAATATTGTAGGAGAATAATCAATTCACCCCCAAAAGGAAGTACCATAGTGGAAATTATCTCAAAAGCTTATCATGCTTGGTTCAGATTTAGGGAACTGGGAGCCCTACTCATTTATGCTTCCCTGACAATTCAACAATTCACTGCATTACAGCATAACACTGCAACATCACCCTCTGTAATAGACTCATCATCTTTACCTTCTAGAAATCACGTGAGAAAGGGATACTGATATCATATTGAATGAAGCCAACTGAGTTGAATGGTACTTACAAATCTTTGTCACTTTGCTTCCATTTATTGTCTTGGACCACATAACACTGCAGGATGAAACAAAAGGAAAATAGTTCAGACATAAAACCCTGTGAACAAAAGGTGGAACATACATATAAAAAAACAAGCAATATTTGCCTCACTCCTGTAAAGTGTTTTTGTTGCTCAGTTAATAGTAACACCAAAATAGTATCCAGAAGGTTGTTTCAAGTCTGAACTCTTTTCTTAGGTTTTGCTTTTATTGATAGTTTAACTTCACTTTTCCTGCGCAGATCAATCCATGCACGTGGTTAGCAGATCTAACATCAGCAACACTGAAAAAGTGTGAGTTTGTTGATTTTGAACATCATAACTTTGAACTGCAGATAAATAAATGAAGATGAGAGTGATCTTTGCAGAAATGAACACTTCTTGGGTAGTAATGAAATTAAAACTTAAAAAAAATCATGCCTGTACAGGAGTTGAACCCATGACCTCTGCAGTAACAGTGCAGTGCTCTACCAACTGAGCCAACAAGCCAACTGAGAGCTGGTCATTTTGTTGGTTTGCAAAAAATCCTTGAAGTGACAAACGAACAAGTGTGATTATATATGAATATTGTTTATTTGAACTGCCTCACTATTGGCAATGACTTGGATTAATGACTTTCTTGGTCATACCTTCAGGGAATAGTATAATTCAATGAAAATCACACACAAATGTTACAAAGTATGGAACATCTTTACCTTACAAGCTATTTCTTTACATGGTACTGTCAGCTTTGTATTATCTACCTGTATCATACGAAGAAAGTGCAAAATTACAGTGATCATGACAAACATCGCCTTACACAAGAGTTTCTTACGCAAATTCTTATTAAGTGATCATTAATTATTAATTAAATATTAATCATCAACACCAATGTGACACAAAAAATAAAATCAGTTGGACATGAATAACATCCACTTACCATTAGCATAAAACCATTGTTAAACTGATCACATATTTTCTCTCCAATCTTGTAACATATTGCATTAGGACTGGGAAGAGATGATGACAAATTTGTATTCGTTGTGTGAACTCTCAGGAAAAATATATAAAACAACAACAAAGAATTTTGCCTTCCTTGGCTATAATTGCTCTGAAACTCAATTGGTAAGGTATTTCAACGCAAAACTGGAACTGCCTCAATAACATACAAGAAGGACTCATACACCTGTATCTCCTTTCAATCCATCAATACAAGAAGTGCATAATGATAACTTTTTTTCTCTCATTGAGGTCATCTTTTCAAATCTCATTTTTGGAAAGGTAAAAAAGATTCTTCATAAACTGCCTGACAATTAACTGTCTGGCAAATAAACTTGTTTTGAAAAAGAAGTGGGCTTAGAAAAATTCTCACACGTACAAAAACTTTTCCACCTCAACCACACCAGCCCTCTCTGACCATGTTCTTTCCTTTTTTTGTTAGCTCTTTTGTGAGAAGGAAAGCAATGGGAGTAAAAAAAAAAAATTATAGGGATGGCTTACCCACTAAAGCTCTAAATCTATTGTTTGACTGACTCTATCTCACATGAACACTTTTGACAAAAGCTGATCCTCAAAAGTGTGTTCAAGTTTACAACCCTTTTTTAAATGTGAAACTCATACAAATTTGTTTGTCTAACCCTATCTCACCCAAAGACTTTTGACAAGTCAACAACCCTTTTTCAAATGTAAAACTCATAAAAATTTGATGTTTTTACTGGTAGATTTAACTCACCTATTGTCATTAATATGTTCATTAGCTTGATAATAACCAACTATCTGTAACTCATTCTTTTTACAGTGAATATCAACCTGGAAAAGAGAAATAATGATACAATTACTTTTCCAACAGCTTTCAAAAGGATGAAAGGATGGGAAGTTTTTCAAGAGTGTTTTTACTGCAATCTTTTCTTCCTTTATCAATTCATTAAGTCAAATATCAAAACATCTTCTGGTCAAGGCAGTCCTGGAAATAACTGTTGATTGCAACTTTGACTGACTAGTGCAATGAATAACAGTTCCCTAGGGAAGCAACTGTCAGAGGATAACCAAACACTCTGAAAATTAATTTGTTCACACCTACCACAGCAATACCAACTTCAATACATGAATAATGTCTTAAATGGAGTGTTTCTCAAAAAGACTACTCAGAATTGTATCACAGTCAAAATGTGACAGAGTTCATCATTTTGTTATACACAATGGCTACATGCCCAGCAGGCAGAGATTAAAGTAAATGAGCTTAACACCTAGCAGGCAGAAATTTTGCATGATTTCCTCTGAGGGTTCTTTCAAATGTCTTTAACCTTTGTACCCAAAGAGTAACTAGGATCTAGTTCCCCTTAATGCTATCACCCCTGAATCAAATGTTTTAGTCACTAACTGATAAAGAAATTCTTCATTTCTCTTTGTCATCACCTTAGAAGTGTATACAGAACAGTATGGAGAATATGTAGACAGATATGTTGGATGTAACTGTTAAAAGTAGCCTATAGTTCCCTGGACATGTTAAATGATTCCAAAATGTATTTTTCTTTTCTAGTTGACATATCTGAACTCTGAAATTTGCTGAAATTTCAAACTACCAGGAATTTGGTCTGTTTAAGACCATGCCCAGGTGCCAAGTATTTAGCCAAAGCGTTCACCATTTCTGTTTCCATGGATGAATATGAAAATAACTACCATTCTAACATTCAGTGTACTTCAGCATGTCTTTTAAAAATTTTGAAACTAAAAAAATTACTTTTCTAACAGGCAAACGTTTTTCTGATCTAAAATCCATTTTAAATTAAGGAGTGTAAAATATTAAGTTCAATGTCGATGGAAAAAAAAACAGAATTTACATTGAATTGGTTGACATTGAATCGCGAAATTTGAGGTTCAACGGTTCTCCTGTGTGTTCAACACCTGAAATTAATCTTTAATCCAAACCTTAACCAGAAAAGTCAAAAGCTTACAGGTTACACGAGAATAAAAAATTTACTTTAGGAACCCAATCAATTTGGCACCATGAACTCGGGGCACACAAACAATTTTAGGGACTTGTTAGGCTATGAACTGGTCGAAAAACACTTTAAGAATATAAAAAGAACTTCTCTCTACCCTCGCCAAGGCCACTTCCAGCATAGGCGCCAATCCAAGGGTAATATGAAACAAAGGAATAGCATCGAGCGCATAAATTTCACCATCTTTGGGGTTTTCCACGCCTAGAAGAACTCCGTTCACGGCTTTGTGTGGGTATTTAGCGGTATGTAGGAGAATTTTGGCGTAGGCCCTTAGAGATAGTCGAACTTTCATTTTTCTGATGGTAATCTTATGACCTCAAAATCATTATCACAGTTAACAAACTGTTCCTCTGCGACTGTCCGCCATGATGATTCAGGAGTGCGTGGTGCTTAGTAACCGCGTCGCTGTCCATCTTGGTCCCAGGTCTCCTCTTAATTACTAGAAAGAGTCATGTTTCCCTTTTTTTTTATTCACTTTTTGCCATTGATTATTAGAGGAGTTTGGTGGTTCTTTTCCGGCTGCTATTTATTCTTAATGGTTTTTTCTAGAGTGTAATGGTCATTAGTATAGGTTGCAAGGCAGTCATAAAGGGAAATAGATGAACGAGTAGAGAAGCAAAATGGGGAGAAAATTAAACGAAAAAGTTTGGATAGGTCCATTTCTTACTGGCGTTATCCTTGCCTACGTGTAGCCGTACCCTATCCCCCCATTTGAACCCATTTTACCGTCAATGCCATACATTAGCAAGTACCAGCGAGTTAAACGCAGGCGAGGTAACTCGCTTCCGTTTCAACTTCGGAGGGAGGGTACGGCTACACGTAGGCTAGCGTTCTAAGTTAAGAAATTGAAAGCGCTAGTATTACAGGAATTAAGACAATGAAGATAGTTTCCACTTGTAACTTAGCCATGCTGCCACTCAAAAAAAAACTGATCAACAGATCGATGATTTTTGGAGCCGAGGTGTAAAACTTTGAACAACTCAAATGTCAATGACTGTTTACTGTCAATGCCATACATTAGCAAGTACCAGCGAGTTAAACACAGTGACTAACTCAGTCAAACTTGGTTAGATATTCTTTATTGCAGATAAAACATAACATTAATATGTTCTAGGACAATCTTATTGTTAGAGAGGGAGATGTAAACTTAAATGTAATGGCAAAAAAAAGTTGCCTCACACTGAACTTGGACACTACTGTATATAAGAACCTTGACTTAATTCTCAGATAAAATAGATTGCCACCCTTAAGATACGTCAGTTGATGACAACTAAGTTTCTTTAATTAACATTGTTGTCAAGTACTCCTCAGTATAATACAATGGGTTGATATTCAAAAGGTAAAGAAGGAAACAATTCTTGAGTTGACAAAGACATTATTGTAGAAAATAACCTACAGCAAGGCAGATGATATACACTGATGAGAATGGACAAATTCAAAAATAACAACAGTGCGTTTAGTTAAAATCTCTTGCATCCTAATAATCAAACAACTAGCCCTTGTCTTCTCTAGCAGAACCTCCTGTAATGTTCTGTTACCAGCCTCTTGTTACTTATTTTTCTTTAAGTGCAACAGGAAAAAAGTTAACAATCTTAGTATTAATTCTTTAAACTTCCCTCCAGGAGTCTGCCTAAGATTGTGACACTAGAATTTACAAACTTATCTGATTACAAAAAACAAAAGTACTGAAAATCAATACATGCTAGAATTTCAAACAAAAAAAAAATGCAAGAACTTATTGTACAACTAACATTACATATCTGTATGCTTCTCAATTGAGAGATTGAACAATAATTTTCATTCTGAAAAGATATTTGAAAGGAAATTTTGAAGTGGATAATAAAGACAAGAAAAACTAAAGAATGATTTAACCTAAACTGAATTTCAATATTCCCAAGAAGAAAGGCATGCTTAAACCTTAAAAACAACTCAAGTTTCTTCCGCCAATATATTTGCAAGAAATTTTGCCCTTCCCTAAAGGTTGATGAACACACCAAGAAAAATTAAACAAGGAGCTGGTAAAAGAAGTTATGTTTTGGGAAGGCCCAATGGGTAGACTTGAGAAAGCCACACCCAGCGAGCTCTCCACCCCACCTTACATAAAATTCATCACTTAACCATTCCACAACATTACTGGTATCAGGCCTCCACTTGCAGTTGTACTAACTATCAATCAAGTTTACTCATCTCCTTGAAACTGAACCAAGCAATTCAATTTGAAGAATTTTGTTTAAGATCTATGGAAAATAAATTGAACAGTTCATTCAGAGCCTTGTGTAACATTTCTTTAACAGCAGCCACCACTGTCTTGAGCACGGCCACCTCCCAAGGGCACAGAGGGATTAGATGGTGAATGCTGAGGGCCAATCTTGATTCCATTTGCCTAAAAGGTAAAAAGGGTCTTTGTCAGGGCCACAGATTGCACTCTCTGCTATCATTAGAAAGAACTTAAAAGGTATATTACTTCTCCTACCAGATGGGATAATAATCAAACACACAAAAAAACTGCTTGGCACTGATTTCCCCCTAACAGTTTGCCAATACCCATTTAGATGGATGGGTGGAGAACAGCATTGTGAGGGTTCTATGTCCTGTCCAAGGACACAATGACCTTTTCAAGGCTTGACCCTGAACCTTTGGTCCCAAGTGCAGGGCACTGACCACTAGGCCAATGGCTCTCTCACATAAAAATACATTTTTGAAATAAAGAATGTTGTAGCCTACTGCTCAGTTCAGCTTTTTGAGTTTCATGTTCTTCAGAAGAACTATTTCCATTTGCACTGTCTCCTACTGTCAATAACTGAAGATGATTAGTAAAGGTTCTAAGTAATGCAGTACTGCTGGTCCTGGTCCTTATTGATGAAAAGTCAGTCCATCACAGGTTACCTTCCCATAGCCACCCACCCACTCCTCAAGTGTTTTTTCAGGTCGCCCTTTACCTCCTGAAATATTACTTACACTGCACATGTCAAGAAATTATTTGTTTTAAGTGCTAACCAAAGCTGAATTACAAGAAACATTCACCTCATTGTTGATATCAAAAACACCCTCTTGGATTTTTTGGTAGATTTCCTTAGCTGTGTTAATGAAAGCCTAAAACATAGATTGACAAATTAACAGTTATTCATACCTGTACCTCTCTACTTAGCACATTGATCTATACAACACAGACAAATTCTTCTGTGTACAGTTTGATAAAAGGTCATGGAACACTCATCTTTGACTAGTTTTCTGAAAACATTTTCCTCATGGATAATACTGTTGGAACATTACAGACTAATGTATTATCTGAGAAATTTAGTGGAATATTTGTTGAAAGACAGTTTAATTTTGGACAAAAACCTGAAGAAGATTATTGCACAACGATTCCTCATTCAATGTTGGACATAACTGTGCAGATGCAGAGTTATGCCAAAAATATTTGTTCACCCAAGATTTTGTATCCATTGGTATAAAGAAAGGAAGAATTCATAAATTGCAAAAATTCTCCAGGATAAAACTCAATATCCTCAATGGCTAGGAGGTTGAGGGGGAGGGGGAGGGGATAGCAAAGATCACTGATAATAATAGAAGAAATATCAAGTTTTTCTAGCAAGCAGTTTGCTGAAATCATAGTAAGAAATGTCAACCTTTCCCAAGACCCAGTGACCTTCCACTAAATAAAGTACATAAATAAGCCACAATAGAAAGTTGACATGTGACTCTCACCACACATCCTGACACATAAGTACATTTAAACATTCTGAGAGCAAGAAAAAAAAAAACACAATCACAGGATTTAGCTGTCACTAATAATTTATCAATGATCTCACCTCTTCTACATTTGCTGCAGTCTTTGCAGAGGTCTCCATGAAAATTAGACCATGTTCGCGAGCAAATGCTTCACCCTAAAACAAGAGAGATTAAAGATTAAGTTTCTTTTAAAGTTCTTTCTCATTGCAATCATATATTATTTAAAGAGTGTAGAAGTAAAAAAAAAATTTCTTATAACACAAGACAATGATGTCAAAACATTTAAACCTTTTCAAGTTTACCTCTTCTTTTCTGACATCTCGGCGAGCTTCAAGATCACTGCAGAAGAAAAGATGCATGTAAGAGGCTAAAACTAATAACAGCAATCATAAGAGGTAATATCTATCCATTAGTCTATAACACTGTCCACCACTCTAATAACTCTTTGTCTAAACTCAATTATTAAACTTCACTTTTTGGACAAAACTTTGATAACCATGGCATTTGATTTGCAACAAGCAGGTTGACAGTCATAACAAAACCCACCACCAACAAAAGGTCCTGAAGCAAGTGAAGGTGACAGTTATTGACAAAAAAAAAATTGGAAAGTTATGAGGTACTTAGTTTTAGCCCTGATGTTTATTCAGGTTTTTTTTCCCTAAATTTGGCTCTAAGTTCTTCTAAGGACTTCACCTTTTGTTTCCAATCAACATGATAACCATGTTTGAACTTGAATGCTGCCGAGCATCTTCCAACCATGTTGTCAGATGATTAAACGTATCCCTCCTGTGGAGAGAGACCAAGAAGAGTCAGGAACAGAACTTCTTTTTTCAAACTTAAAAGATTTCACATCATTTTTCTTTAACTCACTTGTCAAAAGGTAGACAGAAAGTGAAAATCAAAACACAAACTTAAGTCACAGACATCCAATGAATGCAACTCCCTGTGTTCCAACTTATTTCCTGGCAACAACACACACTATAAAAATATTTATATCTTATAAGAACAAATGGTTGAAAATATTCGGATACAGCAAGGACTTTAAAATAAACAATGCACTTCTAGTTGAAGTATTGTTTTTTTTCTCAACAGATCATCACATGCTTGGACAAGCTAACACAGCATGCTTGAACATCAATGATAATACACATCTCTATAACTAATGAGTCTTCAATGTTTCAAATATAACAGCAGAGTATTTAAGATAAATAATTGTGAGCAAAATTTAGAAAAAAATTCTGGGATTGGTAATGACATGTTGTTGACTTAATGTTCTCACATTTCCTATGCAAGTTATGGCAGAGTCACTTAAGGCATACACATGCATTGCATGTGCAATAAGTGTTTTTTCAAAGCAACAGTGTTATTTAAACCTCTCCTTCCTTCAAGAGCATTTACAAAAACAAAAAAAAAAGGAAAAAGAGCATTTACAAGAAAGAATAAGTCATTTTCCTCTTCCAAAACTACTGCTTCTTAAGTCCCAGTTTGAGTGAGAGGTGGATTAAGATGGAATTTTTTAACCTTCCTGACTTGGAAGGTACATGTAACTAACCGTGTGATGTCGTAGACTAACAAAGCCCCTGCTGCTCCCCGGTAGTATGAACGTGTGATGGACCGGAAAGATTCTTGACCAGCCTGTGTAAAAACAACACATTTTTAGCCATACAACTACATAACAAAAATGCAGTCTATGCTTCTTAGCAAGCAACTAGACTGGCATTTTAAAGATGTGAGAATGCAATACCAGAATACAAAAATAAGAAAAAACATAGTCCGACTTCACAAACAGTTTTGTTAACATTTGTCTTCTGAAAATTAACATTTTGAGTTTCACCCTTTGCATCTTCCCAAAATATCTTGAGATTAGATTAAAGGACATCACTTCTACATGTGCTGCATGCACTTGGAAGGATAACACCAAGTCACCCTCACTTTTTTTTTTTTTCTTTTTTTCAAAATCGCATCAAAGCAAGCCTGCAATGACCACAATCAAAAATTTCTTTTTTGTCTCTTTTCCACAATCAGCTAAATGGCTACATGTTGTTAGACCAAATTATACAAAATTTTATTCCAATTCTTACAAGGTGAGATGAACTATAATTTAAATTGAATGAGATAGGAAAAAGGATGCAAAACTGTAAGGCTACATCATATGGTTGAAAACATGATGATATTTGATTTTCAATTCTAACAATATTAGTTAGGATTAAGGAAACATGACATCCACTGTGAGTAATCTCCAAATGCAAACGCTTTAGATAAATTTGCCAAAGAAACCCAGATTATCACCTCTTGATTACACTGACTAAAAAAAAAAAAAACCATATACACTAAAATAAAAAGTCTTACTCTATGAAAAAATATTTCTAATGCCACTTAATTTCTTGCTCTTTCTTGACTTTCCTTTTCAACAGCAAAATCACTAGAATATTGAGCTTTGAGGAATTATTTCCTTTTTGTTCATGAACCAAAATAATAACCAGCGAAAAAAAGCTTTTCGTATTTTTCCCAATGAAATACTTTAAAACTACATGAAATTTGAGATTTTCAAAGCCTAATTGACAGGAAGAGTCTAAAAGAAAAATGTGAAAATATAACTTTCCAAACAAAAAAATTAAGAATGCTCCTAGCTGATTCGCGAAAGTTCTTTGGACGTTCTTGAATACAATTTTGTTTGATGTGGCTTTCAATTCAAACCGAAAATTCAGTTCAGCCATAGCGCAGAGAAACATGGCGTTTATGATCATACAAAGAAAATTCCAAAGAAGCTGTTTCATTTTTAATGTACTGATAGGACAAGTGTTCTTTGAAATTTTCTTTGTGAGTTTATGTGCTGTCAAGCACAATAATGGCGAACAGATTCAAATTTAATTTAAACTTACCGTATCCCAGATTTGCAATTTTATTTGTTTGCCATCGATAGTAATCATTCTCGCACCGAATTCAACACCTGACAGAAAAGAGAAATAACAGAAATCAATCATAAGCCGTCACAAACACGAGAAAACTAGACCTTAAAAATTCAAGCTCGTGATCAATGAACTCCGAATGAACGCCGGGTAGCGCTTGAACGTAGCGCCATATTTTAGAGGCAACCTTACCTATTGTGAGGTCGTGGACTGGTTGAAAACGTTTGTCTGTGAACTGCAGTAAGAGACATGATTTTCCAACTCCTGAATCAGAGAAAATCGACAAAATCAGTCCAACACTATGAACAAATGATTTTGAAAACCACAACATTGATCAATAGCGTCCATTTTTGATCTTTGAATTAGGCTTCTAATATTAGCCCGTATTCTTGCGAAAATCACTGCACAAAGAAGGAAAAATACTCTGTGATATTTCGCTTACCCGTATCTCCTATAATAATGTACTTAAAAAGATATGCGTAAGACATTTTAACGATTGAATCTCGAGTTTGCTTTCTCTCTTGTTCACCGTTTATGATGTCATTCGTTCTGACTTATTTATTAGAAAAGACCAATGCCCATGCGTGTGACGTCACCTGGCATGGCCACGTAGCATCCGTTGATCCAGTCCTTACCCTCCAGGGCCCGGTTGTTCAAAACCGCGATTAAACTAATCACCGATTAGGCCTAATCGGCAATTAAATTTCTTAATCGTGGGTTAGTTAATCGTTGGTTAAAAAACGGTTGTTCAAAGGGAGATTACTCGGTCGATTTACTAATCCGCGATTAAGCATAAAATGAATTATATTAATTAATTATAATTTATTTTGTGCCAGTTTACGTCATAGAATTGCCGGAAATTTATTTTTGTCAATATGGCTTCTCCAGCGAAGAAAGTGCGGAAAGCAAACTTTTCACCCGCTGAAATTTCCGTTTTAACGGAAAAATTTGAAGAAAATATGGACATTCTTCAAAGTAAATTTACCAACAGTATAACAAATGCAAAAAAAAAACAAGATTTGGGAAGAAATCTCGGAGGCGGTAAACGCCGTCGGTGTGACAGCAAGATCAACGCAGGAAGTACGAGACAAGTGGAAAAACCTCCAGAGTCACGCAAAAAGAGAATTCAGTTCCTTTAATAGTGAACAGAAGAAGACAGGTGGTGGCCCTGCTCCCCCGAACCCATCAGAAGCCAGTTTAAAAATAATAAACATGTTCAGTGACACATCGTCATTTACTGGGTTACAGGGGTTTGAAACAGGTAAGTTTATAAATGGAAACATTATTGTAATACCTCTCAATGTCCATACCTTGCATAAAATGTATACTTCGCTAACAAACACGGCAAAGTTTCCGCACAGCCCCATACTTCATTATGCATACAGTCCTTTGTTAGAAGAAAACAATAGCGCAAACAATAGATTACCTTTGGGACTATTCGCTTTGTTTTCAAGAAGTTGAATTTTTTTTTTAAGTCTTTACTCAAACCTTTAAAAAATCGCCGTTTTTTAATTAAAAATTGCGCTTAATCGAGCGCTGATTTAAAATATTTTAACAGTCAAATAAAAATTACTATAAGAAACTTATAGATTAAAACAGCTTAAATTCCGCCTCATATTAGCCTCAAAATTGTTGTTTTTGAAAGCAAACATTCGTAAAACGATGAAAATAACATCGATGCTCACCTTTAAAGTTGTTCATTGTCGTTGTCGTTTTTCCTTTTCTCTTTAACAGTAGAGTTGCTTATTTTTCTCTTTGCTTCCTTTTTCTTCGCCCATCAACACCAACACAACCATACAACAAGTCAGCCATGTTGTGATTTTTATTTTTTAATCTGCCGATTAAGGATTTAATCCACCTAGCGAGCAGGGCCCGGTTGTTCAAAACTGCGATTAGCGCTAATCCACGAATAAATAGGCTAATCGCCGATTAAACTTAAGTCGCCGATTAGTTTCTGTTGTTCAAAGCCCGATTATTCCTAACCTTCGATCAAACCAAGGGTTAAATCTAACCCTGCTCGCTAGGTGGATTAAATCCTTAATCGGCAGATTAAAAAATAAAAATCACAACATGGCTGACTTGTTGTATGGTTGTGTTGGTGTTGATGGGCGAAGAAAAAGGAAGCAAAGAGAGTTTAGGAGCATCGGTTTCACGATAGATGGATATACAGACGAAGAATTAAGAGCAAGGCAGACTTTTCGGGCGCCATTTGTTTTTTTGTTTACATGGGAGTACATGTGAAAGAAAATAAGAAAGAAACAAAAGTCTTAAGTCCGTTAATTTTCACTTTGCTTTGTGTTTGTTAGCGAAGTATACATTTTATGCAAGGTATGGACATTGAGAGGTATTACAATAATGTTTCCATTTATAAACTTACCTGTTTCAAACCCCTGTAACCCAGTAAATGACGGTGTGTCACTGAACATGTTTATTATTTTTAAACTAGCTTCTGATGGGTTCGGGGGAGCAGGGCCACCACCTGTCTTCTTCTGTTCACTTTTAAAGGAACTGAATTCTCTTTTTGCGTGACTCTGGAGGTTTTTCCACTTGTCTCGTACTTCCTGCGTTGATCTTGCTGTCACACCGACGGCGTTTACCGCCTCCGAGATTTCTTCCCAAATCTTGTTTTTTTTTGCATTTGTTATACTGTTGGTAAATTTACTTTGAAGAATGTCCATATTTTCTTCAAATTTTTCCGTTAAAACGGAAATTTCAGCGGGTGAAAAGTTTGCTTTCCGCACTTTCTTCGCTGGAGAAGCCATATTGACAAAAATAAATTTCCGGCAATTTTATGACGTAAACTGGCACAAAATAAATTATAATTAATTAATATAATTCATTTTATGCTTAATCGCGGATCAGTAAATCGACCGAGTAATCTCCCTTTGAACAACCGTTTTTTAACCAACGATTAACTAACCCACGATTAAGAAATTTAATCGCCGATTAGGCCTAATCGGTGATTAGTTTAATCGCGGTTTTGAACAACCGGGCCCAGGGTTAGATTTAACCCTTGGTTTGATCGAAGGTTAGGAATAATCGGGCTTTGAACAACAGAAACTAATCGGCGACTTAAATTTAATCGGCGATTAGCCTATTTAATCGTGGATTAGCGCTAATCGCAGTTTTGAACAACCGGGCCCAGATACTGCCAGGCTTGAAGTACTGCAAACACATAAAACGAATTTGTTTCCCCAATCTCATGCAGCATGGACTATGATTGATATCTTATGAAAAAATTGCCTAAATAATCCTGTGACAGGAATCATCAACCCGCAAAGTTCAAGCAGACTCTTAGCTATTGATCATTAAATTAAATCAGGGCCAAGGATTCGCTCTTCTAACAATCTTTAATGCCTGTTACCCGTCTCAGTCCGTTTAGTTGCCTATTATGTAATTTAGCACCGCCCTAATCCAGCGTCACGTTAACACTTTTATTTTGGGAATAACAGGTTGACCTCAGAAAAGGCTTAGCTTGTCACTACATCGCCCCGCACCAGAAGAGCTACAGACAATATATTATTTTCTTTATTTGAGGGAGACGAAAATTCCATTCCGTGTTCCTCTCCAAGGCCACACTAGTCTAAATTTTCGAATAAGCCACGCCGGAAGCCCACCTGAGCCGCTCTAATAGGGACCTTAAGATCCGACGGCGGATGTCTACGATGGCTGTCATGAACGAGGGGGGACTGGGAAGAGGTTGCCGTCGCAAGGCGCGAAAAATCCTTAAGAGACCAATTCGAAGGCGCGGCTGGCATTGTTCACATATTTTCGATTTTCATCATAAAGTACTTCAGTCATGGCTTCCTTTAGAGAGATTCGTAGCATTCTTCTGCAAGGTTTTGATGATGGACGAGTTCCTTCTTCTTTATGACGTTAACACATCCAAAAACCCAGATTTTCCTTATGAAAGTTATGGGAAATTTGATTTTAATGATATGGATGACAGTGAATGTTTATCCGAGTTTCGTTTTTGTAAGAGTGACCTTCCCGTCCTTTCTGAGGCCCTACATCCTCCTAACTACTTTACATGTCAACAAGGAACAATATGCGATGGAATTGAAGGGTTGTGTATTGCATTTCGAAGGTTTGCGTACTCATGTAGACTCATTGATTTAATTCCACGATTCGGCCGCCCAGTTCCAGAGCTAAGTATGATTTCCAGCCTTGTGGTGGATACAATTTATCAGGAACATAATCACAGAATAACTCAGTGGAATGATACACTCCTGAACCCAGGAACACAAAACGTCCAGTGTCTGTAACAGTAAGTCTTTAATCAAGTTTGAATCAAAAAATCTGAACATGAAGCTGATGTAACATGGAAAACCTAACAATAAAATAAAAGCAAGTGTACAAAACAAAATCAAAAAACATATGCCTGAAATTCCTGAAAACTACATTCATCTTGCACAGTGCAAAATCAGGCCATGACTTAGTTTTGTTTTTCTAGAGGTTTTAATATATTTTGAGACTGCTGCTGCTGCATTAGCGTGAACATCTTCTGAAAATTTTACATTTGTTCGTGTTGCTGTTTAGTTCGCTGCAGCATGATCTGCATCAAATCCTGATTTTGCCTTTTTGGACTGCTCTTCCTTCTTGCTCTTAGCCTCTAGTCGCTGCTTCTGTAGCTGCATTTCTTCCATTTTCCATTTCTGCATGAGATCGTTCTTTTCTCGCAAATATGCCACCGTGTCACTACCACTTTTTCGACGTTTTACTCTAGCTGCTGTTTCATTCTCTACCTCATCTTTCCTTTGTCTTTTTTGTGTCCCGCCAAGGTTCTCTAGAGCTCTGTATCTCATTTCCGCTGCTGCCACTATCGACTTTCCTTTTGTCATTTTGCGCCGTTTCTTCAACCACAGCTTCTTTTTCTACTATCCCCTCAAGTGCTTTTTCAACGTCACTCAAATCTGTATCTATTCCACTTGCCTTTTCTTCATCTCGCATCTTTGCTCTAAATTTGTCGCTCAAAAGCGTATATCGTTCTCTCACAGATCGCTTCGTCACTCTGAACTGGGGATGTTGAAGGCTGTTCAGATTGTTCGCTATTTTATCCCAAATTTGGCCCCTTGCAATGCTTCCTTTCTTTGCCTTGAATGGTTCAAGAACGAGAATCTCCTGACAAAGAATATTGTCATGTTGTTCAGTCCACTCCGTGTTGGTTCTAAAGATAAAAAAAAATGTTAACACTTATTTTCTTTTTGTTTGTGTTGCATGTTGTTTATCTTTTTTTTTCACTTCAACCAGAACCCTTTTTTGTTCACCAAATATGCAAGACACTTTCACAGACATCAATAATCGAGAGATTATCATTTACTAAGCGTAATTCGTGTTGAGTTTCACCACATTCATTGTTAGAAACGTGAAGTAAAGAGAATAAGAGAACTTACTGAGCAATCTCCTTGGCACTCGTGTCGGCTGCAGCCATGACCTGTTTAGTGGAGAAGAAAAAAAACATGTTTTTTTCTCGAAAATCAGGTCCCAGAAGAGTAGGCAAACGTATTAAAAATGTTATTGACTCCGTAATGCACAAAATATTCGAAAATTATAAAAAATATTTTATAAAAACACTGTAATCAACTCAGGTTTTTTTTACGAAACGGCAAACCAGTTGTTTTGACGTCGCAGACAACACAGCTACGGCGGGAATTTACGGAAAACGGCTACCAGAAGTAGATAAACACGCATTCAAACTTCCGCCCGCCGTCGTAGACATCCGCCGTCGTAGACATCCGCCGTCGTAGACATCCGCCGTCGTAGACATCCGCCGTCGTAGACATCCGCCGTCGTAGACATCCGCCGTCGTAGACATCCGCCGTCCTCGGATCTTGAGATCCCTAATATTCTGGATCACCACACTGGCCATAGACACTTCGCCCAATTTCAGGCGTAATCAGTGGCTCCATACCGAAAGAATTGAGGTCGCGGCTTGCAAGCTAACGCAAGTTATTTCTCCGTTAACAAATACTTTTTACCTTTATAAGTTTAAATGACCAATTTGCATCTGAGAATAAGAAGAGAAGTTGGTCAAATACGGGAGAGCGCGTGCCTCGAAGGTTTTTAACGGTAAGTCTACTTCGCTGGCTGGGACGTATCTAGATTGAGCCTTCCACGGAGCCCGGTTAGTGAAAAGAGTCACAACTGCTACTCGGAATTATGTTTTTCCCAACAATGTACTACTTGGTAAATTCCAGACGAAATGAAGTTCATGCGAGATTGTTCTTGAAGTAAATATCAGGAAGAGCCAATGAAAACTTAAAGCAAGTCATGCAAATTTCTTTAAGCACGGCCAACGTAGTCGACCAAGTCGCGCCATAGGTTCTAGTTTTGAATCGGATTGACAGTGAGGGAAACGCTCGTTTCTAGATTAACCCTTTACAATCTAACATCAACATGCATATTCTCCGGATTGCTCTCTCTACATTTCCTGAGGTGATGACAAGGAAAATTTGTTTAACAATCAAGAGCTTCTTAAGTTTATCATTTCATTTCTTCTCGAGACCTTTTAGATGTTTGATTCGGGAGGGGGATCTTGTAAAGGGAAATTATATGTTAGTCACTCCAAGGGGTCAAAAAGTTTATTCAACCCCTACACCCTAAAATCAGTATGCATATTCTCCATACTGATCCTATACATTTCCTAAGGTGCTGACGAGGGAGATTTTGCTTAACAATCAAGAGCTTCTGTACTTGTTGATCATTTCCATCATACTCATGACCTTAATGTTTGATTCAGGGGTGATATTGTAAGGAGAAATTAGATGCAAGTCACTCTTAGGGGTTAAAGGGTTAAACCTACTTTTATGAAAAGAAACCTTGAAACCGCACTGAGTAGACTTATGGGCATCTTAAACAATTCACATTGTGAAAGAGCGTCGGAGAACGGTTGCAGTTCTATTACACGGCTTACTCACAGTAGCACAACGCTTGTAAACAATTGAAGATGAAAGAAGCCACTTTGAGTCAGGACTGTTAAGAGACACCAGAGCAGCAGAGATTTATTAAAAATATTTGTAAAAATTTCATTCAAATTAATAAATACAGTCCATTAAATACAGACAAGTTTATATCAAAATTAACTCAGTCAGTTCAAGATTCATTTAAAAGCCACTAGAATATTCACACAGACAAAGGTTAGAACAGCTTTCATTTTGCTGGTCCAAACAACTTGATCAGTCCAGGGTCATCAAGGTTCTGAGGTGGCGACCCTCAAAACCACTCAAAACTAGACAACATTTACAAGCACGCCCTTTCCACAAAGACCGTTACTATGCTAACGTCCTACAATGATTGTAACATCTAGAGAAAGAGCTCTCTATTTCCTTTACCTTACTGCGTGAGTTAACAAAAATCATTCCTTAAAACTTTCCATAGCTGGAACACTCTCCGTTCAATGGAAAAAAGATTACACAAGGCAAAAAAAAAACTAAACTAGGCAATAAACTCATTCAAACACATAATTTTGATTTTCAAGAAGGCGTTCAGTACATTGAACAGCGAAGCCAATTCACACCACATTGGTTTCAACACTGCCCTGAAAAGGCTCTAACCAAGAATATAAAGTATTAACTTTCTCTTGCATTTAGATCGCAGGCCTTGGTATATTTAGTGGCAAAAAAGAAAACCAAAAAGAAAACCTAAAAGAAAACCAAAAACACTAAGCAGTCAACTGGGCAATTTCCGGACTTAGATACGAATTTAGAGCATCTACTAGACAGTTCTAAGTTGATTCGTGAAAATAAATAAGTTTCTGTTCTCTGAGGTAGTTTCTTGATTTGATTGAATTCCATTTTACAGTTAGTCAGCCACAAAAGAGTAAAGTTGGCCATAAAAAGTACAAAAAGACGCACAGAAGTTGCGCACGTATTCTGATCACAAAATAAATACCAGGTCGGCCACACAATATATTAATCTTTCACCAATTGCAGTATCCGAGTGGTTTCCATAATTTTTTTTTCTTCTTTCACTGTAGATAAGGAGACCAAAAAGCTGATATCCGGTTTTTTACGAAGAGAGGACTGCTGTTATAAAAATTACCGTCCGATGTTTTGCTTAGGTCAATTCAAATGTACAATATGCCTAAAGGCGTAGCAAGATTGTATACTATATATTTCTATAAATCATGCATATGTATATAAGAATAATTATATGATTAACAAACTCTACCTCTCTCGCTTTCTCACAAAAGATCAAACAAAAAAGAAAAGAAAAGCGAATTACGAATGTAGTGAAGATAAAGTATTATTTCAAGGTGTTTTCTTTACAGTAAATTCGGCTGTGACGGTCTCCAAGCAATAGTTGCGAACTTTCAGCTGTGCAACGAACATTGATCCGTTCTTGACTTTCCCTGTCGATTAGATAAGATTTAAGCCTAATTTTCACACCACAAAGCAAATTCACGTACATTATTTGAGTGTAAAACGCTCCAAGTTACCAGAAAAAGTCCAGCTGAATTTGCATAATGACAACTTATTTACCGCTCATTAATAGCTACAAATTCTTATGCTACGATAAACGATACAAAGGCCTTCCCTATACTTATTATCGCAACCATTTAAAGCAATTTAAGAAACACCTGAAGTTACTATTAAGGTTAGGCTTTAATTCACAGTAGTCTAACCGTTGGCATAGCCTTGCGATATGTTTAAAAGCTGCAAAAACCTCCCCAGATAAAATAACGCACTTAAATCAGTCATGCTCTGGGCTGCTTTGCGAGGAGACGTCGCTCCCCATACTGGAGGAACCGTGGCTTGCATTGTCAGCTAATAAATCTCCCTTTGGCGACAGCGAAGATGCCGTAGGATGATTACCATTGTTCAAAAGTTGATACGAAAAAGCATTAGATGGGTATCCCTGTGTTCCACTTCCAAGCTGTTGTCCTGCGTAAAGTGACGAGTATGATGAGTTATTAAAAGCGACATGCGCTGACGAACGACTCGGACTAACTGGAGACTGCGCCGGCTTCGACACAGCACTGTCGCCACCAAACGCAGTGCTTCCTTGAGAATTTGGCGCCATACCCATCCCATAAGAAGCGTAATAAGGCGGCATGTGACCGAATGGGCCAAACGGCATGGCATGCGAAAAGTTTCCAAAGTGGGAAGAGTCGTAAGGAAATGCGGCCCGGGCAGGTTCGTTGTGAGAGTCCGATTTGGCTGTTGAGGTCAAAGACGTTGACGAAGATGAATCAAACTGAGATTTAGGCACCGAAGCACCGTAGTTCATGTCATTGTAGGATCCAGGTAAGTGATGTGACGATTGCGCTCCAGATGCTTTGGGTGTGGTAGGCTTAGACTTCTTATCGGAGGACAATCTGTTTAGCAGAGATGAAGGTAGAATACCCTGAAATGAACCATAAGCAACACTTGTCAGTCTTTAAATATATAAACGAAGAAATGGAAGGGAAAAATATATTCACTAGTAGCTGTTTGCTTATTTCAACACTAGCGTCATTTTGTCATATTTAAGTTTCTTCTTTTCCACCTCAACTCCTTAGCTGGTTAATAGGACATACTCTAACTCGCAGCCAAAACTTAATTTGTATGATCCACTACTGGAATCAAATACCAAGTTGATCGCCCACATAATCATTAAGCTATGGACAGAGCGCTTTTCGATGGAGTGTCGTTAAACCAAAACCAAAGTTAATTGTATAGAGAAAAGTATAGAGGATATGCATACTGATATCATAGTGTACAGGGATTTGTAAGTATAACCCACCATTCGCGATTCTATTGGCTACTTTACATCACGTGAGGCAAAATCGCCAAAAAGTTATCACGCAATAACCCTTCCATTAACGTCGATATTAGTCGTAGGATTATTTCCGTCGAAAACAAACAAAGCCAGCTCAAGAGTTTCACGTTTTACTTTTACATGTAAGAAAAACAAACTCCTTTCGTAGAGTTAAATGCTGCTCTGGATATTATATTGGCAGTCGACGCGCGATATGAAAATGAATGTGAGGGCTATAAAATAAATAAACCCCCTTCTGACTAGCTGGTTTGTCAGCTGATAATGTCCTTGGCTAAGAGATTGTCCTCAAAATTGTAAATTTGCCCAGGTAGCTTCGCTTCTCGGCCAAATAATAAATTATCGGACAATATCTAAGCCGCGGATATTATCAGCCGACATACCAGCCGCTCCGAAAGGGTTTATTCACCAAATACACCCAACAGACTTAGAGCGGGAGAAAATGCCAATGACCAGGGGGTGACTGCCTCTTATCTTGGATCAGATTGGCCGAGAGGATGGAGCGAGCTTCCTGGAACAATTTGCTCATTGGGCTAGTTTTCAACGTTTTATCACTATTATTTCTTTCCCGTGATAAGCTTACCTTGCTACGCACAAATGCTACAGACTCTTCAGCAACGTCGTAACTGGTATTGAGCTGCAACCACTCCACAAGGTTCGACAGCTTTGGCGCTACATTTCCTACCAACTAAAACGTACAAGAAAGCATGAAACAAACAGACAAACAAACAAAAAAAAATACTAAAATTGAATCGAAGATTCCTCTGTCACCCAACAAGAAAGCAATGGTCTGACCAAACACTGAAATACACAAACCTTTCGTCCTGTTTCTCTGTCAATAACGATGACGGTATCGTCCTGTCCGCTTGTGCCAAGAGAGTCACTTTCTAAACCCGACGAGTTCTTGTACTATAAATAAAAAAGAACCGTTCTATTTAAAAATTTCTGCATCCTGCACGAGTCTCATCTCTGATCGACTAAACTTCCTTTTAAATAATCCTGAAAAAGTGCAGACATCAGTTTTCTGACCACGACGTCACTGAGTTAACTTCACCCAAAAAGGTAGCTATGAAATTTACTCATTCAAGTTTATCAAAAACATACCTCTTCGGCAAAAGTCGAGAAGGCAGGTTTGGCTCCACTTTCATGGGGTGATTTTGGAAGAGCAGTTCTCCCGTGGCCAGCATTGGTTTCCTCTATCACAGACACTCGGTTGATGTCTCCTTCCACTCTACCCGAGAGAGAGAACCCAGTCCACTCTAGGGCAGCGCCTTCAGGTGGGATTGCTACACCACCAGTGTCGGCCAATCTGCCCGCAGATCCGAGCTTATCGGTTTTAGGTTTCCTCCCTCGTTTTTTCCCAGGTGGCTTTTCGGGCTTCTCTCCTTTTTCTTTCTTGGAAGCCCTCTTTTTCCTGGGAGGTTTCACACCAATGGGAGCGGCATCCCACCTGAAGTCGTGGCCTTGGGCCTCCAAGTTCATCACGCCTTCGTTCCATTCCCCATCGTGAACTTGAGCGGGCATTTTTCTATAACCTTAACATTCCAGACAGAATATAAGATTCAAGTAGGAGACTTATTCTTTTTACCGAAAGAGGAACGCATACGGTTAACCAGTGTCATTTCGGGGACTAAGGTGTAGTTGTATATTGATTTTTTTTCTTTTTAAAAAGGATCGATTTAGGCTAAGAAGGCATAATTTACTGTGTTATATTAAAAGCTTGAAGTCCAGTTTTGCACTCCCGCGCTTTTTTCTTTCAGAGTGCTTTTTAAGGGAAACAGATTTTAGTCAAGTTTACTGTCGACGCACCCACTTCTCGTTTTCCTAAACTTTTAATCGCGTTTTCAAAGCGAAGAGGTTAATAAATTCGTACCTGGCTCCGGAAGACCTGGTCCTCCATCCTCTCCGAGGCCTTCACTCATCTCTGCAACGCAAGAACAACCGTAAGTACGAGGACCCTTAAGGCAAATATTGCAAAGCAAACTGCTCTCAAGTTATGCCAAAATTAACCTTTTCAAATTTTTTTCCAACTTTTAACAAACTTTACCGAATCCTCTCCATCTTACTAAGTTGGTAAATTATCTATTAAATGCCAGCTTGAAACTGGAAGATTAGCCAACATTACACCTTGATTAACTATCACAATGTTGTGCCAAGTCAAGACTAAATGAAAAATTCAAGTCACTCTTTCAAACATAGGTCACTCCGTAGAATTCAACACCTATGCTGATGTTATAAACATGCTATGGCGACCAGACACGTACAGCCAACCATTTTTACCTTCTCGGACGGGATCAAGAAAACACCAAAAACAGAAACAACAACAACAACAAAAGCTGCAATTTTGTAAACAAACCTGCATCTCTTTTCCTTTTTCTCCTGTTCTTCTTGAAGGTAAGCTTTAAGCCATCAAGCTGACAGAACAACACAGGTAGAGAAGGTGTTATTGGTTTTCGTGCTTTCCTCAGCAAAATATAGACGGTCGAGTTGACAAAGTGTAAAAAGGTATTATGATTCACTGATACTAGATAAAACATACGGTCTTTACTAATTAACTCTAAATGCTAGTTTGAACTAACCCTCTTAAGTTTAAATGCTTTGGAGGGGTCTTCTGGCACTCCATCCTCACCAACAGCAAACCCAGGTGGCAATGAAGCCATATCAACATCTGCTATACCCGGGTACCCTGAAGACATAGGTGAATTTGCTGCCAACTGATTCTGAAGTAAGGCGTCTGCCACTTTACTTACAATAGGCCATTCGCCTTTCAACACACACTCACAGAGCTGATCCAGACGCTGGATAACGACTTTGTCCTGTTGCAAGAAAAGCATAGTGAACTCAGTACAAATTGGAGTATAATTAAATTGGCCAAGCACATCGAGAGCGGGTAAAATGCATGAACTTATAGAAACGCCAGACACTTCTGTGGCGGGGACGGCAGCTCGAAATTAAGAGTTTTCTTCTCTGCACTTGCGACCACTCTCAAGCATGTCATTGTTGGATTAAAACACGCAAAAAAAGGGCGTTCAACTAGATTATCCAATGTCAGAGCACCCAAGAAGAAATTGAATTCTTCGGTCGCCGTTCGTTAAAGAAATGCTGGTGTTCTAGTTCCCTAACTAATTACCAGCTCCACTGACCTTGGGCCACCTAACAGAGAAAAGGGAAGTGTCGCTGGACTGGTTGTCTTGGTTGAAGCTCAGTTGTGACTCCTCATCTTGGCCTGCCCCTGGATTTAGTTGAGTAGGAGTAGGGGTGTTCTGCCTGCTGGATTCCTCCATGTCCTCAATTTTAGGTTCCACAACTAATGATGGTGCAGCGTCTTTGACAATTCTCTGCCCCTGAGCAAGAGCTGCTGAATCTTGGTCAGAGGATACTGACCCGTAGGACATAGTCACTGAAGCGTCTGGGTCAGGTTTCACTGAAGGCGAGCTTAGTGCTGTTGATTCGGGGGGAGGAGGTTTAGGCAACTTCTCGCTGGGTGATGACAGCACTTCTTCGGATGGTGTTCCATAATCAGGTAGCTGCTGAGACAAGCTTTTCATTGGCTGGTCACCTTGTCCATCCCCTAGATCATTTTCGAGAGGTGAGAAGCGATCAAATGGAAGTGAAGATTCTGTCTTCATACCTCCTGCTGGGGATGGTGTTTTCTCATCTCCAGGAACTAGAAAGAAAGAACGACGTGAATAAAATTTCTTTATGCTACTGGTAGTTATCAAATGTGGGTGACAAGCAGCCAATAAACACTGGAAAAATGACTATCACTGGTATAAGGGGAAAAAAAAGAGGAAAATTGGAAGAAAGAAAACAGGTAAAGAGGGGAAAAAAGGATGTACCTTCACATATTCAGCGACGGAAAGGATCATATTACTTAGTTTGCAAACCTGTACCTTTGTTCACGAGTAGGCCTCCGGGATTTGAAGGTAACTTGGAAATAACTTCCATAAATGACAGTTCAGCATCACTCAGCAGATTAAAATCTGTTCTACTGATCCCATGTCTACAAACATGACGAAGTCAAATCTCAGTTCAGAAAGACAACGACAAATGACCTTCACATCAACAGAAGAACTACCTATCGAAAATGAACACTTCCGTCCTTACTCATCAGACAACCTATGAGGTCTGACTTTATATGAAAATTGCAATTGCTACTTCTCTAGAAGATTGACTATGAGAGGAACTGTCCACAAGGTTATGATTTAGGTCAAAACAAGGAACTTAACCTAACAGAAAAAAATACTAATAAAACGCATTTGGGATGGTGTGGTATACCTTCTCAGACAGCAAAACAAAAACACCAAAACAAAATAAACAAAAACGAAAAATGAGTTGATTGAATTAAATGGGCCTAGCAAAATAATTATCTCTTTACATATGAATAAAGGAGGTAAGTTTCTAAAGAGGCTGTGGTGCTGCGTCGGTGGTATATAACACTAAACTACCCTATTTCTTTACATACTTTGCCACCCCAAGTAACAAGTCTTTGTCGTGTTTGCCGCACTGCCACCAGTCAGGGAAACTGGAAGAAGGCTGAGCCAGCTGAAGGCGTTCGTCTAGCTTCTCGTGAGGCAGAACCTGCACAAGAAATTCACCAGAGATTCAATACTGACTTTCTATACTTTCTAACTGACAATTTCAACGGGCTAAAACATGGTTGTGTGTAAGTATGTACTGTTTGCTATTTTCACGCTTCAAGTGAATACTACCACAAGAAAATATCTTACCTCCTCTCGGATCTTTGAGAGCAGCTGTATTCTGTAAAGACTTCTACTGGCTCGTTCTTCTGAAATAGCTTCCACACCTGTACCTTTAACGTAAGCAGTGATCTACGTTAAGAACATGCCTTGACTATACACTTTCACCCCAGTTGCAGTCTCAATAAATATTAAAAGTGTTCCACTGTGTTTGAACCCCTAACGTTTAAGTATCACTCCAGCAATGCTACGGTGAACACAACATTTCAACAAGCATAACTAAAACCATTACAATTTGTTTCTTAGGAATATCAGATAGGATACGAGAAGACGCACTTTTACCAATTTTGGGTATGATTAGACAGCTCCGAGACCATATGAGGTACACATATATAAGAGCTGTGCGTGAAGTCTACAATGCGGTTATTCTTCGATTTAAAAACATTAAACAATAAGACCTACAGTGTACAACTCTTGTGAATAAGTTCTCACGCTTGAAACAAAGCAGAGGAAAAAACGATCTCTCTTATGAGCTTTGTCAACGTACAGCTGTGTATCAAGCAGTAGCTTATTTCAGTGAGTATTTTACTCACCTTTTCCAGCATCTTCCTCTGTAGCTTGGCCACAAACTCTTCTACACATGGCCATGAAGTCAAGGTAGTATTGTGTCAACCTCTCGTCATTCTTCTTGTCCAAACGAGCTAAACGTCTGCAAGAAAAAGCAGCAAGTACACTATTAACTCAGACTATATATGTCAAACTTAGTGGAGCGTGGAAGGCTGAACTCTGACAGGTAACAAGTAAATGAGTTGGTGAGGACGCTTTTACTATACGGAAACCACAGTCTCATTGTAGGTAAGGTTTTGTCATCACGTAGTTCAGGATGTGAACAGCAAAGATTATAATCATCGACTGTAGTGCAGAAGCCCAACCTAATAGGTAAACACTACTACAGAAGCTGATCATGTAGGCTTAACGTAAAACTACCTGAATCGTGACCAGTCATAAGTTCCATCCTTCTTATTAAACTCCACACCAAACGTGGACACTGTGCGATAAAAGTCCACCTCTTCTCGCTTTGACCACCTTCGAGAAGAAAAAAGAAGTGGGTAAATTCTAAGAGCTCAAAATAAGGATAAGCTTGCAGCATTAGGTGCCATGATCAACCTTTTCTCAGATCTTTGCACAAAGATGCCAAAGTGGGGGTCAATGCAATGCCAGTTTCAAAAAAATTTATATGAAGGAATGTGACAAAATGGGAAAGACTCAAATAATTGTGCGTAGAAAAGTGCACCAAATGGGCGAGTAAAGGATGTCATCTACTCCAGCAACAGCAATTCAAGCCCCAACTCTACCATGTTTACTAAGTTAAATCCAGGTAAAATAATACTTGTGTACAGACATACTTTTGAGCCATTTCAGCTTTCTTCAATTCTTTTTGCCTGACAGCCTCTTCAAATCTCTCCTTTCTTTCCCGTTCCTATAAAGCAATAAACAATCCACCATCAAGTCAGACAAATAGACAATCCATCACCTTCCACTATTTAAAACGATCAAACTAAAGAGTGAGACCTTAAACACACCAACATTTTCCCACCAGATATCTAAGACCGTGGTACGTTTACTTCTTTAAAAGAGTACTCACACACCTTTTCGGCTGCTGCTTTCTTCAGCTCCTGCTTTTTCACTACTCTCTGATAACCTGCAATGATTCTCCTCAACCTTGTGTTCAAATCAGATGATGTCGGCCACCGTAGACGTGTACTGCCCCTAACTTCACCTGCAGCCGCTGAAGAAAAAGCAGAAAGGTAAAATTTATAATGTGTTTGTGTGCTTGATGTGATGATCAGAACAGGAAGTACTTCTCAAAAATAGTGTGGGAAAATAAACAAGAAGTCTACACTACCATCATAGGTCTTGTCTGCTTTACGCGGAGTGCCAGGTGAAGATACAGCGGACACAGTGTCCTACAATATAATAGAAAAGTTGTTAAATAACTATGACACTGAACCTTTAACTTTAACCTTAGAAACTCAGGGTAACAGAGATAACGTTGCATTTCAATAACCCTTCAACTCCCAAGATGTGATTGTTAACTTTGCCCTCCAGCTGTTCCACATGTCCTTGTTAAGAGTATTTGATGTTATATCAGATCAAAACTTTTACCTGAGAAGTATACACATTACCCGTTTACTGTATAATGTATCGATACTGTAAGGAGAAGCTAAATGTTAATCACTTTTGGGAGTAAAAGGGTCACTGCATAAGCAATCGTTTTGATGCTACAATCCCACATAATCTGATTAACATTACAGTAAATCAGTATTCAGGACTGATAAGGTCGAAGTAAGTTCCTGGAGTGTTCAAGAGCTATTTAAGACTTTGGAAACTTGTAATATAAGAGGTGAAGTAATTCCTATGACCCATGCTAACCAGAGGTCTGTAGTATCGAAAATGAAGAAGTCAAACTCTGAAAATCCACTGTACCTTGTCATCTTCGTCATCATCATTGTCATCATCTTTCTGCGACAGACTGGATGGTTGCTGATAGTCTGGGTCATCGTTAGCATCACCATCATCCTCATCTCTTCACAAAGAGAGACATTAATACCGTTAGAAGTGAAAATTTCTACTGAACCGTAAAATCCTTTGTAAATGCTAAACTGGCGGCTAAAACCAGCTTGCAACTAACATCCTTGATCAGTTGATCAATTTTCTTCCTGTGTCTCAGTAGTCTAACATGTTTCTGCATCATTTCAAGGATGCTTCAGTTTAGGTATACAAATAAATCCTTCATATTTAGAGTGTGAGGAGAAATTATTTGCCAGAATACATTTTTCCAGAAATGGGGAGGAATGATATACATGTACTTTCCACTTAATATCTGTATACAGCTATAATTCTGCCACAGGTTTTAAATCAGAATGAACTCACCTATCATCTGGATCAGTAGGTTCACCAGTCATAGATTCATTCATATTATTAGGAAGGCCAACTCTTGAGAGAAAACACAAGCTAGGATCTGCTCTCATTGTCTTGTAATGCTCATACCCTTGGAGGAAAACAGAACACAGTGAGAAAGAGGAAGGTTTTCAAATGACTACCTTCAACTCTAAACCACAATTATAGCCACTTACTTCCATTTGGAGAGGTATTAAAACAACTGAACATTACATGACTAAACACTGAACAATGTTCACTTCCACTGTTTGTGTTTAAAAAGGAAGCTCATCATCGGCACACTCACCATACTTGTAGACTCCCACTAGAAGTGACTTATCACACTCTTCATCCCACCAATTGGCTGGGGGATCTCCTTCAGGGGGGTAAATGGTTATGTCTAACTCACTGAAAAAAATAATAATAGTAGTAATCAACTGCACTAAGGATCCAATATGCTACTGCTATTCTAATCTAATCGATTCCATCTAATAATGGGTCTTCTAGGCTTGTAAGTCCTCCCATACAAAATAACAAAAGAATGTTAGAGGTATTCTTTAAGAAAGATTTTATTGTGAAATTCTATTTCCTTTTTTCAAAAGGCCTCAGTGAAAGCCTCCTCTGTCTTCTTTTGCCATGTAACACGATATATCTCGGGATGTTACCAGTTTATACTGAACACATATGAAAAAATCTTCAGCAAACAAGGTCCTGACAATATCATTGCACTATAACAAAAGCAGTAATAATAATAAAGTGAAAATTAATCCTTTCAAGAATTACAAAATCCTATTCTCAAAAATTCAAGACTGATATTCAAGTTGCATTACCTTGCATTGCACCCCTCCTTTATCTTTGGTCCAAGTTTTCCAATCACTTCATGTCTTAGGAAGTAAAGCAGCTTGACACGCAGCAGAATCCTTAACGACAAATAAGACAGAATGTTTGAAACTAACTGAACTAGCAAAATTCTTTGTAAACCACAGTTGGCTAAGTTTTAAAGTAGGCACAGATGACACACAAACAAACAGAATAAATAGAAGTGCCTCCACTCCAAGATTAAGACTTAGACCAAATACTTTGCCCCTTTAGTGACCATAAGAACCAAAAATAAGAAAACTACAGCTATTTCAACCAAAATCTCCATATCACTGTCACTCTAAGATCACAAAATAAATTCTCTCTATTGTCTACCATATACTACTCCTAATGTTATAGCCAAGAATTTTGTGTTAAATTACAAACTGTTTCCTTGAGATTTTTCATATTTCTCATCAACTCCCTGCTTCTCAATACACTGATATGGAAAAGGTAAATTGCTTCTTGAACATTCCTGGGAGTTAAGTGGTTAGTCTATTCCTGAACATTTGATTGAAAAGCTCTCTTACTTATTACAGTGGTGTTGCAAATGTTTCTTATAACCCTCATCCAATATGATGCTCTCTGGGTCGCATGTGCGCCACTCACTGCCAACTTCAAGAAGGGCAATGGCACTTTTGTTCTTGTTGGAACTCTTTCCTTTCTTATTCCTTGTCTTTGTCTTGCCAGTCAATGGTAAGGGTGTGTATGTGGCATCTCGCTCCTCACTAGGAAGTCTTTCCCGTGTAACAGAAGCTTTGACAAGGTCTCTGATAAAGCACTTCACTTTCTCATCTCCTTTGTAGTGGTGGAGGCAGTAGACTAGTATTGTGCGTGAAATGGCTTCGACATCTCTTTCAGAGACCTTTGTTTTGAATCTTCCTGAAGAAATAATATCTTTCCACTGACCCCAGCTAGAAAAACCATGAATAAGAACGATAACAAATCAATCAATCAAGCATTCTTTGGGGACAGAACCTAACATAGAGTAATTTCCACTGCATACCCATAAATAAGCAAGTTCTTTTCCACTCTGAAACATTCTACCCTAGTCCAGGATGATCTCCTTGGCAAAGGTGCTTCATCATCTTCTTCAAGGTCCAAGTCTGACAGTTCAAAATCCCCATCTTCATTGCCATATCGCTTAGTCTGCTTCCTTTGCCGAGGTGCATCAATAATACGATTGTCCTAGAAGTAAAAATAATGTAAGCTATAGTCAGTACATAAATGGTAGCTACATTAACTGTTTTTGTACTTTTAATCCAAAGAGTCAAATTTTTAAGGATATATATGTTTTTAAGGATATATATGTAAAACTAATGTAAAATCACAAATAAAACATTGATTACCACACTTCATTGGGCCTTTTTGCCCATTAAAAAGTTAACATTCCCCTTTGTTAAATATAGGCTGGCTATGGCCTTCATGACTTGCCTTGTTCATGAGATCAACGTCTAATTCTGCCTTCTTAGCCCACTTTTGCCAAAAGTCAGGATCATCAATGTCAATGTCCTCTTCACCCTTGGATGACACAAAGCTTGCCTACAAAATGATCCACAAGATAATGATAATTTTAGTGACTGTGCACAAGAAAACAGGGCTGGGATAATAATAGCAACTACAAAAAAAAAGACAGCTTATAAAATTTTGAAGAGAAAGCCTCTTCTTTACCTTGGCAAAAGTTGATCCCTTCCCCTGAGACTCAATTTGGATAACTTGTGTGCGGCGTTCAAGAATTTGGTCTATATCTTCTTCACAGAATCTAAAATAAAATTAAAAAATTAAAGGAAGGAACATGTAAGTGCATTGCTAGGAAACCTCTCTATGTAATTGACACTTTTGCGGAACACACTTACTTGGAGCTGTCATCATTTTCTTCTTCCATGATTGCACCATAGGCACCTTTTCTCAGCAAGTCTTCAATTTCTCTTTTAGACAATGATTGCTGCAGAACACAAAGAACCTGCTTAGCTATAGTTTGAATTTAATTTTGAAATAAACATAGGGTAGAATTTGTAATGCTAAATTCCCTGACAACATCCTTCATTCAAAGCAAAAACCTATTTTGTTTCCTTTGTTTCAATAAAATGCCTCCCAGTTATTCAGTCTTGAAACAATGGAAAATTTAACTTGAATCACTGGGATTAAAGTTAGACCATCATCTCTGCACCACTAAAATATAGGCACATTCTGTAGCCAAATGTTGTAAAATGCTTGACTGCAGCAGCACTCAAACCAACATCACAAATAAGGCCAGAGGTACCAAAAGTATTTATTGTAGTCTGACCTCAAAGCATAACAAACACATTAGAGTTCTTTCATGTATAGAGTCCCTTAGCACACCTTTTACAGTGCTTAACTACTACTGAATACTCTAACACTTTGGCTCTTACATTATTGCTTGCATTCTCCTTGGTATTCATGGACTGTAAAACAGCTTTATCCAGACCCAATTTCATGCTTGCCCTGTCGAACATTTCACGCTCATAAGAGTTCCTTGTAATGAGCCTGTAAACCTTGACAGACTTGCTCTGCCCAATACGATGACATCTTGCCTGAGCTTGAATGTCGTTCTGGGGATTCCAGTCAGAATCAAAAATGATAACAGTATCTGCTGCTGTCAGATTGATTCCCAAACCTCCAGCTCGGGTACACAACAAGAACACAAAACGATCAGAGTCAGGCTTACTGAACCTGTCGATAGCTGCCTGACGCAGGTTTCCTCGCACACGCCCATCTATCCTCTCATAAGGATACCTCATGTGAACAAGATAGTCTTCCAAAATGTCAAGACAACGAACCATCTGCGAAAAAACTAAGACTTTATGCCCACTGGATTTCAGTTTTGGTAGAAGTTTATGAATAAGCACCAGCTTTCCAGAAGCGTCAATCATGATGTTTACATGCTTGATTGTCTTCTCAACCAATGACAAGTTATGCTCAGCAAGCACTTTCTCCTCAGCTCCAGTGATCAGGAAAGGGTGATTACAGCATTTGCGGAGTTCCATCATGGTGTTCATTAAGTTTGGTACATTTGCACTGGATGTTGCTCCCTTGCTTAAAAAGGCAAAGTTGCGCTCAAGAATTGCCCTGTACAGTTTCTTTTGTATGGTGGTAAGTTCAACCTATAGGTATAAATCAATCAAAGACAAAGATTTTCAAAACTGGCTTTTCTTGATTAATGTAATAATAAATAGCACAAAAGGAAGAAATAAACATCTCACCTCAATGATGGTTTCTTCTTTGGGTGCAATGTTTTTCTCAACATCTTCTTTAAGTCTTCTCAACATCATTGGCTTTAGAAGCTGGTGAAAATGTAAAAAAAAATTAAAAGTGATCAGAAAACATATTGAGTTACCCATTCCTGAGAGTATGCGTAAGGATGCTCTTATTTAATCTTACTTCTTGGCTCAAACTTTAGTTTCCACACAAAAAAGAAACAAAAAACAACCAGTACTACTCATAATAAATAAATAAAGGCCAAAAAGAGACCAGGAAAATACCACAACATGGACAAATGTAAAGTGCTATAAATACTCAGTTTGACTTAAATAGAAGCCTCCATCACATGAAGCCATTATTCAGAGAAAATAATAGAACAGTATCGAAAGAAAATTTTTCCTTTGGCAAATTAAAAGTTGTTGACGAACCTGTTTGAGTTTCTCAACCTGAGCCTCAGTTTTAAGGTCACCAAACTCCATAAGGAAGGCAACCTGGGAAGGAAACTGTGCTGGTTCCAGGAAGTTCAAAAGACTAAACAACTCATCTACATTGTTCTGCAAAGGGGTTCCCGTCAGTAGTATTCGGTGTTCCTATCAACAAAAAGGCAAATAAAGAAACAAACAGGACAGTGTGTCTAAATAACTGCATTAATTTTTGTTTAAATATATACGTTCAGTTCATTAATGGCAATGGCTTGGGTAAATAGGTTCTCTAAATAACTGCATTAATTTTTGTTTAAATATCTACATTCAGTTCATTAATGGCAGTGGCTTAGGTAAATAGGTTCTCTTCATTACTCAATATGAAGTGTATAGTCATCAAAACCAATCCATAAGACCACACAGGACTGACTTCTCCTCCACCCCACTGAACTCACCAAACTTTTCTCAGTTATTTGGATAAGCCACCACCATTCAAGTCAACAACCTATACTGCTCTCAAGCCTTTATTAAGATTCGACAAAAGCAGTTATTTCTGCAAGTGACAAGACAATTCAACTAGCCTCTGGAAAAGTTTCCCAGACTTTCCCTGTTTTATACTGTATCATTTTGACTGTTTTAAATATGGGAACAAGCTTACAGTGTATGCAAATGGTAACTTCCTTAAACAAGAAGGAACAAAAAAAGTAGTTTTTTAATACCATGCTGAGGTTGTTAAGTCCTTCCAGCAGTTTGCAGTTACGGTTCTTCAAACGATGAGCCTCGTCAATAACCACACATCTCCAAGGCACTGCACTCAGTTGCATGTTGTCAGCTTATGGAAAGATTGAAATAGGGTACAGCATTGTTACCATTAATATCTATTTCTCACACAGAAAATAGTTCTATATCCCAAACTCCACATAAAACAATTCTCAGCTTGATTGAATGAAATGGCAAACCTTACAAATTTCTTATCCTAAGGAAAGGAAACTATTTTGAGTGGGATGATTAAAAAGGGGTTGTACCAAAAAATTTAAAATCTTCATACCTATGATTATTTCATATGTTGTTACCATTGCTTCAAATTTGTACAATCCTGGAATGGGTTGGCCCTGAAAAATTATCAAACAGTATAAATGTCAGTGCTGCAAAATTTCACAATTGAACAAGACACCTGTCAAAATCAAATGACACCTTTCACAAACATCTTCAGATCATACAGTTTCATGATAACATGCTAATGAGTGAGGGTTAAGAAATCAACTGCATTCTAATCACTGAATAAAATGTTATAGACATGGGTATTTGTCTATCTTAATTCTGTAAAAAAAGACCTCACTCAACTATTTTGTGATGTATGCAAAGGTCACTTACATGTTCATCTCTGAAGTAAAATTCATATTCTTGAATCAAATGACGGCTTGACGCACTAGAATACAAAAAGGCCACATGTAAATCAAAGGTGCAGTCTTAATAGAATATAGTGATGCATGCAGCAGAAACATCTTATCTAGCCAGTTTTCCTTGAGTTTCTCGATTTCAATATTCTAACCTTATATTGAAAAATAATTATGTTTTTTAATACTTAGATATGTTGAGGACTTACCTTCCATGGTAGACAACAGCATTAATGTCACTCCAAGTCTCAAATTCTCTTTGCCAGTTGGAGATTGTAGAGAGAGGTGCAATTACAAGGAATGGACCCCTGACACCATACCGCTGCAAAAACAGAAACAAAAACGACAATTTATGGGTCTTCTTATGAACAACTTACTCCAAATGTAGACTATAACTGGTCCTTTTTAAAACTACTACTAGTCTAGTGGCTTGGTTCTAACAACCAACCAAAACTGCAAATAGATCACATAGATTTAAAGACACCCTTCCTTGCTCTTGTATCATACTTGTTGCAAAGGTGTCCTGAGCCAAAAATTCTTTAAGGCAAACATCATTCCAACTTACCTGCATCTCAACCAGAAATGAAATGGACTGAATAGTTTTTCCAAGTCCCATCTCATCAGCTAGAATGGAATTTTGCCTGAATTAAAAGTTTAAAAATAAAATAAAAATGTCAACAAACATTGAATTTTGCAAGTAAACATTAGAATCCATTCCATTAAGTCTACAATACAGTAATTAATCAATTCCAAATGCCATTTGACCTGCAACTCTTTTGTTTTTCCACATAATTACTCTAAATATATTTCCACTGCCTGTAAAAAATCATAATAGAAGTACCATGCACAAAGAACTACTTCAGTCTGCTTTGATGTAAAACAGGAAAGGAAAGCAATCAACTCTAGTGAGAAAGCTGCACATTACAAGATTTTCTCAAAGGTAAAATAGATAACCAAATTCTCTCCCCACTACACAGAATTCTTGCACTACTTTCGATTGCTTGAGTTGTTTTATTGTTTAACTGTTACTTGACACTGTTCTTTTGCGATGAAATTTCTTGAAAAAATTCCACATTTCAGACCACAAAGGAACAAAAAGTTTTTCATGCCACCTATTGAGAATCATGTACCTGTTACACCAGCAAAAGGTGAGCCAATTAACACCTTCAAGCTGATAGTCACGTAGCGTATTTCCTTCTTTATACACTGGCGATGCAGCCATCTTGCACCACTCATGTGGGTATGGGCGAGGGCGGAACTGCATTAAAAAAAAACAAAACAAAAAAAAAAAAAAAACCAGATACCCCTATTTGGTTACTTCTAGGAGTCTGGGTCATTAACACAAGGAGTGTACATGTTAAGCCATGGTTAACAGAAAGTTCAGGGTTTTATTCCACGTACGAAATCATCTTTAACCTCAAACTGATTTATTTTAAGACATGTCTGGTTATTTAAGAAGATTATCAGGCCTGCATATTGTCACACTAGCCTTAGAGGGATCTCATTACCAGACTGATGTTTGTGTTTAAGGTCAGACCATGTCAAGAGGTTAAAAATGGCAGAACTTACCACAAGCACACAAAAATTAATTGTGGTTTCCTATAAGAAGTGGTTTATCATGAAAGCTTTCCACTCTCTGTCACGCAAAAATCTGGCACTTTACAAATATGATAATTTTGCAGAAATTGTTACTTGAGAGAGGCACTTCCACTGTGATATTTAACTTAATTATTTTTGGCTGGAAAATGCCACTAAGAGAACTGGTTACAATCAGTTTAAGCACCAAATTTTAGAGTTTTTGTGCATTTTTTTTCCTGCGCTTTGCCCATTCATTCCATAACACTTCTTAAATTGTTTCTTCATGAAAGATTGAACAGGTTTGCTTAAAGGGTAAATAAAAATCAGATAACATTACAATGTAAGCCTAAGGAGTCTAATATGCTCTTCTCCAAGCATCAGTATAAGGCAAGATATACATGTAGATGCACAAAAACTCAAGTGGCTGAGATATTGAGCACTACAAGTTGACATTGGACAGGATTCCAACATTACAGCACAGAGCAAAAAGCCTACCTGTCTTAGAGCCATAGGCGGATGTTCCTTGAGTTTGTGGAACTGCTTGATTTTTGTTTCATCAACATCAGCCTGACATTGAACAATGAGCAAAAAATTGTAACTATGCTATGCTATGTTTAAGTCAGGACTTCAAACAGTTCAGTTACGACAACCAGATAAATGTAAAGCCAGACAGTCTTATGATTTTTCTCTGTACCAATTACCTCAATTTCCCAAGTACTTTCTTCATAAGGTTGTGAACACCATTTAACAAGGTAGTGGGTGATTGGCTGTAAAAGTGAGAAAAATAATTTGTATTTAAATAACTATACTCCATACAGGCTGAAAAAATATGGACAAATTGCCAAAGTCAGTATATCAATTTAGCATATTTTCAATACTGTTAAAATGACTTTTTACAAATAGGAATTGATCAATCTCTTCCCAAAAGACAATCATCTTCTAGCTTGCTTTAAAAAGTTTAAACCCAACAAAACAGAATGCCACCAGGCACAAACTCAATTTTGAAATTATGTTGTATTTGTATGCTTGTAGTGAAGTGCTCTGAAATTGAGTTCAGAAACTTGTCTGACAAGCAACAAATTTTCTTGGAGATTCAACATATCACTGTCATAAATCAAAAACAAATAACAATGAATTTTTTTTCAAAAAACCTCCTTTGAAAATTGTAGTAAAAGACAATAAATCAATGAGTAAAAGCCCAAATTACTCCCTTCAACTCTGGATTTAGCAATTCACTAGTATGGTAGAATTACATTCATAATCACTGTTCCTTTTCATTCTTGTCTAGCAGCTTCTGACAATGATTTCAATGTACTGTGTCAATCAAAGAATTACAAAGATCTTGACACCCTGAACAATACTTCCTCTTGGCTTAATTAGGTACCCAAACTACAGTTGTAGAGAAAAACACATTCTGGATGGACAAAGACTATTAAAGAAAATCATGCTTGAATAACCCTACAAACATTGATCTTGATGGTAAAGGAAATTTCTGAAAAAAAGAAGACTGCTGTGCAGTTTCCTGATGTTTTATAATCTTAAATTTATAGAAGGAAAGTTTAAGCAGATGCTCTTATGAATGTCTGAGGAAGTTGGAAATATAGGAAAACATTCTCAACAGACTAATCAATTTAACCAAAACAACTCTGAGCTTCATCTAAATAATTGTTTAATAACACTCCTATTACCATTTGCAACAAATAACAGTTTAAGGAGTGACCAAATGGTTGAAACAAAAAAAAAAAAAATGGGCAAATACAAGTAGAGGGAGCAATGAAGAAGGAAAAAGGGACGTTCCAAGATATCAAAACGTTATTCAGGCTGTTGCTCTGATAAATTTGTAAGTGTAAACAGACAATTTTTTCCCCACAATATGCATCAAAACTAGCTAACTGTGTAAGAAAGGGTATTTGTCCTATTAAAACACTGGAATAAGTAACAGATACAGACGCAATCAGCAATGAATGATTTGGTGTTAGCAATTTCTCAAATCAAGGTCTGCATATATCAGCTTTGTGTAATTAAATTACACACCCTATGGTGACGAGGATTTGTCAAACTCAGCGATGAAAGGAAATTTCAACAACAGTGTACAAATCACATTCACGACAAGAAAAATACAAATTAAGTCTTCCCAGTGAAATAAACTACACAATATCAAAGCTCCCATCATTATAAATAACATCAATTTTCTATCCACCAAAACAAGCCTCCACGGGCAATGCACCAGACAGTATAAACACCTGCAGGAAATGCGCAGTTGCAATTTCGGAGATGACACAAAAGAGTATTTTTCTAGTTCACAAGAGTCACTGGGATTGATTATAGCAGAAGGCAAAACAGGATTATACATTACAGGACAAAGTTATGGTCCTTATTTCACCAGGCAAACAATCAGAAACGGTACTACTTGAACCATATCATATATTTACTCTCAAGCACCGCCGTAACACCAGAGTGATATCCAAACACAGATGGCAGATCAAAATGTCAAGGGCATACTGTCACTGTAGACGCATATCAACTCCAAGATCACAATTAACGAAGAGAGTGGTTGCAATGATCTTATTCAAGTTCAAAAGCCTTGGCAAATTCTCAATACAAGGTAATGTGAGAAAATTTACACCATTCCCTACATAGTCCATCCAAATCATATTCTGTAGCAAACCTGCTGTCTAATGGCACATTTTATGTATTAAACATCCAAGACGAAAACATTGTGTGTGTACAAAATCAAGGGTACAACACCCTATAAATTCTCTCATTCTGTTAACAATATAATCATACTTTATGATAGAGAAAATATGGTCAATAACTTCATAACACATATCCACTAAATATAGGAAAGATTTATCGATGGTGAGCCAAAAAAATACTAAATTTCATAAAACAAAAGCAGGGCAGAATTAATTATTCATGTTCAAGAAGGGTGGAACATGTCAAATTTGCATATTTCTTAGACATAGATGGTGAACCTGGCTTACTGCAAAGCCAAAAAAACAACATTCCTTTCATTTAGAAGCAATACAATCTATATTAAGTTAATTGAAATGTTACCTAACAATATCCGTAAAAAAACTTGACAAGGTCTATAGACTGAGAAAAGTCCACATGAAAGAACATAATTCATATCATTTTTCCTACTCTTGTTTCGCATCTGTGACCTTTGAAGCTAGGAGTTCCTATTTTCATAATTACATTGAAATCCAAGTATGCTGAACTGTGAAGATTTTATTTATCATCACCACCATCTGTGAAAGGCCTAGGTATTCATTACTTATCACTAAAATTGATTGTCTAATGTCTGCCTCACATAGACAAAAGCTAAACACAGCGAATCAATTAAAGATTTGAAACAAATAGTAACAGAATGAAACTCGAAGGAACAAAGCCCTTATCAATTTGTCTGTCTGACTCAAATAATAAAAATCTCAATGAAAAGGAAATGCAATTATAAAGTTTTCAAAGAGAAGCATGGTCTATCAAAGTTGTGTAAGTGATTCCATTTTGGTTAAATAACTGATACATGACCCTTTTACCGCAGACATCAATATCCTCCGACAATAGTGAGAATATCAGCATGTGCCGCATAATTGTCACCATCAGCACTTCAATATCAAGTGTTTCAATTCACATCAAACATTAAGATAACACATATATAAACTCCTTTCTCAAGAGTCCGCTAATTTTATTTTTAGAAGCAAACAGAGATTAGAGATTAGAGTACACACAAATGACCTTCAAGTGAATAAATGTATGTTTATCCCCTAAACTATAATGATGACAGCATAAATAAAACAATCTGCTTATTTTTAGATACAGTGTCACGCACTACTTCCTATGCTTGCAGAATATTTGGCCAAAACATACATGTCAAACACTCAACCTTCTGGGTTTTACACTCAAGACAAACTCTGAGATAACATTTTTACTTCGTTTCAAAAAATATACATGTGCAAATGCCTCTTACCAAAACACAACTATGAACTTTGATTCCTAATACTTAAGTTAACACAGGTTAACAAAGAAATGCAAATACTGCTTGCTGTTTATCCAGTTGACTTACCTCACCAGTGTTTTGATCAACTCCTGTGGACATATCCAGTACTCTGTCTACTTCAACATAATCAGGATTAAAAGGTTCCTCATCAAGCTGTGGGCAAACACAATGCATATTTACCGATAAAGCTAAATTCTATTGTCCCATACTGCTACTGAAACTACTGAGTACAACTTAAATATTTTAAAACAAAAATAATTTGGTTGCATACCTCACTGAAAAAGGCCATGGAGTTTTGCTGCTTAGCTCTGTATCGTTTTATTTTCATGTGTATTCTTTTGTCTCCTCTTGCCAATTTTTCTGCTGTTGCCCATTCACAATGAAGATAAGAGCTGAAGGACAGCAAAATGAAAAGATAAGATGATGGTTCAGCATCACCAACAAACCAACACCAATAACACCAAAATTGAACTCACTAGTTCTTGAACTTCACTAAGAATTCTTCATAACTTCCAAATTCTTCATCCTGCAAAGAGAATATTCCAATCTTTAAATAAAACCCTAAAAAAGTTTTTAAAAATCAAATTTTTGCTTTACAGTATTTGACAATTAAATTATATCGGTGAATAAGTCAGAGACGTCTTACCTGTTTTGTTCTCATGGCCAATATCTTTTCAACTGTAGTTGTCTCTTCCACTTCGGGTCCCACTGGTATATGGGCTTGACCAGTGCTATCACCTGGAAATGTAGCTGGCACTCCACCTTCAGCAGTCTCTTTCTCTCCCTCCTCTTCGGATAAGTTGTAATCAAAGTCATCCTTGTAAGTCTTCTTCTTACGTTCTCTGAGTGATCGTCGCTGAAAATAGTCCCAAAGTCAAGTCAGTAAAATAAATTACCAGAAGTTACAAAATTTGGAAATCTTAAGCAAAGACCAAATTTCAAAAATGCCTAAAAATTCCACCTCAATCTTGATCAGGTTTGACTTACAGTGATGTTGGAGGCATGATCTTCTTCTAAATAACTTGGAGAATTGGGAGGCGAAGGTTCGGCATCAGATGAATCTTTCCTACTTCGTATAGGTGCTGGTTTTGCCAACACAGTGGCTGGGGGCCTGCGATAATATATGAAAGACAATTCAATTCAGGCTTGTCACAAAAAAGTGTTTCAATGGTGAAGTCAAGAATTGAAGGTGCCATCTGTGTAATCTCAGTGCATTCTCAGAGGGCACCGATCAAATATTGGCTGAGACATAAGAGGTGGTTTTAATATCATTGTGGTAATCACATTATTGGCAAAAGTTTGAGTTTAATCCTTGTATGACCTAGACAAATGACCTCTAGTGTAACTTTGTACAAAAACTAACAATTTGTAACTTCATAATAGATTAAAACTTTCACCTAAACACACACACACACATGCACATGCGCGTGCGCGCGCTCACACACACGCACACACACAAACAAAACACAAACAAAGAAGACATCAGGGGAAAAAAAACTTAATCATAAACAATGCCTAGAACAGAACCTTGAGGTCTGTGAGCTCCGTACTGGTGCTGGTTTAGATACGATTGAAGGACCCAGACTGATAGGGTCTGCTGGCATAGGATGCCTAGAAAAATCCAATGCTCCTGTATTCACTGCTGAAGGATTTGTCATCATTCGCTGGCCTGATGACATTGGTGGAAACCCAGGCATCATGGACCTTCCATCACTATTCTGTAATGCTGCTTTGGCCATGGCCTCCACAGCAATTCTATTGGCCTTCTCCTGTTGCCTTTGCTGTTGAATAAACCTCATTTGGTCATAGTTTTGAGGTTGAAAGTTAGGTTGCACACGTTGTTGCTGCTGCATGGCATAAATCTGATAAAGCCGTTGGAACTGAAATTGCAGCTGTTGCATTTGAGATGGCTGCCCCATGTCTCGCATCTGTTGAATTTGTTGCTGGATCCGCTGCATTTGAAGCAAGATAGCTGACGTCTTTACCTGCATCAGGTCCTGAGGGTCTGACATTTGTAAGTTAGTAAAAGTAAATCCTGGCTGTTGAGGAGTTGCCATATTACTATGGTTCCCAGGATTGAACATATCTTGATCAGCTCCACTGGAAACTCCTCCATTGAAAGCAGCATACTGTGGATTTTGAAACTGTTGTGAGTTGTAATTTGACTGGGGAGAATTTTGATGCATACCCATGGGTGGTCTAGGTCCACCTTGAAAAGGATTATAAGGGAAATTTCCATCCCCAGCTGCTCCAGGAAGTGAAGATTTATTATGATCCAAATCCACGGTATTACCAGATACCAAGTGCTGTAAACGACCTTGGCCCCCTAGTTCTACTTGCTGCTGGTTCCCTTCTGAACCTTGAAGATGTCTAAAGAGGGCTTGCTGTGGACTAATTTGCTTCTGCTTTTGCTGCTGATTTGACTCCATCGTCTTAGGGCTTGTACCCTTAGGAGAAGAACCTGAATAAGGAAGCGAAGGTGACTGATTTGGGTGCTGAAGTCTAGGAGATTGTGAAGCCCCAGATGGGAAGATATCTGGAGAGGAATTCATGGGAGATTGATTCGCAAAATGTTGAAGTCTCGGAGATGACGACCGCGGAAACCCATACCCAAATGGCTGTCGAAACGGTGATTGTTCAGATGCCTGTGAAAATCCAGTATAATTAGGAGAGCTTCGTGACGTTTGGCCACGCGGCCAACACATGTTTATCTGCGATGGTGGACGAAATTCGCCAAACTGTTGTTGGGAAGACGACTGCAGAGAATGAAATCGTTGCGGTGATGACGACAATAACGGATCGTTAAAGTGCTGAAGTTTCTGCGAGGGCGGTAAAAATGGTGACGCGGATGACCGTTCATCGAAATGTTGAAGCTTTGGTTGATTCGAGTTTGACGGTGATTGTGCCTGAAATCCTCCAAAAGACGCAGAATGCTGCAGCCTTTCTTGCATCTGTCCTCCTTGGCTTCCATTTGAGCCGAGCGTTGATCCAAGACCTAACTCGTCCAAGCCGTTATTGACTCCATCGAAGATGCCCAGAAATGGATCCGCCATGATGGGTCATCGGAGATCGAGGCAGAATCGCTCTCCGATTTTTCTCTTTAACCGATAAGACTGAAATTACCCACCATCATGTTCCTTTGTAAATCCTTTCGATAGTGTCTCCTTCAACGGCCATGGAAGCGAGGATAGGTTCTTAAAGCTGGCTACTCTATTTGCCGCCGTCAATGGAGCCGTTCTGAAAAGAGAGAAAAGGTCACGAAAGACGAACCAAGTTAAAGACCAACAACTCTAATCCTTGGAAAACTGAAGAAGAAGAGAGTCAATTAATGGTAATATGATATGTAAACAGGAGAAAAGCAAAACGACGGAAAACGGAAAAACCACACCAACTTCCACTACTTAAATGTGTCGGTACGAATGAATGAAACGCGAGCGAAAGTTTAGCGTAACCCGACATTTCCCGTGCGTTCATACATTGCATTGCATGGCCGGCTATCCTACGGAATGCTCACCAGTTTCGAAGGGTTTTCATTTTCAACGGCTAAAACCCTTCGAATTAACCGTTGATTGTTATTCAAAAGCAACGCAATCGGATAAAGAAAGGAAGCGTTCACCTAAACAACTCTAAATTAAAAGTTAAGTGTGTTCGTGTTGAAATACGCGGACGAAGCCGGTTCGGGCATAGCTTCAAAGCCGATAAAAAAATTCCCCCTGTCAAAACCTATTATTATCTTTACAGTCTTCGTTTACTACCAGATTCAATTACTGTGACAACCTCCAGTCGAGAGTTAGAACCACGAAGCAAGAAAAAATATTCATACAAGTGGAGCGAGCAGGGAAAAACAAAAGCTTTCATGCCAAGTCAGGCCAGGTGTAGGAAACTTGTCCACAATAACAAAGTAAAATTCGTGTTCACTAGTTGATTCATATGTGCAAATTGATGCCTGTCCTCGATAACCTCAACAATTTGGACCATAAAGTCTCCAAAAATCCTCAAAAGTCGAGTACCCTTTAACAGCATTTAAGTATGCAAACGCCAAGTGGTAACGTCCATGCTTGTTTGCAACGTCAAGGGAACAAAAGCGAAATGTGGGAAACACGAAGGATATTTTGGCTGCCCTTCATAAGCGCTCCAAGTGAAGTAATTGATGTCATACAGGGTCAACAACGCGATTAAAACATGGTCAAACACAAAAACATAAAACTAACCTACAAAAAATCCCGTCTACCAAACTCGAAGAATGGAAAAAGGTCGAGAAAAAAATCCCCTTCGGTGAATAAGCGAAAGGTTTTGAGATGAACTCGAACACGAATATCATGCTTTCACTGGCCACCACGTTACTACCTGCTGACAACCAATCAGATCGCAGCTTCAAGAAAAAGTTCCCGGATGAAAGGGGGGTAGCATATATTAACGGGGTCACCCTGAGGCCAAGTTTGACAAAGAAACACATTCGCTAAGAAAACTTCGAATCTAACTTTAATATACATAGTTAGTTAGCTAACGGAATAATTAGGATTATTTGTCTGAGTCTGTCGTCCGTCCGGCCTAGCAAAGAATGTGACATCTTTTTTAGAAAGCGCGACTAAAAATAGGATGAAAAAACAATCAACACTCTTGGGCAATCCGTACAACGTCATCTTCATTGTGTGACACGAAAAGCTAGTACAAAGGTTCTTTATTCGATTGAAAAAAAAAAAAGAAAAGAAAAAAAAAAGAAAAAGAGTAAAAGATGCTTTACAGTTTCATGACACGGCATCCGTGAAACTTAACGTCTGACTACCCCAGAGTTTTTTTTTACATTTAAAACAAGGATTTACGGTCAAAATATGGCAAAATTTGCTTGACTTAACGAACCTTAAGTATTCAAATAACCTAAACGAAAAAAAATTATTTCCAAAAAAGCCCACGGCGAGACTTTGATGCACGGAATACGTTTAATTTGAGAGCATTGAATTCGACTACAACTAGGTAACTGGGGTAGTCCTGTTTGGGGCTGAATTTAAGCCTCTGCTAAAATGGAAAAATTCAGTGATATTACCCGCTGAGACGGCTGCTATACCAAGAGAAACAGGATACAATCTTCCAAATTTATCTCCGGTAACCGAGCTTGAGCTTTCATAAAAGAAAATCCGGCTCAGTTTCCGAGTTGTTGGCTAAAAATAAGGTATCACGGTAATGCAGGCACGGGTGAGGTTGACTTCTCATTTACATCAACCGATGAAGGGTTTTAAATTGCAATACGACTGGCTGAAACGTACTCCTGAGGAACCTTGTCTGCATAGAGGTCTTTAGTGCAATCGAAATTTAGTCTGAGTAATCGTCATGGAGCATCTTTTCTGACCTATGAGAACGAAAAATCAAGTCCCTTTTTTGCAAGGCTAATGACGACAAGCTGCCAACATTTTATCCTTGCTGCAACGTATTGTAGACAGTGTCTTAAGATAGCAGGAAGGTTCACAGAAAGCAATTGCAATTTTAACGCCTCTATGAACAAACTCACATATTTGCCTTTGTCTTCCACCTTTGTCTGTGAAGTACTTTATTTGGTTGTTAGTGAACAGCGAAATGGAGACACATGCACTGTCCTCAATGGCAACTAAGCCGGCTAGCTGATCGTTTTGTTGTTTATTCTATTCCTCTTTTTTTTCTTTTACTTAACCATATCACGTTTTCCCAATAGTGGGAATGTCTCTTGATTTGTCAACGGCTCAGCGGTCGCCTCATCCCGGCAGTGAACTTACAGCCCCTCCGGACAGAAAATGTAGTTGACAGTTCAAGATGTTTTGTAAACAGGACAAGAGAAAAAAGAACATCTGACGAAAGTTTTTCTGACAGTCGAACTAAAAAGGAAACGCAAATTTTTTCTTTCCTCTTTTTCTCTTTTCGGTCTTCCGTTTGTCATCATTACACGCATGAAAATTATAGCATAGTCGCTCATGATCTTATAATTTTTTCGTCTGCGATGAGAGAGGTCAGTTGTGAAATAGTAAAATTCTCATTCTATGTTCTTCCCTCTCCTTTTTCCCTTCATATCAGAATAAAAGCTTAATTGTTGATTTCGAGATTACCCCAGAATATAAGTAAAACAATCGTGGTAACAGCAGTTTTTGCGTTCGTTGTGGAAAGAGGAAGACAGAGCTACACATTCAAGCTGAGAAATTTTTTTGTCCTCTTTCAGGTCACGCTCAGCTTATTAAATTCACCTTTCACAAGCGTAAACCCCGTAAAGTTTGCAAGAACCGAAATTCACTTCGCCTATCGTAAAAGCCTGTCAATCAAAAAGTGGACTATCAAAAGGATTTCCATGTTTGAGTGTTCAAACAATAGGTGATATTGTTACTTAGCGTGTAAGACATTGTTTGATCCTGTTTTTCTATTGGTCATTCGGGAAATCCACCTGCCGAAACCTGTATACTTGTCGTGGATCTCTGCTGTTTACATGCATTCATTACGGCTGATCAAGCCATCACAAAACACGTGTTTCTTACAAACAAAATGGAACCAGAAAGCGAAAGCGGTGACATGATGTGATCCCCTAAAACTCTTCTAAAACGTGCAAGAAAAATGTGCCAAGGAAAATCCCCCCCTCCTGATTTTTCCATAGTTATTTGTTATTTTCGAATAAGACCGACAGCAGAAGAGAGATCAGCGCTCTCTTAAAATATTCTACGACTTAACCGTCCACCCACATCAATGATATCACAGTTTTCCTTTTCAAGAACTCCAAGTTATAATTCGAATTCCCTACCAACGACCAAAACCTGGGAAAATTATTTTGATATTCAATTGCAAACTATGTGCAAAATTAGCCATCTATCTTTCTGTGTTCTGCAAGCAAATTAACGTGAATTTGGTTTTGAATCCATAACTAAGACTTGGAACGTTTTCCTTCCGCGGTTCGGAGGTAGATGAAAAATCAAAGTTTTTGGTCGCGCTCAACCGTGAAAATTTTTAAAAAGCTGCTGTTTTTTTCTCTATCGCTTACACCTATGTGACATATTTTTTTTTCTACCACGATACACGCTTCCATATGACTTGTCATTTTTAAAATGTACGTTTCATCTTCGTTTGCACATATTATGCAATAATTACTAGCTTTACCTTTCCAGTTAACAGAATATGTTTCGTTTCAGGAGCCACTGTGTACCGGCAGTGATTGTCAGTTGAATCTGTTGTGTCCTTCTGCCCTTTAGAAAAATGTCCGAAACGTGAAAATGTCACGAAAACGTTCGACAGCAACGTACTATCTCGAGTGTGAGAGCGTGATAAATTCAATTATTTCCACCAGGGTGGGAATGGTGTGCCTGTGGCACCCTAATGAGGCCTGCAATAGGTGCCATTCTGTGGCATTATTTGCATATTGTTAAACAGCTTCTATTTCCGTTTTTCCGGAAAATTGTTTGTATCTCTCGTAATAAATTAAGCCAAAATAACTTCCTAGAATCATCACAGATATAGCAAAGCTAACCACTGGAGTACCTTAAAGGGGTTAACCGTTAGCCATAAAATGGGGAAAAAAATTGCCGTTAGGGGCGTAAAAATTAAGCAATTTTAACCGTTAGTCGTGAAAAAATATAGGTAAAAATTTTCTGGTGACCACTATGGAGAGATATTAACCGTATGCCGTAAAAGCCATAACCATATTGAGGGGCCAAGAGGCCACCATGTGACCTGAAAAACACTGCTGACCTACTCTCGTGCCCACAACTGAACTTTCAAGCTTAGCTGTGGGATGCCTGGGATAGAGGACTACTGCTGGAAAAAAGTGTGTTTTTCTGCATATGATATTTTGCTTATGCGAAGTTGTGTCTACATCCTTTCCTAGGAAATTGTAGGTCGTACCTCTTTTTAGATATCATAACAAACTGTGTTCACATCAACTTAAGTTAAATTAAAGCAAGATAACAATCCTGGGTCGACCACATTGAGGGGCCAAGAGGCCAACATATGACCTGAAAAACACTGCTGACCTACTCTCGTGCCCACAACTGAACTTTCAAGCTTAGCTGTGGGATGTCTGGGATAGAAGATTACTGCTGGAAAAAAGTGTGTTTTTTTGCATACGATATTTTGCTTATGCATACATGCGTAGTTGTGTCTACGTCCTTTCCTAGGAAATTGTAGGTCGTACCTCTTTTTAGATATCATAACAAACTGTGTTCACATCAACTGAAGTTAAATTAAAGCAAGCTATCAATCCCGGGTCGACCACATCTATCTTATGGAAACTAAGCGCACAATAGCTTAATTGATGGTCTTCTGACGCGCATTAAAGTGGAAGCTTCGTCCCGTGGGCCCTTTCAGGACTAAGAAAAGTGTACGTCCTCTGAACAGAGTTGTTCCTTCTGATGAATGTAAGCGTTACAGCACGTTTTAGTCGAGAGTATAGTTCAGACGAGACCCTTGAACAGGTGTTCCAAAAAGAGAATTTCAAAACATTAGGGGCACACCTTCTCTAACCCGTGCGACAAATAGAGGACTTTTTCAACACAGTCTGTATTTGTTACTAATATCTCCTTACAATATCACCCCTGAATCACATATATAGGTCACGAGTGAAAAGGAAATGACCACCAACTAAAGAAATTCTTGATTGTTAATTAAAGTCTCTTTTTCAGCACTTTAGAAAATGTATGAGAATAGTATGGAGAATATGGATACTGATGTCAGGGTGTAAATGGTTAACTGGAAACGTAAACTTTGAACGAGGCAGGCCGACGTACGTATCGCGGAGTCCTAAGGTTAACTGAACTTCTTCATCTACACAGTTCCCTACAGGTCATGCGACGATCACGTTGATCGCGTTCCAAACTTTTTCTCATGGCACTGATCCCTTTAAGTATGGCTTTCAACGTTTTTTAACTCTTCACCTCGTTACAGTGATAAGCATCTAATTTCTCCCAACCGTGCCACCCCTGAGTCAGACATTAAGGTCACAAAATGAAAGGAAATGATCACCAATTAAAGTTGTTCTTGACTGCTAAATAAATAAATAATTCTTGTAAGTACGTTAGGAAATGTCTAGAAAACAGTTTGGAGAGCTTGTATACTGATTTAAGAGGGTTAAGGGTTAAAGGAAAGTGCCCTGAGTGGGAGGTTAACTGTTTCCTTAAAGTAAAGGGTTTGAGCCCGGGGATAACATGTAATAGTGTAGTTTGATCGTCCGGGTGAGTGTAGTGTTGAGAAGGACTGTTGTCGGTAATGGTGACTGACGTTTCGACAACCTGAGCGGAAGTCATCATCAGAGTCAAGTGAAAGGTTGTTGTCAGTCGAATGTACTTAGTCCGGTTTGTGGTAACGGTTGGTGATTTTGAACTGAACACAAACCGGACTAAGTACATTCGACTGACAACAACCTTTCACTTGACTCTGATGATGACTTCCACTCAGGTTGTCGGAACGTCAGTCACCATTACCGACAACAGTCCTTCTCAGGACTACACTCACCCGGACGATCAAATTACACTATTACATGTTTCCTTAAAGCACGAGAGCAACGTACATGTACGTGATCAAATGCTTCTCGTGACGGAACAGGTACTCAAAAAAAGAGACAATGAGGCGCTATATAGTGTGTAATTAGAACTTCGGAACATATCAGATTTTATGAAGAATTTAGCTTTTTCCCAGATCTTTAATGCCTGTTTTGAAACGAAGGCAAGTGTGAACGCTTGTAAATGAAACTGAAATATTGTATTCACGCAAATCATCAGACTAATTCCATCAGGAAGGTTTTGCGCTAAGCCTTGTTTTGAGAGTGACCAGTTTGACACTTTCACCAGTTTGGAACTCGTACATTCCCTTTTTCTTTTAAATTATATCAGGAGGTCAGGGCTAGACCCCTTAAAACCTAGAAGGGACTTTCAAAATTTCACCTCTAGGCGAATACCTTGGCTAGTGCTTCGATTTTCCTTGGATACAAGAAGGTTCTAGCTACACAGCCAATTTATGTCTTATTGTGCATCGACCAATTCGAAGCTACAACATCCCTCCGGGTAATCCCCCGAGCTTTTGAAAATTGGTTTGTTCAAATTCCCGCTCCCCGATCAAAAATTGTGTTCAAATACCCCACCCATTTTGCTTCGCAAAAGGCAAAATCACCGACCGTCACTGTCTACACATTGACCACGCTTCAAAACCTAGACCTTGTAGAGGTCATTCATTTGTAGAGGCCATTCGCTTGCGAAAGTGAACAATTCACACATTGACTAATACAGTTGACGATTCACTCGTAGTTTACTTATCATAAATTCTTCGATGTCCTTCGCTAATAAAATATTACTTTAATAATTGAATTACTGCTTAAAGAAAATAATTCTGTCTATAATTTTAAGTCTTTGTATAGTCTAAGTTATTTGCTACGATTACCGGGATCAATGTCAGTAACTAAGCAACTGCTCACCTACCCATCCCTTAAGACGACAACAGTCGACCGACAACAAGCTAGGGTTAATGTTCGGTAAGGAGAAGGATAGCTGCGGGGTTGCTCTAATACGGACATGAATCCGCTCTAGTTATTGGAGCAAATAAATCAGTAATCGTTTCCGAAATTTTAACACGGAAAAAACATTTTTGGAAATGCGTGGAGCAGAACTGAATCTCCAAACTGGTTTTACTGTTACGAATAAATCTGTAATGAAAATCAAATGAAAGATGGTTTCACCCTCTACCCATTGGACCATTAGAGTGTTTCTACCTTCTGGTCAACTTTCATTCCCTTGAAGATGAGTGAAGAGAAAATCTTTACAACAAGATGTAAAACCCGTAGTGGGTTACGGGATTCGAGAACACCCCGGTAAAGTGAGAAACAATTGTTATACCAAGCCTTACTGACCCCGCAGCGGTGGATCCAGGGAAAGGTTACGAAGGTCCACTGAATTAAATGCAGAGATCAAGAGAATATAAGAAATGATCATTAACTTAGGAGCTCCTAATTGTCAAACAAATTCTCCGTGTCAGCACCGGAGGAAATGTAAATAGAACAGGGGAAAATTATGATGTTCAGGATTAAATCGGTTGAACGGATTGGTTGGTCAAATATCCTTAAATTTATGTCAATACACGCTTTTCACAGCGGCAGTAATTTCCAAAAAGTTAGCTATCTTAAATTACTTCCAGCGTCTATGGCTGCGAAAGTTTTCTTCGGGGAAGATTGGGGGTACTAGACACTCATACTTCAAATGGAGAAATTAGCATTGCTTTAACAAGTTTGTTTAAATCTCCTCATGTCGTCACCACCCTCTACCAGCTATTTGCCTTTAACATAAAATTAATATAATGAGTGGTTGTTTCTAAACGACCGCAAAATTACTCCAACCTGCGATCAGGTTTCTTTATCCAGGGCTGAAAGAGGCGCTGGGACAGGTCTTGGGATTTGAGAAACGAGAAGTGATTTATTGCTAAACAGAGGGAAAAGGTTTCTTAACGCCGCGATATTCCGTTTACATTCCACAGTCAATTTTGCGTCGAAATAGGAGAGAAACCTGATCGCAAACAATCCTTCACAACACTAAGGAGAGTTTCGTGGTATTTAGTGAACAAAAAAACCTTACTAAGGAAATTAGAGCTTAATATTCAAACAACTTTGATCAGTAGCTGAGTAAGGTCAAGTGAACGTCTTAGTTCCCGACGATAAATTCACATCAAAGTGATGAAACAACGAATAGAATTACTCAAACATCACTTTCTTGTATAAGAGTCACTGATACCTGCAAAAAGAAATGAAATTCGTGGTTCTTAATTTTTGTACCGATATGATTAAAACCGTGCTTCTCATAGCAAGTGTTGTTAGACTATTCACCCTTTTCGCTCCCAAGGTCTCATCAGTAATTCTCTCCACTGTCTGCCATAAAATTCTTTTGATGTTAGTTCTGAGAATTTGGTATTGGATCAACTAATAATCCCCTAAATTATCTTTTCCTTTATTCTCATCACTTGTGTACTTGATGTTATAAGGATATTTTGAGGAGAAATTCTGTCTTGGTCATTCATGGGAGTTGAAGGGTTAATGACCTACCAAGTTACCCTTCTAACACGTATCTATAATAGCCAACATCGCTGAGGCCAATTTCCCTCCTTTAGAAGGTCTCAGATGAATGGCTTACAACTGTTTTGACCCTTTAACTCCCATGAGTGACCATGACAGAATTTCACCTTACAATATCGATACAAGATCAAGCAGACAAGTGATGAGAATAAAGAAAAATATCAGTTAGGGGATAATAAGCTCATCCAATACCAAATTCTCCAAACTAACATCACAAGAACTGTATGGGAGATAGTAAGGAGAATTACTGATAAGATCTTGGGAGTTAAAAGGTTAAAACAATTTTCAACTAAGTCGAAATTAAACCAGGATTGCATTGCTTCAAAACTTAAACCAATCATGACTTGATCACCAGTGTTCTCCCGCGCTAAGGGCTTTCTTGTTTTCATTTTCAATTCTCATTGGCTCCTTGTATTGTAACTTGTATCTCTGATTGGCTGTTGTGATTGCTTTGGTTTTGGTTTTATGAACTCAAACGAAGACGTTTTTCAACTCCCTCATTTGCAATCCGTGATAATCTCCTCAATCCTTTGCCATCCTTATTTGGTTTTAGTATTTCTTTACCTTCTTCTTGTTTGTCTGCCTTGGTAAACAGTTTTTGAAAGGTTTATTTCCAATTAATGATAAATAAAAACGACCCAAAAAACAAATCATAATGTCCTACTGTAGCTCCTCTTATGGCCAACAAGCTACAAAACAATCACCCTAATGTCCCACAACAGATACAAATGCAACCTGCTTCACCTCAGCTGCAATGAGGGCAAACTCAGTTCAAGTCCCAATAAGACTAAAACTCCCTCAAACGGTGTTTTTAACACACACATTTTGAAAGAGGCTCTGAGATCACTGATGTCTGACTGACATATACCCCCGTGAGTTCAAAAGGCAAGCTAGCTGTGTTACATACAGATAAAGCCTAGAAATCCCCCAGTCAAATCACACAAAATCCAGTTTTTCATTAAATGAACAAGGTAACACTTGAAGTCATACCAGCTTCTAAGCAGAAGCCTCTTCTTTTTTTTCTTCTTCAGCATTGGGTTCCTCTTTCTCTTTCTCTCCTTCTGTTTTTTCTTCGCCTTCCTTATCTTCTGTTTTTTTTTCTCCTTCTTTATCCTCTAATTTAACATCCTCCTCCTGCAAAATTCAAATCAGGTTGGATGTCAATGGCTACAATTGAACTGTAATAAAAGTTCCTACCAGCCTTATGACTCCATATTGCTGGAGCTTGCAATGCATACGTGATTCAACAAGCAATATTGCTACTCCTCCAAACCAGTATTCTTGTCTATACAAGGGAACCCCCAGAATTTTGGCAAGCTTCCCTAAAAAATTGCTGATAATCCGTTAAACTCCTGGATGGAGAGAGGTACTGTGAATATTAGGAATCTTGCCTAGGAACACACCACATTCCAAATGTTCATTTCATTGAGTTTATTTTAAGCTTGCAGCATACCTTTGGGGGTGTAGGTTGAGCTGGTGGCAGCGGTGGCGTGGGCTCAGGTGTTGGTTCCTTCATGGGTGATATTATTATTTTACCAACATTCTTACGCTGGTGCATTCGCTGCATGGCCTTGCCAACCTGAGGAAAAATAAATAACGGAATGTTGAAGATCCGCTATTAGAATTTATCAAAGCAATATATAGGTCCTGTTTGCATGATCAAAAATTTTCCAAATAATATTTCTACCAAGCATTGACTCCAAATCAGAGTAGCCTTGAGAAAAAAAAATTAAAAATAAAATTAATCAAGCCACACATCACAATGTTTGTTACTAGGATTTTGAATACACATGGTTGATGAAATGAATAAAAAATAAAAATGAGTACTATATTAACCCATTAATTCCCAAAAGTGATTAACATGAAACTTCTCCCTATAATATCCTTACATTACCCAGCAAACAGGTGATGAGAGTACTCAAACTTAACAAGTAGAAGTTTTAAACATCAAATCCCTATAACTTACTTACACAGAAATGTGAAGCAGCTGAAGGGGAGAATTATTAATTAGATCCATGGATGTTAAAGAGTTTAATCAAATAAAAGAGTGCTTGGACTATTTTGCATAGGCATTTGAAATATTTTGTCTTTACTCCACTATCCTGAACTGATTGATGAACAAAAACAGACAGAGAAACAGGAAGAAGCACAGGACAAAGCAAAATCAAACAAATCATCTTTAAAACTGACTATATAAGAAAGAAGAAGGATTTTTATTTAATTGTACACTTTGGCAAGATCACCAGAACAAAAAGCAGATAAAGAGTAGACTGTATAAAAGCCCATCTTTTCCTTCTACCACACCAGTCTCCAAATTACTAAGAGGAAAAAAGCACTCACACAAGATTTGTTTCATATGTTCAATAATAAACATACTCATAATTATGTTTGTCCCATGCTTAAGAAAACCTCTGCACCCAACTTTTTAAATATAATTTTTATCTCATGTCTCATGAAGACATTACAAAATTTACAGTGATCTATCTACACACCTCTTCAAAAGCAAATACCTCATCTATGTGAGGTTTTATCTTCTCTTCAGTGTACAAATCAAACATATGCTTCATTCCTGATTTCAGTAGCTCTGGGTGACTCTGCATATGCCTCAAGTGAAATCCACAAACAGTCTTGCTGTCTCTCAGCAGTTGTAAAGGACTGAAAGTTGCTCCCTGAAACCACTGCATTAGAGAGAAGACAATTTTCAGTGAAATAATCATGATCAAGTTGAGTATAATTCTTGAAAATAAAGGAAAATCAATATCAGTACCTGAGCAACTGTGCATGCACCCACCCTTCCCTTGATCAAACTTTAACCCTCACTTACTATCAATTTCAGTACTGTTGTTGGGTTAGGGGTGGGGAAGGGCAGGCATGTAGTTGCTCAGATGCTGACATTGACCCATAGATGCATTACAATACAACAAAATAAATCAAAGGAGGGGCTCCATCTAGTTTGCAAAGTGATCCTGAATCAATGAGTGCCAGTAATAAAATCCATTATTAGATTATGTAATCTCTAATAATTGTCACCTTCATGGAAAAGAGAGACAATTTATTTACTAGAGACTGAATTTAGTTAACCCTTTCCCTCCTAGCTAGGAGTGACCCACAAGGAAACTCTCCAAACAGTATCCATATGTTTTCAAGTAGAAAGAAAAGAGTGGAATAAATGAATATCAATGAGGGGATACTGCTTAGTTTAACCTAAAATTCTCAGAACTAGAATCATAAGCAACCTATGGAGGATACTAGAGAGATTAATGTTTAGATCTTGGGAAAGAAGTGTTAATAAGCTGTTTGTATATGTGTTGCATTTCATGTGATCTTTGTCTGAATAAGGCCAAAAATGTACTAGCTAAGTATATACCAGGTATATATCAAAGTTAATAGATGCTGAGCACAATTTCAAACCAAAAAGAAAGGCTTATCTGTGTATATCATTATACTAAATACTGTAAGCTTACATTTTTTGCTGCACTAAAGACACTCTTTGTTTCAGCAACCGCATTTGCATAACCTGCCCACAAAATAATTCCAAAAATTAGAAATCAAATTTGAAACACAATTGCACCTAGGTCCAGGGAAGGGCTCCAAAAAGTACAATTTTCTTTCCTGCAAGAAGTTTGGATGATAAGTCTACCACTCATCCTAAGACAAATTGAATAACATGAGGAGACAAAATAATAATCGTACTTTTTTCTTGCATGCAGGTCATGTGATGGTGAAAAAAGGGGAATATCTGAGAATATACCTCAGGCATAATCTGTTCCTCATAGCTCACAGTTGTCCTTGACTTTTCCTCTAAGAAAACTGATTGCATCTTGGAACATATGATGGCCACATGTAAATATCCAAATATATTTTTGGGCCAAATGAAGACTTTTGTTTATTTATCCTGTGGCATTAGTGCTATGCTTACTGCAATTAACACATGTCAAACTTTCTTTTAAATGTCTTGACACAGGTGCAACCTACCAAAGCAAATGATTATACCCATAGGCCTTAGAAGATTATATCCTTTCTTTGTATCAGCACCACCGAGGGGATCAAGAACAATATCCACTCCCTCTGGACAAATCCTTAAATGATGAATAAACAGTTTTGTATGAGTGCTGAGTTCAGCAAAGGATTCATTTAGATTTGGATCTAAATTTGAAATTCCCAAATGCTTTAGTTTCAATCCAATCTCCTTGATGTTAGCCAACCAGGAAACCTATAACACCACAAAATTATTTTTCCTTAGAAACTTTTCCCTCTTCTTCTCCTCGCTGAAATATCAGTAACAGCAAAGGAAATAATGTTGAGAGAGGAAATAAGTTTGTTTCTTGGAGGTGAATCCTCTCAGATGTTACTATGGTTTTTAGTGGAGAGAAGCACAACAGAATTTGGTGACCATGTTTTTGTGCTAAAAATGCTAGCAGCATTTCCAGCATAGGCTTTCACAATTAACAGTTGACGACCCAAGGCTCTTGAGACTTGGTCACCATTGTAAACAAGGAAGTTTGCTTGTGACAACACCATTATTTTAAGGTCAATACCTTGTCAAAAAACATTCAATGTGCCTCATTCAACACTTATTAAGACAATACAACACACAGTGCCTTTTTACACCCAGAAACATAAATGTGTACTAGCTATCCTTCAGAGAAACCTGATTAAATCACAAGGGTAACCTAAACCAGAAAAGTCTTCCGTCCAAAAGGTGAAAGAACACTCCTGGTCATACCCTTACTTCATGCTTCAGAACCCATGATAGACACTATGTTTCAGTTTTGCACAAGGCTGTAAGAGCCAATTAAACCCTTGAAGTAGATATCATCAGCCAAATAATGCTTTCACTTACAGCTAAACAGGACATTTCAGATGAAACATACTCAGCTTAAAGAGGCTGATTTGTTGTAGGTGCTGCATAACAAAATTTGACAGAATACTGAATGAAATCTCCAAAAATCACATTTGTTTAATTGATTATTTTTCAGTTTACTTACTTCTTCACCTCTTGGACATAATCCACTGTCCTGTAGTCAATAGCATGATCTATTCCATTGGCAAGGATGGTTTCATGCTGTATCAATATAAAGGCAAGAGATCAAAAGTCTAACACATTCCTGACCCAGCATGAGCAACATTTTACAAATTAAAATGTTTCTCCCTTCAACTTCAGGCCATTGATGCAAACACATGAAAATATAACAACTTACTCTATGTGGCCATATGGTCACCAAATTGGTGACCTATGTTGCAAATTTAGACACCAAAAAAGGTTTTAATCACTCTAGTAACCAAAATGATTGCAACCTTGGGTGTTGGTGTGAGAAACCTCAGTGATGAATTTTAACAAGGAGAAAGCCCATTCTCCCAAAATATCATCAGTCACTCCAACAAGGGGCTAACACTTGAAATGTCAGCCTTTAAACTCTTTACAGTGGCCAATTTACATTTTCAACTCATTTGATAACACTAAATTACTCTGTTATACTCTCCCATTAAAACAGCACCACATTTTCTTTAGAAACTTACCCCTTTATTCATCCTCCGGAGGGATACATATACACAAAATTTATAATGACTCTACTTTAGAGGATGAAGAAGGGAGATTGTTCTAGTCCCGTCAAGGCTCTTGTCCAAATTGACGTAAATAAACATGCTATCTATGAAAATGTATGTTATGCTTTTTTCCTTAAGGAAATTAGAATTTCTTATTCTATTTATCTTTTTTTCCTCTCAAGATGTGCTTATTTCAGTCTGTATATCTGCATTAGTTGACAAAACTATCGAAAGCAAAAAGTTATAGGTCTAGTCACTCCAGATAAATAAATTAAGAAATATGGCCTTTGTTTGGGCTAATCAATGGGAAACATTGCTTAATGCCGAACTCCAGGGACAGAATACAAGACAATGGAGGGATCCACCATGTAAGATCTGACAAATTCTAAATTCTCACTGGCACTTTAACATCAGTGAGATAGAAAGACCATTATGATCCAAAACATCTACCTGGTTCAGCCACAAACAGAGCTAAAAATTTTGAGTTAGAGTACCTTAGAAGCTGAGGCTGTACCAAATGTTGTGATGCCTTCAACAGTTTTACAAAGCTGTGTTGCTGCAACACCCTAAGATATAACACAATTTTTTTGATGCAATGACAGTGATAAAAAAAATTAATAAATAATAAAGCTTCAGTCCTTGGAAGATGCAACACATGTTCTGTAAGTTGTCGGCCACAAGAAGCCCACCAATTGAGGAAAAAAGCAATTGTCACTGTAACCCATAAAAATTAACTGATCACTGGACATAATGGCGGTTGGTAAAGAAGAATGAAGGACTGTGCTCAAAAGCTCTTTCACTAATCATTCCTAACCAAGATTAAAATTTTTTTGGTGCCAACCCTTTTTATTGTTTTCACTTACTGCCAGGCTGGTGCAGGCCATAGGTTACTTACAAGTACTCATTAATACATTTTTTCACCACAGAGGCACTAGAACAGCAGTTAAATTCTTCTTGTTAATCCATAACATATCCCGAAGCAATTTGAAAACCATCTGAGGCTCATTAATGATTGTAAACATAACAGGTCTCTTATCATATATACCCTCCCCTTTAATACCCAGGACCCATCCTTACCACACCTCCGGCTGCCATATGAATCAGAACACTTTTCCTTTGACCCAAGCTTGCACAGAGGAAAAGCATAAAATAAGCAGTCAGGTATGTGACAGGGATTGCTGCTGCATCTTCAAAACTCATACTATCTGGGAGAACAAAACACGAACCCCCTGGGACACAGGCATATTCTGACCAGGCACTATCTCCTGTTATGCATACCACACGGGACCCGACCTGTTGAACAAGCAAGAAAAATGTACTTTAATATAAAAAAAAACTATGCTTTTTGGAACATTGGAAAATGGGGTCGAAAGCTTTGGTATAAAGTCTCAGAGAGGTTAAGAAATGTCATCAATGTCATCCTCATAAATGTTGAAAAATGCCTTTCCCTGCCCGATATGGGCTTTGTAACAGAGTCATGTATTGTTTGGCCCTTGGGTAAAGCTTTTAACAGCTGAGTGATGGTAGGGAAAGGCTTTTGTCTAAAAATCTTAAATAATTAGACCCTATGCCTAGGGAAACAGAACCTCGACAGAAAACCCTGGTCCTCGAGCTTAGGTATTGGGTAAGGGATTAATTGTGCTTCAGTTTTAGTTTTTGAAATTACAACAGAATCATTAATATAGGAACACAGGCAATCATTGATACCAAGGAATCCTAATAAAGCAGCCAGTCAAGCAGGTAAACAGATATTTAGCACCTTCCTGAGTTGAGGCTAGAAATGAAAAATACTCCTTTTACCCTGAAAATAATCACAATTAGGCCTTAGTGAGTTTGAAACTGAGATCTCACCTCCACGTCAGTCACCTCTTCTCCAAGTTCCTCCACAATTCCAGCGCATTCCAAACCAGGAACAAATGGAGGTTTTTTAGGGCTAGGATACATTCCTTGGCGCTGTATAATGTCCGCAAAATTTAGGCCACTACATCAGAGATAAAATACACCATCACATTTTCTGTGATAAGGCATTCCTTTTACAGAAAATCAATAAAGATAAGAAAACTGGGCTGAAAAAAGTAGGTTATAAGTTTTCCTGATTTAGAAGTTTGTTTGGTTACAGATCAACTGCAAATTTTGTCCCTGCTTTCCAAGAGGCAAAAAAAATTGTCCATATTTCATTGCAATACATTTAGCTTCACAATAAGGAGTTTTAACACAAAGGCTGATGTGGGTTTAAAAAGCACCTGATTAATCTAGGCCCAAGAATTATGAAGATTGAGTGATTTGTGAATTAGAAGAGGATTTTCTATAAAATAAAGTTTTTCTTGGAATCTCTGGAGACTTCTTGGTATTCATCTGAAAGTCCACTAAAGTTCTTTATTGGGATTGCAAGTTTGGACTTCACCCAGAAATTCATACCCCTATTGCTCCCAATTCCATAATTCATTTTGCAAAGAGTTCACAACAAGTTAGACCAAACTGATTAATTATATAGGTCAAATTTCAAAATTAAACAATTCAATATTGATTATTGACCAACACATTGCCAGTTTGCCAATCCAAGTTCAAAAAGCAAAACTGTAATTTGATCGACACAAAATCATAGTAATACATTTGAAAATAAACTTTGCGTAACAAGCATCACTTGACGTCGTCAAATGATTGAAATCGTAGAGAATTTCCTCCTTAAATTTCAAATGTGTCACGAACTGCAAGCAGCATGAATAATATTATTACAGAAACACAAACGGAACTTTCAAATATAGAATAAGAGCTACGGCAAAATGAAATTGGTTTGGAACAATTCTTCCACATGCTTTCACTCCGGTAAACATTACTTTCATTGGTAAAACATGAGAACATTTTTAGCATCATGATTTACCGCCCCTCCCACTACTATCAAGTCTTCATAACTCTTAAATAATTTCTTGCTTCGTTGGTTACTATTGTAGTATGAATTCCCAATGAAATATAACAGAATATGTTTTAATATGGTTGTCCACAACAAAAAAGGGGAAATGATGAACAAACAATACACTTGCCATGCATGAACGCGAACAACAACTTGTCCTTTCATCGGCTTAGGTTTTGCGTATTTCTGTACTTCGAGCTTGTTGTAACCACCGTATCCAGTGAGCACAACACATCGCATGGTCTCCTGTTCAGGTTGGAGTTCAAGATGCTCTGACTTTTCCTCTCCTTTCTCCTCCACAAGGCCTTCTTGTGGAGGTAATTGCTCAGCTTGATCCGTACCCTCCGCCATATTCGCAAGTTGTCCAAAGATTGCCGAGAACGATTACGACTACCCCTGTGGGAGGGGCGGGGCGGGGGAGAATGTCGGGGTACTTCGTCGAGTCACACCACTTCGCGAAATTCATGAAAGATTTAGTTCAGTGCTTTCTCATAGATTCCTGTGATATCCTGTGACAAATGTGCATAACAGATCAAAGTTTTCTCCGCAGATACACAAATCCACACACTGAAGAATTTCGATGCTTCGACACGAGTGGGCGCACGCTCGCAAGAGAAAATCCCGCGTTTTCCCACGCGGTTTCATATCTCATAGAGGGCGATTTTCGCGCGGGTTCACCCACAGTAATTCGAGTCGTTGAAAGACAAGTGAAAAGGAACTCACCTTAGGTGGGCACACGTTGGCCCGCAGTATAATTTTGAAACAGAAACTTATTATCAGGCACAATGGAAATTGTTTTGAACGACCAAGTGGGTAAAAAAGGAGGATTAGGCAATTATATGGTTTATGTGACCCCTTAAAATAATTATTTCTGATGGCAAGCCAACCCTGCATGTAAGACTTGAGCGAAGGAACTTCATATCATTTTACACTTCCGATAATGAACATTCACATTATCATTTTCTCTAAAAACGTTTTGTTATCAATAGTGGTAATAAAACACTTCCTAAGTATAGGAAACGTTGGAAATTTCTCATGCGAAGCCTCACCTTACTATAACTTTGAGCCCTTAGATAACACTGCTCACTTACGATTAACCGCATTTCGCTTTTGGCCATTTATTTCCTTTTCCCAACCTCATTTAGTTCCCACTCAGCCCCTTTGATGGACACTTCTGCGGGATTAGCCCTTAATCCGCTTAACTATAGGTAACCAAGCTCGTATGATATGACACTACATTTTACATATAGTATTTCATTAGGCACTGGCCGGCTCCCTGTATACTCCTCTTCTCTTTAAAGCATGTTCCCATATCCATTTGCAGTCTACTCAATGTCTGCTCTATCACAACACACCCTCCAAAACACCCCCTACCCCTGTTCCCCACCAATTTAAGTTCCAGGATTCTAAGCATCAACAGACAGGCACTAAGGATTAAGAGAATCACGAACTAGGAGACATTTTGTGGATATAACAACAAATTCTTACAACTATCCGGAAAAGAATGTACTGTTAGTCGACCAGCCGAGAGAGTAATCTTTCAGATCTGGGGAGTTAAAAGTTTAAACATTTTTTTTCAAGTCAATAGATTTTAATTGAGATTTATCAAGGATCCTTCTGTCAGGAGAAAAGGTGACACAGGAAACAAATGAAAAATATAATTTCATAACTTCATAGGAAAAGAAGACATCAAAATAATAACTCTTTATTTCACAAGTTTCTCAGAAATGCTAGCTCAGCTAGTGTCAAACAGAATATGGAATGTTTAATGCAAACATATTACAAATTTGGATAACTTGTCTCACGTGCATTTTAACAGATTGAAAACCTTGACCTTGTGTCAGCAAGAGGTGACACCTTGTGACATCTGCCAAGAAACTGTTTGCATGTACCAAAAAACTTATGCTTACATCAAGAGCTTAGTCTGTCCCATTTTCTAAATGTCTATTAAATTGACAAACTTCTACCAATCCAAGAAAAGGAGAGGGTTAATTTTTAAATGATCATACTTTATCTGATAGAGATCATTATTTTTAGAAGGGAGAGCCCAGAAGAGGAGGTTGTGTATGACATCTTAGTGATGCCAGCATTTTTAAATTATCTAAGGAAATCCTGGTTGGTCATACAATATGATTTGTTCCTCCATGAGAAATCTCTTACATCAGACTCTATCAAAGTTGATGAGTATAAGTGTATTAGGCACCCAAAGAACAAAAATAATTGAGGCCTAAGAGCATGGAAGCAGCACATATTTTTCTAGCTCTGTTTTCAAGGAATTAGCCTCAACAAATTCAATATTTCTCTACCTTTCCTCCAAAAAACCTGAGCACATTCACATCACATCACACACCTAATTGGCTATCTGAAAGGCAATTATAAAAAAAAAACTATCTTACAATCAAAACACCCCTACCTAAAATTTGTTACAAATAAATGAGACCTAAGTTGATAACCTTTGAAATGCTACACATTCACATCCATGGCTGTAACAGGATAAAAAGGCACTAAATACAGCTAATAAAAATAAAGCAATAATTTGTATAACTTCTATACATATTGCTTCAGTCTATAAGTTTGATATGTTCATCTTATTTGATAATTCTAAGTTGTACTGATATCCAGTTGTTTATTAAATATGATAATATTCAAGGCCTGAGGATTGATATGGAATTTATTGGGAAAATATGACACCTATATCAATCCATGTTGCTATGACAAATAATTCAATTTTTTTCTCAAGGATCGAGCTGACATAATTACCAATACTGATATGACTCACTCAGTTCTCCTTGAAATTAAATTATTTAATAAGAGAACAAAAAAGATTGGTGGGATTTTTCCGAAAAGGATTAGAAAAAAAGGAAGCGAGATTATACCAGTGAAAAAAATGAAATTATTCTTAAGAGGAAACAATCTGCCCTTGAAATGATAATATCAGTGTATTATCAGATATGAAGGTGTTGAAAAGAAAGAAACTTATCACCCAAAGGAAGTTTTCCTGATGCAACACCACCTTCTCTTGATTAATTTACAAGTGAATGTAAGGCAGTTAGAATGGAGAATAACTAATCAGATCATGGGAGTTGAGGGTATAACACACTCATGAGAGAAACAATCAAAACAAAACTCAATAATGCAAATAATTTTCAAACTTAAACAATGAAAAAACAAGATTTTGCTGGCAGAATTTACATTGTGTTTTACCTGAGGGACAGAAGATTAAAAACACACACACATAAACCAAAACAATCATACAGACTCTGATTTTAACCCTTCAACTCCCATGAGTGACGAAGAGAGAACTTCTCCTTACAATATCAGTACAATATCAAGTAGAAAAGTGATGAGAATAAAGCAGAAAATAACTTAGGGAACTTTAAGTTGATCCAATACTAAATTCTGCCATGTAATAACAAAAGGTTGTGAGACAGAAATACTAATTAGATCTTTGGAGTGAAAGAGCTAAGAAGCAAAATTAATCTTCATCCTCAGGATCAAGTGTTGATGAGGCATTTGACAGTGTGCGAGACAACCAACTTGGCCAATGTTCTATGGAGTAGCCGTGATTCCGTACTTGTTCAAAAAGTGTCTGCAAAAATAATATACTAGTTAGATATTTCATTTTACACCACTCTTTGGGTAACAATGTTTAATTATTTAGCACCCTACACTTAGCATTGCAGTGCTCACATACTGCATAAGATTTAGACACAGTAACTGAAGATTTACTTCATGTAAGTTTTACTGTATCATAATTAAATGTGATTACAGAAGCTGACCAGGTAGTGCCAGGTAGTGTAATGAGAATAATTATTAATTATGATGATGGTGATGATAATGATAACGACCACACTAATGATGATAACGACAGTGACAAATTCTTGTACAGGCTAAACAAAGCCACAGGATAATAACCAATTAAAGGCAAGCTGTATCCAACAACTGTGGGTTTGAATGTTTACTGTAGAATTCTTCCAGCAATAGTTCTACATTACATGTTGCAATCCTTATTCTTACTATTCTTACTAGTAATCATAATCATTATTCTATCTATGGCACTTTTTGATGAGTGTCATAAAACTGGAAACCAAAGTAATCACAAAGACTAGAAGAAAGGAAAATACCTTTGAAAGCCAATGAGAACTCAAAGTAAGAAAAAAAAAAAAAACCCCAAATGCCTAAATCCCAGGAAAACACAAGTGACCAAGCCATGAATGAACAAATCACTGAGTAAAGTGACTCTCAATTGAAAATTGCTCTCTATATAATTTACAATTATACTGGCCCATCCGAAGTAATGTCAATAATTGTTTTAGTATCAGGTAACTCAGGTGCTTTGGAATTCTGTTGTAAATTCTGTAAATAAAGAGAGCATTGCACCTATGTTGTTTCAATTGTGTTGATTACTCGTATTAAGATCAGCCAGCAGTTTTAACAAATTTAATTTAATCAGAAAAAATTCTGACTGCCAATCTCTGATCATCTTTTGTCCTCTTTGCAAATTAAGTTTTTTCTATGACATCTATCACTTCCTCAAAAACATCAAAAAAACATGAGGTAACAATTTTGAAATTTAGCACTCCTGTGATTATGGCGAGATATGACACAATCCTTTAGTAATCAAAGTGCACCCATCTCTATAATCACTGGGTCAATTATCCTAAAGTACAATTATTCCAGTCTATATAGAGTAATGTCATTGAGAAGTGCTTAACAACATCAGTTTTAGGTATTGAATATTGAAGAATCTACTAAGCTCACCGGTGGTTTGAGGTGATTTATATGGTCCACTCTTAATCCACATACACCCATGTTGAGTTTAACACCAATAACAAGAGAGAAGAAATATTTCTAAAAACAACAGCACATTGAGTTAATCACATTGAGCATGTGCAGTTGTACACAAAACAGTAATCATGGCATCTTATTCACATAATTTTGATGTGCCCACTGGTTTTATTGTTGGTAACAACCTCTGCTTAAAAATTTTATTCATTACAAACTATAAAACTGAGACAAATATTTCTGACAGTATTGCTTTCCTCTTAGAAAAGGAATCAAATAGATGTCTATATGGCACCTAGTACAAAGTCCTGGAAGATTTTTTTTGGGTGATATTAATAACAAAATTCAAGATTCAGTAAATGAGTATGGCAATTTTACATTGCTCATTTGTGTGGAGTTACTGGGATGTATGACACAGTCATGCTCTGATAAAAATGTTGAATGGGATACTTTAAAAGCATTTTTCCAGGACACAAGAATGTCCCTTGCACTGAGGGTCCACCACAAAGACTACCACACTTACCTCCTCTGTTGAAACAGCATATCGCTGAAGGTCATTGAATTTACTGAGAAGGTCTGAAATATAATCATCTTGTGCCTGGAGGATAAGAAAATCACACATCAGAATAGCCTTTGAGGCAAATCAAAAATAATTCAAATCTGAATATTGTATTATTATCCTCTGATACCAAATCTGCTCTCGCTGGCTTGCATACCTTGCATATTGCAAAATCATCAACTAGAATATTTTATTACCTTCCTGAAATCCTGATATTTTCTATGAAGACCAGAAATCTCTGCCCTCAGTGACTCTGCCTCTTGAGTTTTAGCCTGATGGAGTAAGAGTAATTTCAGTCAAATAAAGATGATTATCCAACTTTTTCACCACTAGGGCCAAAATGTTACCCTCACTGTACATGTACCTCTTTCCACAGTGTGAATTAGTGCTGCAGAACCATCAGACAAGCATAACATCCTGGGCAAGTGACAATACTCCAGGTTGCTTACATCACAGAAAACGTGATAAGCTCCCCCTTGATGGACCAATCAGCTTGAGTGCAGACTTAAGGCCTTACAAGCCTTCTGGTCTCTTTTTGTTGGAGCACATCCTGGTTTCATTTACATGATATCAACAGAAGTATAATCAATCTTTCTGCAAGGAATATTGGCCCATCACAAGCTATACTCCTTATCAATTCCTCAAGTTTTGTTGAGAGTTTTGTTTTAATTCCTGTGAAAATGAGGAGATTGATCCAAGTGATGGTTATTTAAGTCAGTTACAATTTTGGATATTATTAGTAAGTGTACCTTTGCCAAAAATTCTGCTCTGGATAACTCAACCTTGAGGTCTTCAACTTCTTGCTGATACATCTGTTGAGGGAGGAAAACAGTATCAATTCATTCATATGATATATTCTTTCAGGACTGCCAACAAAACCTGATTTATCATTACAGACATGCACAAAAATATTAAGTTCATACTTATTACATTAATAAGATGTTGCTATAATTGTTTTATAATTGATATTGTACAGCTTCCTGCCCTAATTCCAGGTCATAAACTTTCCACTTTGGGAGCATAATTTTCACTCTAAGGGGAATAAACATTTTAGTGGTTCACAGCATATTTACGGGGTTCATAAGAGTCAGAGAAGAACAACAACATCAAAATGCCTTCATTACAAGGTCTCTCTAACTTCATTTTGAAACCAAAGGTCGTGGAAACCATTGAAATGATTGCAGAAAAGGTCAATAGAATTTTAAGACTTAAAAACAGTGAAAACCTTGATTATCCAATAAATCACTCCTTTAATGAATTGATCAGCAAAGGGTGTAGAAAGAGTTGACTATACCTCTAATGAATTTCTGTGAATTTTGTCAAGTTGAGTTCTAGTTTCATCAAGAGCCTGAAAATGATAGTCAGTGTAATTAAAAACAAGGCAGATAAATTTTTCATGGGAATGTTAAAATCCATCTCATCTAGAAAGTAGGTCAATTTCAATCCATGAAATATAAATAAACAGCAATGTCTTAGTTGCTGATACTTAAAGATTACTCCACAAAGCACAATACAAAGATCATTTCTAAAACACATCAATATTCCAATTTTATACATATGTGTGTTTAAAGGACAGAGGCTAGGATACTATGGTTTGGAACATACTATTCATTAACCCATATTTCCCTCAAGTGATTAACAATTAACTTCTCTTCGTGATTCCAGCCCATTATCCCACAAACAGGTGATGAGAACAGACTATAATTACACACATACTTTCTTAAGCTGAATTGCCTTGTTTTCTGTGCGTTCACCAGTTTTCATTTCTGCACAAAACAAAAAAGAAAGAAAAATGTACTCATAATTTCATCAAATTCTTACATTCCAGTTTATTAGCTCATTAGAGGATACTGCATACATTTCTCACAAGAGTATATCAATCAAGAGACATTATGATAGTGATGTGAACACAGCATCATCATACCTTGTGTCACCCCAGCAATTTTTATTTCAATTATTGATTGCTGTTCCAAGGAATGAACAAGAGAATCGACTCTTTGATTGACAGCCTCCTGTGATTGTTTAAACAAGTCCATCTGCCTATTAATTCCTTCATCTCTCTTTTGTTTTTCGATCACCCTCGCAGCCTGTACAGAAGCGCGTTCAGCTTTCATCTCTTCCTTCAAGGTTTCCACCTCTTCCTTAGCTCTTCTTTCGTTCTCTAAAGCAATGTTCAGTTGATCTTGTAGACTCTAGAAAGCAATATTGGACAGCCTGCCATTAACTAAAAACAAATTTTATTGCATAATTAAGTACATGTCTATCTAAAGTTCATGATGCTGATCAATAAAATCAAACTGCTTCTTGTGAGTCTGTTTATAAACAATCTGATAAGTCAGAGCATCTTCTTTGGTCCATGAATTACATTAAATTTCTCTAGTCCAGGCTGTTCATGCATGCTAACAAGCTGCCCCCCTCAAAACAAGGGTAGCTGTCTGAGGTACCCATGGTCTTCCATTTTGTCCCGATATATTTCCCCAAAAAGAATAACATCCCATAACTGGGAAATATTGCAACCCAACCTTGTAGAGCCTTCATTCCAACAGTTAACACTGACTGAACTGATGGTGAGAAAAAAGGGAAGTAAAAAGGGCGGGAAAACACTTCTTGAATTAAAACAACTGCTACACGATAACTCTAGCCTGTTAAAGAACAACTACCACAAACATTTTCCACAAACTTGAAGAAGTTGCAACATTCCTCCAGCATTTTCTATTAAAACCCTAGCCCAGAGCCTGATCAGCTTAATTATGGCAGTTATGGTATTTCACCAACTTATCTACAACAAACCTTAGTGAGTTGATCAACATTAGTCTGCTGTTGCTGTAGGTGTTCACAGAGATGCTGATTTTCATTCCTGTAATAAGTCACTTGGGATAGTTCTGTTTTCAAGGAATTAAGTTCAGCAGTCTGGTTACGTAACTTTTGACGCAAATCTGCCAGAGCATGTTCAAGGGATTGACAATAGTCCTGTAGAAGAAAGAAAATGTTTTTAACAGTTAAGTATTGGATAATGTTAACTGCATGCACTGATAAAAGTTCCACAATTTCCTGGAGCAGTGACTTATGTTGTTACAGCCTTGATAAAACTGATCGTGACAATCAAATGAGGAGTTTTTCAGTGATAATGTTTTGGGTTTAATAACATTCACAATAACTAGATTGACATTCAGTTTTCTGTCGCCAATTAATGCCACTCACAATTTCAAGACCTTAATGTAAAACACATCTAGATCTATACTAGATATGACTCATTAAAAATCTAGCAGAAAAACAAAACCTTTCCTGACATAAATATCCATTATATTCAAAACATGTATTTACAAAGGCAATGTAATTCAATATTCTCTCTTTCATCAAAATTCACCAAAAGCAACCTTATATCCAAAATTGGTTAATAATGTTAATAGGACTGAGTGGAGTCCAATTTGGTCTGTAATCATAGGGGTGATTAACAATATCAGATGACAGCAAAGCGGGACTCTGATTTGTCAATCACGAGTATGACCAAATTGGAGGACACGAAGCACTGTTACCAATTAATCAAAACTATAACAAAATTTGAGAAAGGATCTAGACATTGATGATACGTTTTCATAAAAAAAAAACCTAGTTAACTTGGTGAAATGCAAGACAAGTTCTGTCCACTTACTCAGGCAAGAATGTGTTAACTGTCCTATTACAAGCATGACACGTACACTAGCCGTCCCATTGGTGCTCAAATCAGGCTCATGATAATCAATCACGTTCCAGAATTTTGTTATAGTTTTGATTAATTCAGTAAAAAGAAGCAGGTCACAGCAACACAAACTCAAATGAACAAACCTGGCAAGCCTCAAGACTCTCACTGGGTTGAGGAGGGTTATTCAATCTGTAGAATCTCTGAACTGGATCACTAAAGAACACAGTAAATTTAACCATGTAAATAAAGAAGTGTTGGGAATCCCCTGTTTAAGTTGTTATGTGATGATCAATGTAAATTAGCTTCAACATTGCCCCCAAGCAACCCACTGTAATTTAAACTTTAAAGATTGGTTTGTTCAAATTGTTGCGAAAGTGAGCTATTTACCCTTACCAATTCCATATTTTAAAGATATAACATTGTACAGACTTGACATCTTCTGATTTAAATTCCCTACCACGGCCAGGCAAAGTTCAAATTCCCATTCCCCGGGCACAGACAACAGTCAAATGGGTTGTAACGGTGGGGAGGGACCCTGTATGACACATCACTAAGCTACTATGAACATGAAAAAATTTAAGTTATAATGAAAATTTCTAAAACACATTACACTATGAGAAATGTTATTTATTTGTCCAAGTATAGGAAAACAAAGACAAGTTCCTTGTGAAGATTAAAACCTCAGACCAACTAATTTAACCCTTTAACTCCTGGAAGTGATTAACATGTAACCTCTCCCTATAATATCCATACATTATCCAGCAGGCTGGTAATGAGAATATTCAAACATATCAAGTAAAAGTTGTTATCTCAATCTTACTCCAAATTCTTGTAACTAATTTACATGGATAAACAATCTGACAGCCTAACACTGAGCTTCATTAGTAAGCTCGACCACACTTTAAGTTCAAGTACCTTATACTTCACATGAAAATACAAAATAATGCTCTCTCTATTTAACAACCAAGCTCACCACTTCCTGTCTTTATAAACATCATATTTTCAACATACCTGAGAACAAGATTTCGATGGCCAAACAAATTGTTCGTGAACACTTCAAGACCTCTTTGGCGTTTGTCAATAAAGCCTGTAGAATATCAAAACATAGTGGCTTCAGCACAATTAGGTTTTAAAAGAGAATTTGTAGCTACAAATTTACAACAGGGGTCTTTTTGTTTTGCCCTTTCTTGTCTCTGTAAAACTTTACCTAGCTGGCAATAAAAAACAGCATCAAGCTTAAGTTAAAATTTAGTTTAGATCAGGACAAGTATTCTTTACAGTTTTGTCCGTGCTTTCCAAACCAGGAGGCACCTAAAAGAGCATCTCAATGGGGTGAAATGGTAGTGTAAAAGGGCAAAACATTTAGACATTAGGCCTAAAATTGACAAATTTTAACCATAAGTCATAAACTGCAAAAAAAATTATTGTGACTACAATGGAAAGATATTAACAGTTAGCTGTAAATTGGCCAAAATTTGAACCCTTAGCCATAATAGCCATTCCCCCGTGGAGACCCTCCTAAAATGTATCTATATTATTATCTAACAATTGAAAGGGAAAATAACCTCCCTTTGTTCAGTTTTAGACTAGACAACTCATTGTGTCTGGTTTACAAAAAAATATCCATCCAATTTGTCCTAGATCATGAATTTACACTTATGAACTGGACCAAACCAGGTGATTATACATACATTTTCTCCCAAAGAAATACATTTATTCCAAACCACAAACTATCAGTCATGTTCATTATGGTGAAGTATTGGAATATCACCATTATAAAAATATACATGAAGAAATTATGCGCTTCTGATTAGCATAAAAATGAGTGCATTTTTCATGTAACACAAGTACAACAGGATTTCTTGTGCAATTTGTTGTAAATAAGCAGCTGTAAATTTTTCAAAGACTGCAAATTCCACTTGCCCTAATGCCTCTTGCAATTTTGTTGTCTTTAAAAAATTACTTGTGCTTAATAGCACCAAGTTGTACTTGAAATCATGTTCTTACCTGTACTTATGTTACATACTCCAAAAAATTGCATCAAGAATAACATTTGTTACACACCATCTTAAAATAAAAGCCATCATTATGATGCTTGTCATGATATTTTTGTCCAATCTTTCCTTTAAGATCATAAAATATGATAGGAAGGTGTTATAGGAGATGCTTCCTACTTCCATACCATACAAAGGAAATGTTTCACACTGCTAATTTTACACGTTTCAGTCACAATAGCAGAGCATTCACCTCATGAACTTCAGTTTTCCAACACACTTCAGTAGAGGGGTTTTTTTGCTACGTACATCATCAACTAACTGGTAATTATAATGAAATTCTCAAGGAAATAAAGAATATTAAATGAATATAGAAAATGATGCCTTGTCACATTTTTATTAATAATTTGGCTCTAAACGTGTTTGTCACGAGTGTTGTAATAACAACGTAACACAGACGCACGTGTAACCAACTTAATAGTTACCAGGAAAATTTACTTTTAACACCCACGATGAAGTAGATGGCCTTTAAATCGAACATCTACCCCAGCAAGTTTCAAGATACATTAAAATTTAGAACAGTAAGATGTACAAATATTTAGTATTTGTTTACAAACCTGTACAGCGAGTGAATGTTAAGTAGTTTTACTTGATTTAACTTAGATTAACCAACCTTTATCAAAGTTATCTTTGAAGAAACGTTTGCCAGGCAAATGCAGTCGAAATTCTGGAAAAAGCCTGCGTAACTGAATAAAAAAAAAAAAAAAAAAAAAAGAATATATATAAATATATGTATATATATATAAAGAACAGGGTCTGTGTTTTGATTTTTCCGTCAGAGCTCAATACGTAGAAGTAGAGCGCGATTATATATGAATATTCTTGACAGTAAAATCCCCAAATGAGTGAGTAATCATGAAACAGGCTTGTAGGGATGAGAGTATAGCCTCTTTGTTTTTTTACCTATCTCAATATATATATTATTGAGATAGGAAAAAAATACGTAACCTTTTTCAATAACTGGAAAACGCTATATATCGATCAAAACGCACACTGCAATATTCGCTTAGCTTTGCAAAATATAATCGAAGATTTTACAATGTACAATAACTCTTTGAAAGTTTTTCATCCGTATCTAAACTTAAGAATTCCTAATGATCACCTTTTTATTCAAAAGAACAAAGTCTCCATAACGTCTGTAGATTATCCAACTTTTTCGACCATTGTTTACTTCGATCTTGTAAAGCTGTGAAGAGACAGGTCGCAGACATAAGCCTAAAGCTGACCTCAATAGCAATATATCGAAGGATCTACCGGTTTTACTTACAGTAAACTTTTCCCTCTGTTCCAGGGTTTCCTTTCCTAGAATACACGAGTCAATTTGAGGCATAGAAATTGAAGAACCTGTAGAATTCGTGAATGTGTCGCTAAAGCCGTAGCCATTTTCCAGTGAGCTTCGGTTGATTTGTACATCCGCAGTATCTCTGTCCTTTTTAAACGTTACAGGACTAACCATCCGTCTAGACCCACCGCGAGAAGTTGAGGTTGTTAGGGTATCTGACATGTTGTTGTCAAAGCCTGTTATCACTACTCTTTACGACGCATTGCAAATACAAGGTAGTCTAAATTCCCCGGTTTGAGGGGAAAAGTTTCTTACGTTTTTTAAAGACTTCCACCCTGGCCGATGTAGTCTGAGTTCTAGTCCCACAGAGGCCTCCCATTGTGCTTATACCACGGATGTGGAGAGCGGGATCGCATATTCTACTAACATTATTTTAAACAAGTGTGAACATATGGACTTTGTTTAAAATTAAAAAAATTAGAACAATGTATTCAGCTTTGGTAAGTACTAAACATGGAACGACCTAAAACCACCTAAAACCGACTACAACCACCTACAACCATCTATAACCACCTCAAAAATTTCAGCAACCACCTACAACCACCTCAAAAACATCTACAGCCACTCGCAAACTATCTAAAACCATCTAAAGCAAGGCATAAATGTCTTAAATAAGGCGAAACGACAAAATGTCACGTACATGAAATACGAGAATCGAACGAAACCTCCACCTCCCCCTGAAATCTTACTCTCCCTGGTCTCATGTATAATCAACCATCTCACCTGCTGGTAAGTACAGCCAGACCGGACAGTCAAAGCACATTTTACCATTAAGTTCAAAGGGCACTGGCCAAAAAATGTTAGTTGGGTAACACTGATAGTCTAAGGAATGTATAAGGGTTTACTATCCTAGTTTACATCTTTGGGTGATAGCTCTACCAGATGAATCAGGAGTAAAAGCAACTACACCTGCAAGTTTTGAATGAATGGTAAGGAAAACTTTAAATTTCATTGTCTATCAAACTATTATTACCTCACCAGCAGAAGCACTAAATAATTTACCAGAGCAACGGGACTGTTACACAAAGAGCTGCTTATCTAGTGTCTTTCTTTAACTCAGAGCCAAATACATCAACTTTGAAATCACAATACAAGACCATTTAAACAGCTAATTTATTTATGCCTGAAGAACTCTTGATCTACAAAATGTATTATAATCTTTACTAAAAGCTAACTATGCAATAAACTATTAAAATAGAATAAAAACTGATAATAGAGCATATGCACATGGCATCAGTATACCAAAATTGGTGTATGCTTACCAAGATGCTGAGGGGAAAATAAATATGTCCTTTCTTTCAAAAGAGTTTATCTTTAATTCTACTTTTTATCAGATTATGAAAACTGGGCTGTGAAGAGACTGTGATGCAAGGTGGACAGCACTAAAAAACCAGTTTTATTTCCATCGATGTCGTGCATCCATGCTGAAAATTAGGCCACAAGCATTTGGAATGACCACTGTGTTTTAGCAAGAGAAGTTGAAACATATGGTTGCCACCTAATTTTGACAACCCTGTAATAATGAAGATCAACGAGCACATCTCAAAGAAAATCAAACTGGTTTAAAAAATTATAAAAGAACAATTTTAACCTCAACTACCATTTTGCTTTCTCAATTCCATCATGCTGAAGTTAAATTTTAATTCATACAAACATTTCCTTTTGTTCTGGAAACAAGTATTCTGCTTTTTATTTAAGTGCATATGCTCTATTCAATATTTCTCTTAAAATATATTTATTTACCAAAGCCTATGGCTGTAGTTACAAACCTAAAAACCTAAAACTTTCATAGTTCAACCCATGATTGCTCCTGCTATGCTCAACTACAATCAATAATAGCAACTAATGCATATGAACAGTATACTGCAGCTTTAAATGCATTAGGCTATGTTCATTGAGTTTTGAACTGTAGGTATTTGTTTTCCTCCAATGGGAACTAGTTAACCATCATCATTAAATTGTAAAGAGAAAATTTAAACTATATTGTAAAAGCAACTGCAATCTTAATGGCAGCTGACACTCAAAAAATGTTAAAAATGAAACAAACATTTTTCTTCAGTTGGGAGCTTTCAGAGCAATCTCATGCAGTGAGACTAAAAACATCTTCTAATTGACTTTTTTTGAGTTCTTTTAATCACTCCTCACCTAAACACATGAATTTTCATCTTAAAAATTATTTTTCTAAGCATTGTTGAACAAAGCAAATTCAAGTTTAGGTGCAAGCTCAATACTGTTGTGAATCATGTTGATTGTTTGCAATCTGATGTGGAAAATAAATCCTTTGAGCAGTTAAAGCTCATTGGCTGATCGTTTTATTTAGATAAGTAGGGTGTGCACAGAAATGCTGGCAGTGCCTTTTAGGAAGATAAACTACAGCTGCAACCAAATTTTAAACTTGAGCTTTTGCATTGGAAGCCCAAGTTTTAAGGCACATTTAAATCTAACTAGTGTTTGGCAACTTATAAGCCTGGGAATTTGCCAAATAATTCGGCATTTAATATTTCAGTGTTGATTACCCCTAGAGAGTTTATTGAAAGTAGTAAACTCTCCAAAAAAATGCCAGTTTCATTTTTTTGTCTGATTGGAAAAGGTTTTTTTTTCCTTAAAGCTGCTTTGTACAGAAATGATACAAACTAAACAAGAAAATTTCAGTTTCCCTGAAAAGGAAAAAGATTGCAACTCAACACATTCAAAAAAATCATTCCAGAAGCATAAATACCCAAAACTAATTCTAAAAATTTTTCATCTTAGCTCCATTTGGGGCAGTACTTAGCAGAATTACACTTAAAAATCCACTAAAGAATTCCCCAGAAGGAATTCATAAACTACAAAGCAGACTGTTTAGAAGAATGTACTACTACACTCAAATACACAATCTATGAGGATTCCAAAAATCCACCTCAAACTTACAATTCCCCTAATAAAATTAATTTACGTGCTAGGCGTTGGTGAGGTATCAACACTTATTCCACTGTCTCTTTTACTGGATTGATCTCTTGACTTCCTGTTTGATGGATGTTTGGCAGTTCCCTCAGTGTTATTTATTTCCTTTATTGCCCCTACTCTCACTTCTGAGTTTTCACTCTTTTCATCAGTCTGTTGAGATACTCCAAGGTCTTTTTGATTATCCTGTTGCAAAGGTTCCAGACAGCTTGGGCTGTTATGACTAGACACAGGAGTGGATGTGCGAGGATTTCTCTGCTCAGTTGAAAGCCGCCTGGCCAGATTAGATGACCTCATTCTATCAGCTCCATCTGAATGCTCTGCAATCTCCACACTTCCCACCCAAAATGATTGATCTTCACCAGGTTCAGTTTCATTTTCCAAGGTACTTGACATCCTTCCCTTGCTTTTGGTTTGATAATCTGACAACAAGTGGCAAACTTTTCCTTTTAGACTATCAACATGTGCCATTTTTTCACTTTTCTCTATCAATTCATCAGTCCTGGATGAATCTTTTTCATTTCCTTTCAATCCTTGCTTTCTCAGTGTTCGCTCTGATCTAAGAGCACTTACAAGAGCTTCCTGTTGCACTCGTGCTTGTAAGAGCTGTGATTTTGTCATTTTGAGGTCTGCCGTTAGTTCATCCACCTTCTGTTTCAAGTCCTCAGCTTGGTTTTCCAAGTGTTGACAGTAGGCCTAATAAAAACACCATTATCATAGAGACTATAAACCTTTCACTACCAGCAATGATCTGAAACTAATTTCTCCTTACAACATTGATACAATATCAAAGAGGCAGGTGATAAGAATAAAAAAAAATATAAACTAGGTGATGATTATTTGATCCAACACCAAGCTCCTATAGTAACATTATAAGTAAAGTGAGACAGACAGCAAGGACAATTACTTATGAGATTTTGGGAGTGAAAAGTTTAAAATTCTAGGGCTAGAGTAACTATGAATACAAGATTGAATTAAAGTGTTAAGTAAACCATTAAAAAAGTATAAACCTTTTAAAGCTTCAAGTATTTTTCAAAGAGTAACAAAGACTGAAAAATTATTGTTTAAATAGAAAAAGTGAGCCATTTCCACATTACAAAAAATGTGACACTGCTAAATGCTTCAGCATCTTGTTTTTGCTACTAATTAACTGACTTGTCAATAAAATCCTATCAAAGTGTTTAATCATTCCAACTCACTCTGCTTTCTTCCAAGCTGTCATAAGGTCCAGGAGGATCATTCAGGCAGAAGAACTCTTGTACCTCATGACTACAAACAATAACTTAGTTGGTTATTTCAATAATCATCTTTATTTAGTACCTCTTCTTCCTGTGATGGTATTAATATGAGATAAGAAAACTGAAATTGATGTTATTACATCTACAACGGTTTTTTAAAAAAATAAAATATATTTGACTGAGACAAATAGGAGGTCAGGCCACCTGTAATAACCATAGGGATCTAGAAAGATGGACAGCCACTCATTCCGTATTCACACAGGATAATTAGGGTCTTATACCATGGACACACACACTCACACACACCAGTTGATATTTGCTGAATTTTTTTGTCAGAATTTCAATTTTCCACAATTCAAATTGAACATAAAATTCCTACACATTTCTATGACCAGGAAGAATTTCCATATTTACCTCACCTGTGTCAATGTAGCCATTACATTATTAGTCAGTTATGTCCTGTTCAACTTGTTTAGATGCTATACTATGTGGTACTATAGATAAATTAAGGGAATATAAAGTGCTGAAAAATAACTTAATGATCTTTGCTGTTTCTTCAAAAAGAGCCAAAATACATATATTACATGAGCATTAAATTTTGTCAGGGAAATAATACTTTTTAAAACAGTTTGAAATGGGGTAAAACACAGAAATAGTTTCATACAAATAGCACTCTGAGTAAACAATACCTGTTACATATTTCAGAGTGATTCATCATATTGTTGATGAAAAATTGCAATCCTCTTGCCCTGTCTTCTATGAATGCTGCAAGCAAATACAATACATAACATTTAAAAGGTTCTCCTAGTAACCTCCAAAACATTTATAAAAGGTACTGCTAATCCTGAAAACAAGTTAGCAGTTTTTCTTTATCTACTTTTACTTAATCTTTGTTGGATGCTCAGAGCTTTTACTTACTGGTAAGTACAAGCAGCACGAATATATAATTTATGGATCTAGCCCCTGTTGTTTAACACTTTAACTCCCAAGATCTGATTGTAGATTCTCCCCTCTAGCTGCTACACATTTCCCTATTAGTTAGTTACATGAATTTGGTGTTAGATCAAGATAACAACTTCTACTTGATAAGTTTGAGTATTCTTATTACCAGTTTGCTGGATAATAGATGGATATTATAAGGAGAAATTACATGTTAATCACCTCTGGGAGTTAAAGGGTTCAAAAGTGGGTAGTGCTGTCCACTTGACAGATCTCTATCTGGTCGATAGTGAAATAAATTTTGTTGACAATGCAATTCAGATGTCAGATAGCACTATGATTTTATCCAACCTTTGAACAACTGAGCCTTAGATATACGTAACTGAATGGACACATTAAAAACTGGGCAGATCCTTGCAAAATAAGAAAATTTTGGAGGCTGCCAACTCCTACAGATAATCTCGGTCAGGGTCACATTTGAAATAAGTTTTTTTTGTTTACTTTGTTAGTATTAAAAAATTTGATTATATGGAATTTAAATATCATGTCTATATTCTATGCACTATACAACACAACTATACATTAAAAATTCTTCCAATTTTTTTTTATTCTCAGAATCTGCTATACCTGGATCAAAGTTGTCCTTGAACCGGCGTTTGCCAGGAAGCCTGATTTGAAACTCTGGAAAAGCATCTCTCAACTGTAAATAAAAAATAACTAAATAATAAACTATCCACCATCTTAAACCATAATTAAGTGTCCCCCAACACTTTCAGCAAGCAATTCTTTCTTTTAATAACTTTTTTTTCTTTGCAACTAACCATTTGAACACTTTGCAGGAATCTGAAAATGTTTCCTCCCTCCAAACCTGACTACAATCTTGCTTAGGAATGGCTTAGCCTATTGACTGCCCATATCAAACTGGATCTTATTAGTTTCCTGTTGATTTAGTTTTGATCCACTGTTAGAAGCAGTCTGCTTTTTTCACTTGACCATGTTACACATTCAATTGCCCAATCATAATTAACCCTTTAACCCCCAGATCAGATTTATAATTCTCCTTACTGTCAGTCATACAATTCTTATAATGTTAGTTCGGAGAATTTAGTATTGGATCAACTAATTATTCCCAAATTGATAGTCTTCTTTACTCTCATCACTTATCTGCTTGATATTGAATTGATATTGTAAGGAGAAATTCTGTCTTGGTCACTCATGAGAGTTAAAGAGATAAGTAAATTTTCATTACATCTGAAATGTGGTAAGATTTTCAAGAGGTATGGTGTTCATACTCAGGCCTTAGCTTATATCTCCATGAGTGGTAAACCCACACACTTTGATTTAATGTTGACTGTCAGTCTCGATTTCCCCTCTGCAAGTTACGGTTTTGCATTACTAACTCTTTACAACCAACTAATGCCCTACATCTAATTTCTCCCCACAGCGATTCTACTGAATCATTTATAAGATCATAAAATCAAAGGAAATTATTGCCATCCTGAGAGGCTTTGATTGTTAAACAAATTCTCCATGTCAGTTTTAAAGGGAATACATAAAGAGGAGTATGGAGAATATGGATACTGATTTTAGGGTATAAAGGATTAACTCCACCACTTACCCTTTCATTTAGCCTTGTGAAATCAGTGTAACGGCGAAATACAAACCAACTTTTATTTTGACTTTTAACTTCAATCTTGTAAACCTAGCGAAAAAAAAGAAAAATCCAAAAAAGTGTCTTGAAACAAATCATGATAGAATGGTAGGAAGACTGACTGGAAATAATGACAAATTGTGCTAGTATTGAGCATTGTGTAAAATTATTGAGCATGTTTAGATTTACGCATACATTAAATTAATGAAAGAATTGGAGACTATTCTCAGTGATCATCCCTAGCATAACTGCAACCTCTGATTTTCTCAAGTGGTTCTATAGGGTAATTGATAATTGATTCAACAGGAGTACAACTTGGATTTCTCCAAGAGGGTATACCACCATAACTCACTCATCAGATTTTCATGTTGATATCCACTTACATTGGGTTCATTTTTAGTGCTTTAAATTCCTCAAATCAGTTTCAAACTTAAAAAAAAAAACTTTTTCATTGGAAGTTATTTTCTTTTCTATACAGAGGGATACTGACACCTGTTGACAATAAAAACATAAGTGTGCTTTCACGCAGTTTACTTGAACCGAAGCTTATTTCATTTTCAAATATTTCACGAAGTTGCATTGTTAAGAAAAACATTAACGTGCGTATTGATTTACAATGTACATCAAGTGTACAGTTAAGCTCACATCCATTTTACATCATAATCTTCCATCATAGTTTTTGATAAGAGAGATTTTAATTGAGATTTTAACAATTTGTTCAGGAGAAAACACCGAACACTTTTTTAGGTTCGCGCTTTTTGTTCGGCCATCATTAAATCAAAGCTGATCATGTTGTAGGTCAAAGTCACGAGTACGAGTGACTTACAGGAAATGAAAAGTATCAGGTTCTGTAGAAAGTAGCGAGTGCCGAAACGATGCTCTCTTTACTCTTATAGATCATATATCTGAGCCAGCTAAACTTAATCAAGAAAATTAATCCATCAAGAATACAAATGAAAATCAAAGCAATATAAACAGGTCATATGCCCAAACGTACCGTAAATTTCTGACGATTATCTACTATTTCATAACCAATAATCGGTGCTCTCATTCCCATATTTGATTGATTTCTTTCGTTACCACTTTCCTCTTCATCTTCCTCGTCCATTCTAAACCTCGGGCTTCTTCTTGGAATTCTTGGTCTCCGAGGATCCCATGACGATTCTGTTGACAAAAAAGTCACTTGACCATCCAACGCCATGATTTTTTTTCTTCCGTTATTTAAGCTAGACCCAGATTACTCTCGAACCTAGAGAGATATTTTGTATTCGCCCATGCGTGACACTGCACTAATATTTACTTTTCCGTTTCGGAAAAAGCCCTGAGCGCTAACAAATAAGTAAGGGGACTGAAAAAGGGAAGACAATTGACGAATATTATTAAAGGTTTCATCTATTTCAAAGTTTCAGTTATATTCCTTTACTTAGTTATTTCTTTATTTGTAAAGCTTCATATGTGTAAGTACTGCGCGAGTTAAGCGCTTCGCATAGAACTCTGGGAGCGAGGCGCGAAAAAAACTGAGGCTAATTAGTGTTTGCCTCACTACCAGAGTTGTTTTGTTTTTCGCGCTTTTCAGGAGATAGCGTGTAAAGCGCCAAAGGCGTGTCACTTTGCGCGAGTGTGAAGGCGCAAAACAAAAAAGAAAACTTGAGCATGCTGGCCCCTTACATTTTGAACGCTTCACAAGCGAGAGGAAGACGCTACGGACGCCTGAAAAAAGCAAAAATCAGGCAAAAAAATTAATGACGCCTCTACTGGTGAATCACGGAGGAAAGTTATGTAATTCGCTGAGAAAGTCCATCTGAACAGTTATTTCTCAGAACTGTAACAGTGGTAATTTTCCTGTTTCATATTTTGTTAACTTAATTTTTTTTAACTCTTGAAGACTAAAGGTCGCTTATTGAAAATAAAAAAAATTGCAGTTTATATTTTAAGTCTTTCACAGGTTTCCATTAAACAAGAGGGTAGCTGGCGCTCGAGGCGATTCCACACTGGTTTTTGTTGTTCCTCGACATCATAATGTACCCTTCCATGCCCCAGCTCTTTCCCCAGGAGTTCTTCACCAGCCAGTAGTCCTGTCCTTGGTAAGTTCCATAACCAACAACGAGTACTGCGTGGTCCAGCTGATAACTGCTACAGGCACTGAAATAACATAAATTTTGGTATGGTTTCTTTTTACTTTAGGAACTTTTCGATTTCGCACCCATGAAAGAAAAGATCTGACTTACGACAGGAGGCAACCGCGGCTTTATACCAAAAGTATTTTTTTAATCCAAAAATATACATTGAAACTCTCTTTTTTAAATAAATCCTCAAAAAAAATTATCTCAAGACAAACCCCGATTAAGTAATTGTCCACAAAATAACATTTTTTCTGAAACACCCAAAAGTTAGTTGTGATCCAAGATTCTTCGTAAATGATCCAGGAAAATTTTTGAAATTGCGAAAAATATTTTGCCAATTGCCGCTTGCGCCAGCAGCCAGTTGGAGTGGACTAGTTTATCCCTACTGACAGTCAGAATAAAAGACAGACAGACAGAAGGACAGCCACACAGAAAGATAGAGAGACAGACGGACAGGCAGACAGACAGAAAGATAGACAAACAGACAGACGGACAGACAGACAAACAGACGGAAAGACAGGCAAGCAGACAAACAGACGGATTAAATGACTGACTGACAGGCTGGAAAATAGGCAGATAGATCAACGGCAAAAAACACAACAAAGGGGAAGAACGCTAGTGAGGTAAAAAACCCTGACTGACTTACTGACATTGAAATAAAGAATGACTTACAAACAAACTGAACTCCGAGGAACAGACAGTCAGACAAGATTGACTGACAGACTCATATCCTGACATGAACAGCTCATCAACTGACAAACGGACAGTACATAGATGGGGGCGAGATATTATAAACTTTATAACATCTTAATAAGGGACAGTTCCTGCCATAAGCTAAAATGAGAGCTGTGTTACTTTATCATGAATCACTTACGGTTCATTGTACACCCCACTGTGATAAAACTGGAATGAAGCGTGACTGGCATCGATGATCACTGAGATGGGACCCACTTCGGCCACAGCAGACTGAAGAGCTAACTCGCTTCTTTGCTGGATATCAACATAACCTGATTGAAACAGGGAAGAAAAGAGAAAGAAAAATAAACACATTTGTCATTATAAAAACCACTCTTCTTTGGCCTGTCTTTCGTAAATTCATCGATAACCATCAGACATCTTCGTAACCACGATCTGTGCATTTTACTTACCAGTACAGGTAGTACCTATATAAGCTTTTTCAAAGCAACAACTCTTTGGACATGGATGCGGGTAACCGGCTTCGGTGTCTATGCCACCGTTTTCTTTGACATATCTGAAAGAGTAATTAAAACTCGGCTTCCTCCATGAAACTGAAAAACCACTCTGTTAACCACGAGCGTTAGAACCGACAGACGCAAAAGTACCTGTCGAATTGCAGCTGAATACATATGCTATATTCGCGATGCGCCGTTATTTTGATATCAAATGTTTCGAGCGCACTTACACTGAGTGTCGTGAAACAAAACTAGAGTAATAGCGACAGCCAATCAGAGAAGAATACATCAAAGAACCAATCGGAAAGGCGGTCTGAAAATCTCTGACGACCGAGTTACTGTTGTTTTTTAGAATTTTGCATCCAAGTAGTTGCAAGGGGAATGTTTCTGGACTAGTCAGTTAGCGCGGCAAAACTAACGCAATCCCTTGCTAGTTCGATATTCAATTGCTTCACCTCGAAATATGTCAATTTTTCTCGTCTTAGGCTTGAAAATAACCTCGACTGCCTGGCTCAAATATCTTTTGCACCGTCATGGCTGCATGTAATAAAATAGGATAATTGAACTTCACTGTTCAATTTGACCTCCGACCGAACACTGGATTTATGTTACCAGAGACGGCGCGAGAAACAAAGAGAAAGAAATAACCTTGTTGGCTTACAAGAATGCACAGTCTATAAATCCCATCAAGGGAGGAGACACCTTGCCACATCCAGAGCAGTCTTGTAGATTCTGTTCGCTAAGAGAGACAAGTTTTCCTGTTTTCTTAAAATGTTGTCCTTCCAGTGACCCTGTGGCACTGAACGCCCATGAAGCACCCAACTGACCTAGCAGGAAAAAAAAATTGCAAACGAAAGTCAAATTGTGGCAACGCAGCCAAGCTACATCAGGTGGAGCACGTGTGAAAAAGCGGGTTGAATTGGTAACCAATGACAATTCAGAGAAAAAAACAAAGTAAAAAGCAGACTGCCTCAAGAGCAGTAACACGTCTGTGACCAAGCCGCGTTTGGTTTTTGTTTCGCATTTGATTTGTTGTGAGACCGATGCAATTTTTTTCTTCAATAATACTAGAACGAAGAGTGCCACCCCAAATTACATCCGACCTTCAATTTGTATACAAACATTTTTTGTGCAACGTTTTTGTTGTTGTTCTTATTGCTGTTGTGCTTGCTTTCTTTTTCGACTGGCAGCCGATACCGAGAAAAACAACGCGATCGTGAAATCAAGGGAAACCAACAAACTTGAAGTTTCAAAACTTACCCTGATTCTTGACAGGAGTGACATATCCCTTCGTCCTCCAATCCACCGTGGGGGGTAGGGTCAGTTCACTAAAAGGAAGAGAGGTAAAACCGCGACGTTCTGTTTCGTTTGGAAAATGAGAACCAACTCTCAGGATAAATGATCGATATTCGTCGACTGTCAGATCACCGAACTGGTTCATGGCCAAGGTGTAGGAGTGTTCTTCTGAGTTATGCTTTAAAACATACTGAAAGAAAAATTAATCTTTTTTTTCTTTTACAGTTTAGTTTTCAAAAGAAGTTACTAGTCGCTCACTTGGATTATCTGGCGCCTACTCACTAATTTTTGTTTGCAGATAGCAACACAGGAAGTGTTCACCTGATCAATAATGCCTAAGAATTGAGAGAGCAGTGAAAATCTTCACTATGTTTTATTAAGCTGAATCGGGAAAATCATCTACTTAATTAAGGTTTGCGTGATACGAGCAGTGTTCCATCTCCCCCTCCCCCCCCTCCCCGTATCACCGATGGTTCTTCGACCCTTCAGTTTGTCATGTGATTATCTTCGCGTACATTATTGGAAAAAAAACACCCCCTTCTCAGGATTTCGTGTTCTATATTTATACTGTTAATTCATCTCACCTTTAAATTGTTCTGCCATATTGAGAAGCGGGTATTGTCATGAATTTCTGACTCGTATTCCTTGCCATAAAAAGACTTCCACTTCTGCCAGTGCTGCTTGTACGTCGCAGGCGATAGATTCAAACAGTTTGCAAAGGAAGCGCACAGCAGAAAAACGCACAAGTAGTTCATTTTACCTCACAATATCTGGTCCGATTTTTAGATGGTATGAAGCAAGAGTCTGTAAATAAAACTTTGGGACTGAATCAGAGAGCGACTACTGGGTCTGCAGATCCTTAGAGATTTGTTCGCCGACCTTTCGTAATTGTGTCATGCATGGAATTTGACACCTGAGAAAAACCAATCCCTGTCACGCGAGATTTTTGTCAGCAAAACTCCCAAATGTAAACACTAAACCAGACAAACACCACTTCAGGTGATAGCTTTGCAGCCTCGGTAAAAGGCTATCTGGGTCATCATTGAGGAAATTCGAAATTCGAAAAAGGTTTAGGAGCTCAGAACCGAAAAAAAACAGGCAAACCAACTGAACTTGCACCTAGTCCGGCATGCTATGCATGTCACGTCCACATGGACGCCTGAGGCATCGGCGGTAATTCACCGGACATTTCCTGGATGCTCCTGTAGGGTTTATTTGATTGTCCCTGTAGTAAAAGGTTTCGGCTAAATGATGGAATAGTTCTCTTTTCTAACCACAGTTTTTATCACCGATCCTGACGTGGTTTGGTCTCATGCAGCTATGGGAAAGTTATCGTCTCAGTTATCTGGTAGTCTCTGGACCCTTTGACCCCTTAAGAATGATACGCATCTAATCCCTCCCAGCAATATCACTCTGAATCAAAAATCGATGTAGAGATTGTTTGACGAACTCTCTTTTTGAGTGCCATAGGAATTAAACAGAAAAGTATGGAGAACTTGGATACTGATGTTATAGTGGAAAGGTTTAACAGCATGACTATTTTAAGATTGTCTTGTCTTTTGATTGACTCAGGCGACAAGCAATTTTTTTTTCTTTTCTCAACATAGGAGGGTTCTTCACCGACGTCTCATTCGAATTTTTTAAACACTACGACAACGTTTTAAAGGTGAGGGTGGGGGGGGGGGAATGGGGGCTCGACGTTAAGGGAGGAACAGTGCATTGTCTAAAAAGATAATGGGGGGAGCCGGGAGTAAGACGAAAATGCGTTTAGTCAAGAGATCAACTATAATAAAATCCATTCATTTAATTCACTTTAGTGCAACAACAAGAAAATAGAGCAAATCACACTCATCATCAAAATAAAATATGAAAAAAGAAAACTTTCAAATACATGACTGATTCATGCCATTGGAACTTCGGAAGAAAATTTGCGTTCAGTTTCTACAATCGCCAAGCGAGATTGGACTACCTATCCTACAAATTCATAATAATTTTGCTCCTATTTTTTGTGCGTGTTACACTATGTTGAATTCAAAGGGGTACGTTTTGAAGTAAAAAAGCCGAGTAGATTGTGGTCCACTCTACAGACACGTGAATTAAACAAGTGGGTAACTAGCACTGGTAGCGATTCCACACTGGTTGTTCTTGTTCCTGGACATCATAATGTAACCTTCCATGCCCCAGCCCTTTCCCCAGGAGTTCTTCACCAGCCAGTAGTCCTGTCCTTGGTATGTTCCATAACCAACAGCTAGCACACCATGATCCAACAATGTAGAACTGCAGGCACTGTAAGGCAAATTTTACGATGTTAATATGTTAAATTTCGTTTATGACGTTCACTGTCACATGAGGAAAATCGAAGCGAGTTCTCAAGCGTCGGTATCGCGTGATTTAACGGCCTTTATAAGAAACAATACATGAAAAAAATACATAATATTAGCATACGAGCAGCAAGTCTTCACTTTTGACGCTGACCAACGTTTCTTCGTCCGCAAGAAAGTTTGAAGCCTCGTGCAAAGCGAGCTGGCTAGAGGTCTGCGAGGGTATGGCACTAATAGTGCCAGTCTCTTATGCAGCTGCTGTTTGGTCTTGTCACATAAAATAGTTCTAAATGTACTTACGGCTCGTCATAGACTCCTTTGTGGTATAACTGGAATGAACCGTGGCTAGCATCTATGGCTACAGAGATTGGGCCGACTGTGGCCACAGCGGATTGAAGATCAGCTTCGCTTCCTCGCTTGACATCCATGTAACCTAACAGGAACGCCACCATAGACTTATTTTTTGAACCAAAAATTACATGAATAAATAAATTGATAAATAAAGCGCCTTACGAAGACCTGAATATAATGATTGAGAAAAGATCTCTACTTTTTATCTAGTCCTGCGCAACATCGATGGCAAACATCGGCATACTCTCGTTCAATCGGCTGTTCGGGAATCATCACGAACCGCCGATGATGATTCGTTGCCTTTCCCTTACCAGTATCAGTAGCACCAACATCAGCTGCTTTGAACTTGCAGCGTCCATCGCGGGCTGTGTAGGGATAGCTAGATTCGGTATCGATACCACCATTAGCTTTGATATACCTGAAAAATAATAAAGTAATGAACAGCATAAGAACTCTTCAATACAAAGATAAAGCTTACATGGCTAGAAACGCAAGATCTTTACCGTTTTCATGCAAATCCGAGATTGGAAAACAAGAAAACTGTATTGAGGATATTTTCCGCGATTATCTAGAATATTCAATGATGTAATCTCAAGCCACGATTCAGCTGATGACAACACGTCATAACCCATTAACTCTTAGAAAGGATTAACATGTAGATTCTCATCACAATCTCAGTATATTACTATACAAACAGGAAATAATAATGGACAGTTCGATCAGCCGGAGGGTGTTCATTTAATTTAGCATCATATTCTTTCCAGTAATGTAAAAGGAAATGTACATCGGCTAACGGAGTGAAAAAAATATCAGATATGGATATCAGGCTGTACACTATTTTCTTTGATAATTCCCAGTTTACGCGGAGATTAGTTTGGTGGAAAAGGCCCTGAACTGTGATTAAATTAACGGCAGGAACAGTATTTTTTGTGAAGTAACTCCTTAAGGGTGAGAAATATTCAGTTTTCGCCGCTTACTGGAAGGCGTAATCCATGAGTCCTCCCTCACAACCGTGATTTCCATAGCTAGTTGAGCAGTCAACCAGATTCTGTTCGCTGAGTGAGACAAGGTTTCCTGTTTTCTTAAAGTGTTGTCCCTCCAGTGATCCTGTTGTACTGAAAGCCCAGCAAGAACCACACTGACCTGAAACAGAACAAAGAATAGGCACAAATCACCAACATGATCTATGCGAAATTATCTTTAAATGTCCACAATTTCACGAACGTCTCCTGTGGTAGATACATGATTATCTACTAAATACATAAATTTCCATGCCAAGTTGAAAATGTTTACAAAGGGCTTAAACTTTGATTCCCTAATATTGAAAAATGGTTAGTTGAAGGAATATGCACCTATAGCTGAAGTGCAGACATTTTTTTTTTCTGCAAAAAATTGGACAGGTTCAGAGTTCCTCATTTTCATGAGTTTGCAACAGATTCAAGGATTGCGAGGAAAGGCTGAATTTTCGTTTGCTGTTTTTCCTCGTGAATGAAAAATCAGATGATTGTGACATTAAGCGATGAGGTCAATCGAGCGAATGAAGCTAAATGAAAAAGAAAGGGACATCAAGAGGACTTTCACAGATCGGTGAGTAAACAGAAAATACGACTTGTTACAAGAAATTTAGCTTTAAGGTAAAAAGTCGAAGGAGCTAACTTAAAAAAAAAGACACGATCAAACTTACCTTGATTCTTTACTGGGGTAACGTATCCCTTAGTTCTCCAGTCCACTGTGGGGGGGAGGCTTACTCCACTGGGAGGTAGGTAGGCCGATCCTTGACGTTTAGTCTCATTGGAGTAGTGAGAGCGAAGTCCCAGGTAGTAAAATCGGAATTCATCGACTGTCAGATCACCGAACTGGTTCATGGCCAGGGTGTAAGAGTGTCCCTCGGAGTTGTGTTGTTGAACTTTCTACAAAAAACAAAGAAAAATCATTTAGAGGAGAGAAATGAAAGCAACTAGACAAAGGCAAAATACCTTTTCTAACAGCGATGTTGCTATTTGTGAAATTATTTCTTGAGCTAAAATAAAACGCCCTTTCACTGCAACCTGCAACGGAACCATCGTCATAAAATCTGAAACTACCGAATTTCAAATGTTAAATGTAGGACCTCGCAGCTGGAAAACTTTTTTTCAAGCGTCAAAGCTGTCAGATTTGACACTTTGCAGGCGTTGATCCTGAAGAAAATGTCAGTCAACTGAAGAAGCCTGCATAAATAATCAGTTTTGCACCACAATCGAGCTGTGAAGATGGAGAATAGCGCAGACTACAACGACCACGAAAGACGACAAAAGAAAACAAGACATAAGCAATTATGTGACTAGGCAACATTTTCCTTCGAGAATGAAACGTTATCTGAAAACATATGCTCTCCCGCGAGCGGAACTTGAAGTCGACGTGATCGACATTTTGTGGTTATTAGATTACTTTGGGTATTTTAAGCGCGCTCGCAATTACCAGATTCAAGGTTCGGCGGAGACGAAAGTTTTTGAGATTGGAAAGCATAGATCGTGATGTGCAATTTGTCACTAGCTAGTGCGTAGCGTATCCTAATTTAATTTACTCGACACATGGCAACCCTTTAAGTAACACCGGAAACTGCTGTTACAAAAGGAAACAATAGGCTTCTTCAAAGAAAGCATTTAATGAACTACAGGTCTGAATAAACTAGAGATCATAGGGAAGAATTCGAAAATGCACGTAATTTATTGAGATATGCAACTTTCGGTCAAAATTGAATAAAATTTGAGCACAATGGTCCTAAGGTGGAATAAAAGATTGCCGGCTTTAGTTGAGGCATGACGTCAGAGCTTTCGGTGCCAGGGACGAGGATAGGCGATCAATCGTTTATTGAACGGCATTCCCGTTTAGAAGAAACAAAAGTATCACGCAGATAATCGCAAGATTTATTGAGCAAGGCCAAGAGTTGGGCATGATAAAGAGAACATGCGTAAATAGCTGAATCATGCCTTAACTACAATAGACTCATTCGCACGAGTAGGCCGGCTGAAGGACGATGAACTGTTACGAACCAGCGCGAAAATGAATACAAAATGAGTACAAAATACAAAACTCATAAACTTGTACTATATTAGAAACCACGACAGCAAATATTTATTCTGAGATATACATCGCTGTTTGAATTTTGGTTGAGTCTACCAAACGACTTCTCGTCAATTTACCGTAGGGCGAATAAATACTGCGAAATCAGAATAAGCACTGAAGCGTTACTGCATGGGGCATACTAGTTCACTCGACCACAAATATTAGATAAAATTGTGGTGAAATCTATGCGCCGCCGATGAATCTAGCAAGGTTTATTGAATGGTTTTGGCAGTAAGAACTGCCTCTTTTAAGGAGAATATATATATTTCATGCGTGAATGACATACCCTTAAGTTGTCTCTCCAGATCGCATAACGAGCTTGTTCCTCGGTATCTGTTTGGTAACTCTTGTCGTGAAAGCTCTTCCATGCCTGCCACTGTTCCTCATATTCGCGAAACTTCAGCACAGCGCTGTTTGCCACGGACAGGCAGAACACAATTGCAAGAACAGCCTTCATCTTTACCACTAAACAATAGCTAAGCTACGGCCACGATTGTCTACAAGGAAAAAACGCTAGCAATTTATAGACAGAAGTCACGAGATATCCTCGTGGTAACAGGATCAGTTTCGTTGTCACGAGACGGCTACATCTAAGTGATTCAGCGAATTGATCTCAACGGGGGTAGGGGGGTAGGGTTGGTTTATGTCTTTATTCAGAACTCTATTGTCTTGTAGTTGAGAAGATTTGTTTTCCAAAAGCATGAGATGGAAACCAAATCTAACCGGCTAAAATGGAGCGTTCACTTGAAGACCAAATGATGCAATTTGAGTCTGTTCTGATTGTTGTTTTACCTTATTCACTCATGTTTTGATTTTTCAGCTGAATCATCATTTGTCACCAAACCGGCATATAAACAGGGACACGAAGTGGACAAGAATAAACTCGACCTAAAACAGACATGAATACAGTATGCATAATCGCTCTTGTACAGAAAAGCAACCCCATTTATGGTCTTGTTGACGGACTCTAATATTCAGAAATGTCAGTCAAAACGATTGACTTCAGTCTAAGAAAAAGTCAAAATTATCGCATAGAGTTTAGAGCAGTTTACAGAATTCTGTCATCCGACACAAGTGTAATACTATTATGAAAAATAACGAAGAGCGTAATTCTTGAAAAGCACATTGACTATTAAGAAAGCAAATGGGGTTATTAAGATAACTTAAGGGCCAATTTGAGCAGCAGAAAATTGCTTGCTTGCTTCTTATTAGGCAGCCAACTCCGCCAGCCGACTTCTGAGAATATCGAGTTTATGTCTACCAACTTTCCTCCCTCCCCTTCCTCCCTCATAAAACTGTTTTTTGTAGGGATTGGTTTCGGGCTCTCCCAGATTACTGGAAGTCGACAGAAATGAACTCAGGTTATCCAAATCGAATAAAAATTTACAAATTTGCAACCATTCTCGAATACAAAATCTCATTAATTTCAACAAAGAAAAAATTTAGATGACTTTTACTTTTTCATTAGATCAATATCCCAATTTCAGCGGTTTCATTAGAAGCCGCTTACCGGCAATCTCGAGGCCAGGGTGATTTTGGCTTCTTGTCAACGGTGTGGTCGTCATTATTTGGTGACCTCTGACCACCAAATGTTTAGCATGCGAGTAGGCTAATGTGTTCGGGTTTATACCATCGGTAGCCGCTTACGGAAAAAGTTATTGAAATCTCTGCAATCTATTTGGTCAGTAAGATCCACTGAACTGTAGAGAAGAGCGAGGAGGTCAACTTGAAGAGAAGTTACTATAAAAAGCAAGCAAGGTAAAAAAAAAAGAAATAACCTGGACGTCATGCAAACGATGAACATATCATTTTGCTAAATTAAGCATGCCGTCATGGATTTATTTTTAAAGAGTTCTCTATTTAGAGATGGTTTTTCTGTGGATGTTGTCAGCTATTATTACACCCATGGAACGGCACGATCCATGCACAAGCCTCCCATGATTCACATCACATGTACACTTTCTTTAAACGTGTTTTGTTCTTGATCCTTATTCAGAACTTTGCTCATCCTTATTTTTTATTTAAGGTGTTATTTTTAATGATGGCCCGTAAGGCCCACCATTTGCACAAACTCTATATCACTATTTAATAAAATAAATAACTTTTTGACCTTCGGGTCCCATACAAGTTAAACAAAATTTTCTTCCCAGGTGAGGTACAATTAAAAAAATTGCAGAAAGGAAACCTGAACAAAATTCAGGCTTCGACGGGATTTGAACCCGAATTTCCAGAAATTGGTAGGGTGCCACCACCAACTGAGCTGCAAAAAAATATGCTGGGAGCGAACAAACATTTATAATTCCTATCGCTTGTATTGCTAGTACAAAGCTTATATTTCTCGCACAAAATTTATTTTCCTCTTACAAACTTTAAATTTCCTGTATGAACTTCACATTCCTCGTGAAATTTTTATATTCCTCATGCAAACTTTATATCCTTGGAACAATGCTTCCATTTCTTTGACACGAAACTTACATCGAAGGCAAATGGACTCAAACGTTATATCTTCTTTTTTCCTCTTGGGACATATCTCTTTCTCTCATATGACCTAAGAGAGATGTGTCCTTAACCTGTCGCGGGCGCAAGGAGAACATTTCCTGCTCTCTCGCGTCATTTTGTGAGATTGCTCCGAAAGCTTCCGACGAGTCACGAACTTACATTGATGCGCACGACGATTGGTTTGTTCAAGTTCCCACCTCCCAAGGCCAAAGTTGTGTACAAATGCCCTACCCAAGCGCTAGAATTGATCTTCAATTTTCTTGTAAAAAGCAAGATTAGTACTTTAGTGACCGTGACGTTCCTGTGGACTCTTTTTTCTGAGCTATCTGCCCACGCAAGTGATTTTTTTTCTTAAAACGCCTTCATACTGAAAGACAAAACACGTTTATTCCGCTGGAAAGACTTGCAGGTTCCGGTTCAAATTCCCCGCCAAGGTTGAAATTTTATTTCCGGGAACGGGCGACGGTCAAATTCCCGTGAGTTTCCCGGGGAGGGCGTTGATTGGAGCATGATATATGGTCAATGGCTTCTTGAAAACTAAAAGCCACACCCTCATTTAATGAACTTTCAACTTATGTCTACTGTTTTCTACTGCTCTCCGTTTGCTTTTTAAATTCTTTTCTTCAACAGCTTTGTGACGGCTTAAAAAATTGCCGACATTTTGATGAAAAAGAAAACATGGGTGAAACGTCAATGCACTCGACATGTTTGATGTTTAATTTTCTATCTTCTTGAACAGTCTTTGTGACAGTCTGGATACAATCATTGATCGTGAAATAAAAAATGGATTAAAATTGTAAAAGTTCATCAATGAATCAAAACCTCAAGTTTCTAAAACGAGTGGGTAACTGGCGTAGATAACGAGTGGGTAACTGGCGTAGATAGCGATTCCACACTGGTTGTTCTTGTTCCTTGACATCACCCTTCCATTGCCAAAGAGTACCCTCCAAAACCGCAAAACTGCAAAAAAAATTCGTTCAAAACCGAAAACCGCATGCAAAACCGTCAAAACCGATAAATTTTCACATCCCAGTTATAAACACTCTAATCGATCCGATGCAGTGGTGACAAGTGGAGCATACAGAGGTTTCGCGGCTTTTCAAGATCTGTGGAGGCGCATAATTGCCACTCAGATCAAAGAGTAACCGAAACTCAAATAGCAAAAACCGAAAACCGCATCGGATACCAAATCCGAAAACGCATTAGTGTCTTTTACGAATACCGAAACCAAGTGCTTAAAAACGGAAAATCCGCAAACCGCAGTGAACCGCACAAAAACCGAAAAAGTGACTAGCATCTCATTTATCCTTACGATATCATCCCCGAATAACAAATTAACGTCACAAGAAGAAGGGAAATGTCAATGTGAAAGTGACCTTCGCAGTAATGAACACTACTTGAGCAGTAGTGAAAACAAGGCCTTAAAAAATTCAGGCCTGTATGGGATTTGAACCCATGACTTCCACGATACCGGTGCGGTGCTCTTCCATCATCTACCATATTCACGTCTTTATCCGCAGTTCACATATATGATTTTCATATAGTCACAGTCATTTATTCATCACATCACGGGTTTGTTTGGAACCAACATAATGACCAGCTCCCAATTGGCATGTTAAATCAAAATAAAAAGAAAAACATTTAAAGTCTGTCACGAGTGTTATTACAGGAAACCATCCATCGTTACCTTCTGAACTTAAGATGGGGATCATGTGAACGTTATTCAGCAATGCTGCACGTGAGTTTCAGATGCCGTCTTTCCAAAATGGTAAAGCAATTTCCGTGTCAAATTTGCTCTTGGAGGGCGATAAAAGTTCTTGTAAATCGAATTCTGAGAATTCTGTCTCAAGATGCCACACTAGATTCCCCGAGGTCGATATATAATTTACACAGTTAACTGTCTCAAAAATATGGCAGAATATGACATGAAGGGGTTCTTTCTTGAACAAGCTCAAGGTTTGAGAGCCTCAGCACCACACCCCCCCCCCCCCCCCTTCCTCAAATCAAATTTTTTTCTAAATGTGGAAAGCGTTCCCAGCCGGGCTTGCATTCCCAAACACGACAAACATTTATTCATATTTATTTGAGGGTCAAGCCCTTCCAATTACACACTATCCTTCATTAAAAATATAAAAGTGACCAGGACAAGTTCTGTATCTGTAGATAACACTTCTGTCCACCTGTCTGGTTCTGGTTACATATCTCTACCTATCAATTTCAAAAAGATAGTGTTAAAATCGTATGATTGGCTTGTGGACGGGGGATATTACTGGCTATTCTGCGGTTTCATTTGGCTAAATATGGCCAATTACAACAGCTTCAGCGCATCAAATAGGTTTAGGCATACACTAATTTGAAAATAATTTTTACACCACCTACTGACGACAAGTAATTTTGAGTGAAAACTTACGAATCAGTCAATTAATTCTTGAAATTGTACTTCACTCTTTGACCCTTAACAAGTGATTAGCTTCGAATTTCTCCTTAAAATATCAGCCCTATGTTACTTAAGATCACAAGAATGAAGAAAAAGATCACTGACTAAAGAAGTACTTGATTGTTAAATCAGTTCTCCTTGTCATCACCTTAGGAAATGCGTAGAGAACAGTATGAAGTATATGCATACTGATTTTAGCGTGTAAATGGTTACGAAAGGGAACAAACCTTTCCAAAATATAAGAAGATCATCTACTGTTTCAGCTTCCTAAAACACAACAGTATGGTAGTTATGCCAACTGGTTAAACAGGCTTTAACAAGTCAACAACAAATTCTTTGGTCATAATCATCAGACAACCAATCAGCTCTAGTTTTGGCTGCTTGGGAGGAGATGGAGAGCATAATATATTCGTGTTAAAGATTTTTAATAAATAAATGAAATAAAATTTATTTGACCTGTGGATAATTTAACTCTGCAAAAGAGCCATTGATAGGTTTTTAAAATATACATTTAAATCTCCGCAAGAGTAATAACTATAAAATTTTCCTTAAAACTTCTTAATACAATGAGATGTAGATGGGTAA